AACCAAACCAAATCTAAAGTTAACCAAAAACTGATTTGTAATCCTTTTGGTACTAATGTTGGAGAGGTTAAAATGAAATCTGGTAAAAAAAAGAAAAAAAGAAAAGGGGGGGGGGTTGGAAACCACTGCTGAAAGAGATCCTAGTAACATGGAAAGTCCCCGTCAAGGTGGCAGCCTCCCATTGCTCATCATTGAGGGTGGGGACAAGGATGAGCAGAATATTAAAAAATATATATTGGTCGTCTGTATCCATGAATTCTGCATCCATATATTCTGTCCTGTACTGCCCCAAAATACCTGTATTAAAAAAGAACCCCAAAAGTAAAACCTGATTTGGCCATTTTATGTAAGGGACACAATTTTACCACTGTATATAATTGGACTTGTGCATCTATGGATTTTGGTACCCACAGAGGGAGCGGCAGTGGGTCCAGCACATACCAAGGGCTTACCATAATCTGAAAACCCTTCAACCATCTAATTGGTCAAGAAGAGAGGGCACAACACACTACTCATTTAGGCATGGTTTGGAAATCTACAGAAATAGGCACTGTATACATCAGACACTAGCACTTCTAGCACAATTGCTGCATCTACCACCATGGTGGTCCAATAGCATTCCAGAAACAAATCAGAACCATCTAATTTATGGCCCAAATATTTCCTTGGGATGTTGCAGACTTCAAACTGCCAGAATTCTGTAGTTGTTTGAGACTTCTGGGAGTTCCAAGGGCAAAAAGTGGGACCCAGGTTTGAATTCGGGGAAAGCGCGGATGAGCTCCCTCTGTCAGCTCTGGCTCCCAATGTGGGGACATAAGAGAAACCTCCCACATGGATGGTAAAACCTCAAAAAACTTCCAGGCGTCCCCCTGGGCAATGTCCTTGCAGATGGCAAATTCGCTCACACCAGAAGCGACTCGCAGTTTCTCAAGTTACTCCTGACAGAAAAAAGGGCTACTGTATGCCGATACTATCTAGAATTACACCAGTGTATCTTTTGAAGATGTTGTAAAAGCAGGCAACTGGTGCCTCCTTGTAGGACATTCCCTCTCCCTGTGTGACCATAACTAGAGTAGATCAGGAGTACTATGGCAGTCTCCACCTACAGTTGCAGAGAAAGGAGCAGCCATTATCTCCCCAGTCCTCATGTGTACACTAGTGTGTGCTTCTTGGAGATCTGCCCCACCCCCCCCCCCCCCCCCCCCCCCCCCCCCCCCCCCCCCCGTTTTCCAGCTCTCCTCTGCTCTCTAATGGGCCATGGGAGTGCATCTTGATACCAAGCTATGACACCAAATGTAGTTGTGGAAGCCCAGCATTAGATGTACTAGCTGAGCTTTATATTTTATTAGTATACTTATTGGATCAACCATAATGAGTTGCAGATTGCAAATTAATCACCTGGATCTCTGCTTTCAAGCAATCCCCACTCATGCTCATTATCTGGATGGCACAATCTCTATATACTAGCAGAGGAGACAAAGGTCCAAGGTTCTTTTCAGAGACATTTATTGACTCCTTACCATTACTTTAACTGCTGAAAATGAATATTGAAATTAGTAAATGAATATGCTATACCTATTTACCAAAAGGATCACAATCCATCTAAAGATCCTCACGTTTCCCACCGTGTGACAGTAGTACCATCACACCTGGTTGTTTATAGTAAAGGTAAAGATTTCCCCTGACATTGTCTAGTCGTGTCTGACTCTGGGTGGTGGTGTTCATCTCCATTTCTAAGCCGAAGAGCTGGTGTTGTCCGTAGACACCTCCAAGGACATGTGGCCAAAATGACTGCATGGAACTCCGTTACCTGCAGTACCTATTGATCTACTCACATAGGTTGGCAGAAGCTAGGCCTAACAGCGGGAGCTCACACTAACTCCCCAGATTCAAACAAAACAACCTTTTGGTCAAGTTCAGCAGCTCTGCAGTTTAACCCGCTGCAACACCAGGGGGCTCCTTGTGGTGCAGCAGGTTAAAGTTTATACACTCAGTTAAATGCATGTGTTATTTAAAACAGCAGATATTTAATAATAACTAGCTGTGCCCTGCCACGCGTTGCTGTGGCCTATAGTAAAACTTATCAAAGTTGAGGTAGATATCTGGACTATTATGAAAGAGAGGTACCTACCTATTCCTTCCCCCTTTTCCTCCCCCTTTCTCTCCTTTCTTCCTTCTCTACCTCTTTCTTTCCTTCTTTCACTACTTGGTTTCATCCTTCTCTCTTTCCTTCATTCCCTCCCCCTTTCTTCCTTTGCCTTTCTTCCCTCCCTGTTTGCTTCCTTCTTTCACTTTTTATTTCCTTTTATTTTACCACCATCATAACAATAACAATAATGCAATGCATTGCCTCTGGGACCTGACACCTCTCCCATTCCTCCAGTGTCTCATAGGAACAATAGCATAATAATAATAATAATAATAATAACAACCTTTACCCGCCACGTGTTGCTGTGGCCAACTTCCCTCCCTCTTTCTCTCCTTTCCTTCTCTCCTCCTTCCCCCCCTTCTTCTTTCCTTTCTTCTTTCCTCCTACCTTTCCTTCCTTCCCCCTTTCTTTATCTTCTTCTTTCTCTCCTTTCTTCCTTCCCTACTCTCTTTCCTTTCCTTCCTTTTTCCTTCTTTTCTCTCTTTCCTTCCTTCCCTTTCTTTCTCTCCTTCTTTCTCTCCTTCTCCTTCCTTCCTTCCTTCCTTCTTTCCTTTATTGACAGGGCGAGGGAGAGGGAAGGGCGCAGAGGTGGGCCGGATGTGAGCGATGGAGCGTGCTGGCTTCGTGGTTGTAGTGCTGCAGCGGATGCGGGAGTGATGGGACGCGCCGGCGGGTTGCTGCAACTGGTGTGTGTGCAGGAGGCAGGGGGAGTGATGGAAGCGTGCAAGGCAGTTGGTGGTGACTCGCTCGTAGATGCAGCCGGCCTGAAGCTGGGAGGGTATAGAAGTGATAAGCGTGGGGTGTGGTAGTTGGCGCCCGCCAACGTGGTATATAGATATATAAATACCGTGGATCTGTGCGGACGGCAAGGCGGGGAGATGAAGGGCGTTGCGTAGTGTGCGTGCGGCGGCGCGAGGGAGCTGATGGAAGCGTGGGGTATGTGTGTGTGTGTGCGGCGGCGGGGGGAGTGGGTTGCGTGTGTGTGTGCGTGCGGCAGGGGGAGTGATGGAGCGTGGGGTTGCGTGCGTGTGTGCGGCGGCGGGGGAGTTATGGAGCGTGGGGTTGCGTGTGTGTGTGCGGCGGCGGGGGAGTGATGGAGCGTGGGGTTGTGTGTGTGCGTGCGGCAGGGTGTGTGTGCGGGAAGCGGCGTGGCGGGGCTTGGAGTGGGCATGGCTTCCACAGAGGGAACATTGGCCAGAAGACTGTGTGCGCGCGCCAGGGAACTTGCGGCTGGGCACCAATGCGCATGCTCAGTTGTTTTGCCGTTTTAAGATTGTGTTGTTGTGTTTCATTTTGAGTAGATATGTTTGTACCTTGTGGGTTGTGTTACGGGCATGGGAATTTTGGTTAAGTTTCGTTGGGGGTTGAGTTTTGTTGTTTTGCCGTTTTGTGAGTGTGTTGTTGTGTTGTTTTTCATTTTGAGTAGATATGTTTGTACCTTGTGGGTTGTGTTATGGGCATGGGAATTTTGGTTAAGTTTCGTTGGGGGATTTTTGAGTTTTGTTGTTTTGCCGTTTTGTGAGTGTGTTGTTGTGTTGTTTTTCATTTTGAGTAGATATGTTTGTACCTTGTGGGTTGTGTTATGGGCATGGGAATTTTGGTTAAGTTTCGTTGGGGGATTTTTGAGTTTTGTTGTTTTGCCGTTTTGTGAGTGTGTTGTTGTGTTGTTTTTCATTTTGAGTAGATATGTTTGTACCTTGTGGGTTGTGTTATGGGCATGGGAATTTTGGTTAAGTTTCGTTGAGGGGTTTTTGAGTTTTGTTTCCTCGTTGGATGCCCCTAACAAATTTATATATATAGATTTAATATATCTATATATAATAATAATAATAATAATAATATTCTTGTACCCCATCTGCATCTCCTTGAGGGGATTCGGGGTGGCTTACAAATGACACAAAGTGCCTAAAACAGAGCATATAATCCACAAAATACAAGTACATAATAAAAACATATTTCACAATCTGCTCTCAAATTGAAATATGCAGCTCTCCAAAGTGCTCCTCACCCCATAAATTATAGCTACTTTCGTCCTTGTCCTCCATTCTATTTGTTGCAGTATCTCTGGTTTATGTCAAATGTGATCAAATTGATTACTTTAATAATTTTACTGTTGCACCGATTCTTCTGTTCTGTGCCCTCAATTTTGCTATGTTGATGCCAGTGTTATGATCTTCAGTGTCTGAAACTGATTCAGTTCATAACATTTTAATGTGTTCTTAGTTATCTTAAAGACACCAACCCTAGAAAAGTCAAGTAATTTTTTTAATTTGACGTTCCTGTACTACATTCAACCAATAATCTCATTTGGAATAGACACACTTAATAAATTTCTGAACTGTAACAACCTGTGTGATGTAGTGGCTTGAGTGCTTAACTAGGACTTTGGAGATCAGGGGTTGGTCATAGAAACCCACTGGGTGACTTTGGGCAAGTCACACTTTCTCGGCCTCAGAGGAAGGCAATGGCAAACCAACCTTGAGAAGAACATGGCTAATCTGGCAAAAATAGGTTTGCCTTAAGGTCAAGTCGGAAATGTAACTGCACAGAATAACAACATTGAACCAACAATGGTCTCAATATATCTAGCAAATATCTTTTTTTTCCAAGTAAGGATGAGTGCACCCTAACTATTACTGTCACACAGAATTGCTTAAAAATTGTACAGAACAGGATTGCTCCTGAAGATTTATTTTTGCACTGAAAATAGAAACCCATTTCCTATGAAAACAGCCCAAAAGACGTAATACTGAAACACAGTGTTGACAATTGGATACAGGGCCACAGTTGTCAGGCCAAAGATGTAATATATTTTCTACCCATTCGTATCCCTTAAGAACAAAGCAAGGCATAGCTGGAATATACAACTTTATTTCCTTCTTAATTATATTTTCATCAATCAATCTCTATTCTTGATCTAGCCAACCGTATTTTTTTAAAAAATTCCTGTTCTGAGCAAGGGCAACAACATAAGAGGAAGTATTGTTTGGGACCAAATGCAACATATAATATTCATACGACTGATGAAGAAAGAAAGAGACGAATTAGCATTGTGTCTTCAAACTAGGTATGACTCAAAAAGAAAATATAGCTCACCCTTTGGTTCCAACATAAGGAGAAAAGAAGCGTGTGGCAACACTGATCCAACAATACTACTGAAAGTGTACCAGATATTATTATACTTGGCGATAGGACTGTGCCAAGGCTCTAAAATGTCAAACTGAGTCAAAAATAGCAAAACTTGGATGTGCAGTAATTTCACAAATTATTGATAATGTTATTTTCTATTTGTTTCTTGACTTATTTGTTAATACCTTCTAACACTCTTGTTTCCTTATGTCAAACTGAGTCAAAAATAGCAAAACTTGGATGTGGAATAATGTGGCCTTCCAGATACTGGTACTATCCCTCCGTACTATGAATGCGGACTAGGAATGATAAAGAAATTTAGCCCAGTTACAGCTGGACAGCCATTACTTGCTCATCCATAACCCATTGTAAGCTGCTTCCATGCACGATCTTCATCTAAAGTATTTTAAAAAGAAGGAAATCTTTAGAAAAATTTGTCTGAAGCAATACCATAAACAACAGGTGGTTAAATATTTCTCCATTTACAGGCAGCATGGTAATTTTTTTTTCAAAGTAGAATCTCTCGTTTCACAGTCCCAAAATAAAGAGGCACATCTTGGCAGAATCATATGTCTACATCCAACACCAGTGTCATACCTTAGGACTACAGGTGTGGGATCTAGTAATATCACATGAGTGATCCCCTCACAACATAGATGTTCAGACACAAAGAAACTATTTTTCAACTGCTATCAAGTCACCAAGGTAATGGTTGATCAAGTTCATTTTTCCACATTACACAGACATCAATGTAGTATTCTAAACAAAATGCATGATAGCGCTGTATCATTATTGAAGGTGAATCTGATGTCACACAGCTTGAAAGACAACTTCACCAAGGCTTAGCACTACCTGGGCATAAAACTCTTGCATAAATATTCTGCGATTCAAAATTTTGCACCTGAGAAGCAGCAATTGTATAACAGTTAAGGTTTCATTCTTTCAAATCCTTTCAAAATGCTAGCAAAAGTGGTCTGTCTTTAGACAGGAATACATTTTGGATTTCTTGCAGGAAATAAATCACTCATTCAATTCCTTTTGCTTTCAGTTCTTCTTTCACACGTTTCAAATAATGAGGATCTGGGTAGCCGAAACTAGGTAGTGAAGCAAGAGAGAAAGAGAAAGAGATCTGAGCAAAACAATTCATGAATAATAATAATCATTACTGATGTACAGTAGCTTTTCTTTGACTACCATGTACTCAGAAATTTTTGAAGAGGAAATAATGTTAAATATATTTGGTTTGGAAACATCTGTTCAACAAAAAATGTATTTAGGAGAGTTGTGCTGAGACTGTGCTAGCATCAAAACTTTCTTTTAAAAAATCAGATCCTGGAAGGAAGAGTTTGACTTTTAATGGTGATTTTTTGTTAGGAAAAAAAGTGCAGTGCAAAACAAGTATTCTAAATACCCCATTTCCCCAAAAATAAGACAGTGTCTTATATTAATTTTTGCTCCCAAAGATGTGCTAGGTCTTATTTTCAGGGATGTCTTATTTTTCCATGGAGAATTCACATTGGTTGTTGAACAAAAAGAAATTGAACATTTATTATATACTGTACAGTAGTTGTCAGTATATCATAAATCTACTCGCCCCACAAACAGGGTCACAAAAAATAAGGGCTGTCAAGAATCTGGCTCCCACACACTGTCTGGAGGCTGGAACGATCTCCCACAGCAGTTCCTGGACCACTTGTATAGGTATTGCAGCTTCCGACCACCAGGGGGAGCATGCTTCCAAACAAAAACTTTGCTAGGTCTTACTTTCGGGGAAGGCCTTATATTTAGCAATTCAGCAAAACCTCTACTAGGTCTTATTTTCAGTCTGATTTTTGGGGAAACAGGGTATCTTTCAGCTTATTTGAGGAGTATAGGTTTGGATGATCCATCAAGCATATACTCTACACAACGTGCACATGTATTTAAAGAGTGCATTCAGGAAAACTTGTTTTGAAGCTATTTAAAGTATTATTTATGTGTAAGTCTAGAGATTTTTGTCATTAGCGCTTTCTCTGCAGAAAGACCTTCATATCAAAATCTGTAATTGTGACCTCCAAATCAGTCCTCAACTTATACATGAAATTGACTTATACATAAATCTATAGTAAGTTTCAAAGATTGCCTTGGATCTGGACCCCTCCTCCACCCATACAAGGGTTTTGGCCCTGTAAAGCCTTCCTGCTAGCTAAAGAAATTATCTGGACAATCTCCTATCCACTCTCATCTCTTCCAAGCCAGAGACCATTCATCCACCATAACACTACAGGACACAACATCACAGATTGCAAAAGGAGGGGAGAAACTGGCAGAATATACCTAGCAGAATTCTACCCTAAATCCAATCTATAGCTTGGATCCAATATTTATATCTCTACTACACAGTCATATTAGTTTGATATCACTTTAAGTGTCATGGCTCCATGTGCTTACAGAAGTACTTGGAATTCATTGCTATTTCCGTGGAATACAGCAATACAAATCTCCAGCGGAAAATTCCAAGAATCTTCCCAAACAACCAATACTAGGATCCCACGGCATGAGACTACTGGAGTCCAAAGGGACATATTACTTCTGTAATTCTGTACTTCAGAAAAGCCATTAGACACACTAATTTGAAATTATAGAAAGTGCATTTCTCATCCCTCTTCCTGCTGCAGTCAACTGCACAACCTAAACACCTCCAGAACTATATCTAGGGCAGTGGTTCTCAACCTGTGGTTCCCCAGATGTTTTGACCTTCAACTCCCAGAAATTCTAACAGCTGGTAAACTGGCTGGGATTTCTGGGACTTGTAGGCCAAAACACCTGGGAACTCACAAGTTGAGAACCACTGATATGGTTTGGGATCCCCACTGATGTGGTAGGGAGGAATAATCTGAAATTCTTTCGTCTAATTCTTTATTACATCATCCCACACTTCTCAAGAGGGTAATACATAAGACTATTATCGAGACACTAAATACTATGATGACACTGTGGCTAGCATCAGAGCAATTGTTTATGTAATATAGATTGGCCTTCTTTCAATCAGGTATGCTGTTGTAGCCTAGATGTATGACCTTATAACCATTTTATCTTCACATCTGCAATCCTTGTACCATGGCTATGACTGCAAATGGCTCTGCTTCTTCTCTGTGCACTACTATGCCTTTTCTGCTCCATCTGCCACAGTTGCTTGGTATGGTTGGCTGGGTTTTTAAGGTGGGTTTCTAAGGAGGGCTTTAGACATCACGGCTACATGTCTGGTGTAGGCTCTAAGCCTACATCTTCTTCCTGTTTTGCTGACAGTGAAGTGTTTGTGGCAAAGGTAGAAAAATACAAGAGTTTTCCACCAAGATGTCTGCCCAATGTTTGTTTTTTTCAAAGTAGCAAGCCTTACTCTAAAATTATTTCTATGAGTTCTTAATGATTACGGATGAGGATTACATTCAACAAACTAGAGATATGTCAAAAATACAAAACAATACAAAAAACCCCCCACAACTTACCCTTGAGGACCACCATATCTGGATGTTTTGTGGTGAATATCATTCCAGGTGACCACATCACTCATACCAGATGTGCGGGACTGGCCCACTGTGAAAATCAATTTTTGTTCAAAGGCCCGTTGAAGCAGTTTCAAAACTTCCCTTCCTTCTTGGTTGTCAGGTAGATACGCTATTCGACTTGTTCCTGAAAATCTTTTGCCTGGATTTGGATGGTTTTTCTAGTTTATGGAGAGAAAAGACATTAACATAGGCTTAGTGCGATACTTTACTCGCCAACAGGCTCACCAAATGACAAAAGTATGAACTACTCCTCGTGCTGGAAACCAGGTACTGATTTTCAACAATTACCCCGTATTTTCTGGCATATAAGGCAACTGGGCGTATAAGATGACCTCCAACTTTTCCAGTTAAAATATAGAGTTTGGGATATACTTGCCGTATAAGACTATCCCTCTTCCAACGCACACCAAATATTTTTTTTAATCAGATTTAATTTCAATATGGTAATTTTCCTATTACTGTACCTCCTTCTCTGCCTCTCAGATCCCGCACATGCATGCCTGCGCCATTTAACTGTAGTCCTCAGGAGCAAGATCCGAGGGGCAGAGATGGAGGTACGGTAAAAGGTAACAATGGTGGGCCAGATGGGTGAAAGCATGTTTTTTCTGGGCACAGTGCCACTCTATCTCTTTTTTCCATACTCCAGGCATCCTGGATGCCTGTAGCTTGCTCTGCCCTTCACTTACACCTTCCCAGTGAGGCGCTCCCTCACCTTGTCATCAGGACCACGTTAAATCACTTATTCCCACAAATCCTGGTGAGTAGATATTGTTCTACCGTATTTGTACAGTGCCGCCCTTGCTGCTTTCATATGGTCGTCACATACAGGGATACAGCTGTGGACGTTTCTGGACTCCCCCCCACAATATGCGGCGACCACAGATTCTCTAGTCGGGCTGGGAAGTTTCAACACCTGCCGTATAAGACGACCCCTAACTTTTGAGAAGACTTTCCTGGGTTTAAAAGTAGTCTTATACGCCAGAAAATACAATACAGTTTTGAAAGCATTATGAGTTGTTATTATAACTGAGGCTTCTGCCTTGCGAGAAGGCCTTTTTGGGGACCCACATGAATTGGGAAAATGGCATGGAATCAAAAATAGCTTTACTGCTGAGTTGAATTAGTTGATTTAACTGTAATATGACCATGGATGATCTAAGGATAGACTTATCATCCCAAGTTGAACATTTAAGTTCTGCGAAGAGGTAACCATGGCTCATTTTGTACTAGATTCCTGCCTCTATGGCCAAAATCCAGTTACAAGTCAGTAAACCTCATCAATAGGATTTAAGTAAGTTCTGACTTACAATTTAGCAACTAAAGCAATAACAGTATTCTAGTTGGGGCTAGCAGATTCTTCATATATAAAGTTTTAATTTGGATAAGTTGAATAATGAATTGGGAAATAGTATCTTGGTCTGATATATATATATATATATATATATATATATATATACATACACACATACATATATATATACATACATACATACATATATATATATATATATATATATACACACACACACATACATACATACATATATACACACACACATATATATACATATATAAAATTGGTGAGCCACGGTGGCACAGTGAGTTAAACCCTTGTGCCGGCTGAACTGTTGACCTGAAGGTAGGTGGTTCGAATCCACGAGAGGGGATGAGCTCCCAACTGTCAGCCCCAGCTTCCCATGTGGGGACATGAGAGAAGCCTCCCACAGGATGGAAACACATCCAGGTATCCCCTGGGCAATGTCTCTGTAAACGGCTGATTCTCTCATATCAGAAGCGATTTGCAGTACATTTTCAATTAGCTTCTGACACAAATACATACATACACACACACACACACACACAGATAATTTGCTAAATGGGGATTATTGTGCAAAATCATGAAATTCCTGCTCAGACTTACCATTTGAAAGCCATCAGCTATGGTATAGGTGATGTTGATAGTACCTGATCCCTCATAACCAGGAAGATGCAGGGGACTTTTCGAGAATGTCATGTGCCCCGGGGGCTGATTCCCTTCTATTTTCCCATAAAATTCATTGCACACAGGGCAGGCTGGCTTGTGCTTCATGGCCTCTCGAATGCAGTCTCTGCAAAACTCGTGCTTGCATTTGGGCAACACTTCTTTCTGGCTGAATTTATCCATACAGATAGAGCACTGCTCCTCTTGCTCCACTTCTTTAGCTTTCAGATCTGATTTTTCTTGGGAAGGACGCTTTGCCGGGGAAAGATGCATTCTGTGGTCACTGTTTTGCTCAAAGGGTCTTCCTGGAATGGTTCCAGTGCTGGAAGAAGGAACAGGTGACTTTGAAGACAGTTCCACGGCAGAGTCTAGAAATGTCTTGATGTGCTTTTCAGCTTTACAGATTTGTTCTGGAAGACCACGAAAGATCAGTTGACCTTCCTTGTTTTCGAGACATACTCGGGGATTTTCCGTACAAAGTTGCGGAAAGTACTGATTCAATAACTTCTTTTGAACCTCCAGAAGATTCAAAGTTATTTTTCTCTCTGTGGGTTCTAATGTACGCTTCTGATAAATTTCAAAGAAGCTATTGTAAGCTTGTGGGACCTCATATGGTTTTGTGTACTTCTTTGGCTTAAAAAAGATGACGAGGTTTCCACTATTTCCACTAGGCTTTGTGTCTATTTCAGTACCAAACTTCTCGTTTATAGCCCTGATATCTTTAGCCAAAATTGGTTCAAGAAATGTAAATACATCAGCATTGACTTCAATGCCACTCTCTGGGGAATTAATTTTTGGGTTTTTCTCCGTGTGCTTTGTCTTTATTTCTTCTATGTCATTCTTAGCAGCTGAAATCTCCTTTCCAGGGCCACGGAGAATCAACTCCTTTCCCTCTGGTTTAACAAGGACACTTTTATACCGGGTGCTTAACAATTCCTGAGCCTTAACAAAGTGGACGTGCTCAGTGAAAGGAATTCTTTCCTGTTTTAGAACTGATGTTATTTTCTGAAAAGCACTGACAAATTTCTGTTGAGCTTTCTCAATGGAGTTAGGTGCCCCAAGAGAAACAAACTTTACAGAAGTCAAACCATTTCCACGATCGTTCCAAGTCAGTCTGGCATTACAACTCTGCTCTAATTCTACAACTGTTTCCTTACAGACCTGGTTAAAATATTCAAAAATAGCTGAAGGCACTTCCATAGTAGACACGGCTTCGAAATCATTCTTGCTTTCCTCTTTCACACTTTCCATTTCCACATCCATGTTGTCTGACGAATTCTGTCCATTCAGGGGGGAAAATGCACTGCGGTGCCGTGGAGAGTTTGCAAGGACTTTCTCAAAGTGAGAGTGCAACTTCTGGATAGCGTCATAATCTCCCAACACCCTTTCTACGCCAATATGGCTTGAACATGAATATATTTTTATAGTGGGGAACAACGTAGCCACCTGATCCCTCTCTTCTCTTGTGAGCAGGTCTGTATTCAAAGTGGCAGAAACATTGAGAAAAATCTGAGGAGGAAAAAGAGATCAGGCAACTTAAAAAAGAATCAAGTGGCATGCGCCGGCTGCTAAAAGTCCCTGATCCAAACCAATAACTCATAGGCTAGTACAATTTCACATTTAGCAGGCATGCAGCGACATATTTCATAGAAGAATGAATGCATGGTTTCCTTTGCAAAACCAATCTTTAGTTACAGATGTGAAGGGTAGGAGATGAAGGAAGAGCATTAAAAAAGGGAGGTGAAACCTCATACCAAAAAACTATTAAAGTTATCCGGAAAGTAAGGTTACAAGGCACTTGCAGGGAATTTTCTCGGGGGAAGTTGGTATCACTCCTGCATAGCGAGAAGCCACTGGAAACGAATGAGCAGTGAAGTTGATATCACTGTTGTGTAGCAGGAAGCCAGTGGAAGAGAAAGAGCAGTGAAGTTGGTATTACTGCCATGTACTGGGAACCCAGCAGAAGTGAACGAGCAGTGCCAGTCGTCAGTAGCTCATCAACTGGCATTGTGGTGAAAGTTAGAGATGAGTGTCCTCATTCCGTTTCCCTTCTGTCTCTTTCGTGACAATGCGCGTCCACACATTGCTCAAGCAACGCAAGAGTTGTTGACTTCATTTAATCAGGATGTTTTAAGCCAACCCTCTCACAGTTCCAATCTCGCACCCAGTGACTATCATCTGTTCACTAAATTAAAGGAATACCTTGGTGGAAAACACTTTTCCGATGACGACAAGGTGAAAATCGAAGTGGCAAACTAGCTTAAAAAGTTGGTGGGAGACTTCTATGACACAGGAATAAAAAAAATGTTGCATGGATGACAAAATGTATTGGACTGGATGGTGATTATGTGGAATAACAATGTACTAGCTATGCTTAAATCCATGCAAGTTTTATTAAAATATATTCATTCCTTGTATTTTTTTTTTAAATCTTGTAACCTTACTTTTTGGATATCCCTCGTATGTTTCAATTTCTTCTTCTGTGTTTCTCAAAAGGAAATTTTGAGAACCACTGAAGATGTTCCCATAGGAAAAAATGCTCTTTTGGAATTAGTGAACTCCTTTGCAAGACAAGGTTCCATTCATGCAAAATCACGGGACCTGCGGAACAGAACTATCTCTAAATAATTCAGTTTACAGAACAAGAGGAGAATTCCTGTACATTCGACAGCCATATTCAACCTTCAAATCCAAGCAGCAAGCACTGCCATCTTCCTAAGAGACCCATACAGAGGAAGCATTCCTTGTTTGTAACTATAGTACTGTATTGTTTCTAATTTTTGAAATTTCAAATTCATATTGTAATCCATCAATTTTTAATTTTATTGTGTCATGTTTGCTATTAAGATACCTTGAGTCCCTGTATGGGGAGAAAGCAGGATAACAATAAAGTAAATAAATAAAAAATAAAAGGACAATGCTCTCAGGGTTCATATCTTGTCAGACAGCAACTTTGCAAAGAGTTTTCCCATTCAACGAAAGCAGTTCATTTTATTTATTACCAAAGTTATGTTTTGTTTTCATTTATCCCCGTATCGAGGAGAAATTTGGAGGCTAAAAGTTATAGATTTCGATATGAGGCATGGATAAGTTGAGGGCCATTCCACAGAGAAGGGAAAACAGCAAAGCCATCTCAGGCCCCTTTCTACACTGCCAGATAAAGTCCAGATTATCTACTTTGGCAATGTATCTACTATTATCTACTATGGCAATGTAGACTCATATAATCCAGTTCAAAATCAGATGTGGATTATCTGCTTTGATAATCTGGATTATATGGCAGTGTAGAAGGGGCCTCAGAGGGCTAGTCACCCTGCCTACTGCCAGCATTTCTTCTATCTATCTATCTATCTATCTATCTATCTATCTGAAAATATGTGCATATATGGCTGGGATGTCCACTTACACAGACAAGCTCCTGCCTCCACAAACAGTGAAAGCTCCCACTACTCAAGAGACACCAATGGCCCTCCCCCTCCAATGACATTGCAGGTTATAGTGAGCGCCATGAACATGTACAAGAGCCCTACCAATGTCCTCCACAAGCACCATACTGCCCACCACCCAAGTGAAAGCTTTCATACAGGGACAATTTCATCCTAGATTTTATGTGTTTCTTCCACCACAGGCATCCCAGTGTTTCTGACTCTCTCCATTGGCATGAAGTTTGCATGATCCCGCCCACTGCCTCTCCCTTAACCCTTTCCTAGTCTTTTCTATGGCTCACAGCATACAGAGGAATTGATCAGCAACTGAATATACTAGAGAGGTTTGGGGAGAATTCGCCATAATTTATAGGAGTTGTAGGTACTGGGATGTATAGTTCACCTGCAATCCAAAAGCACTCTGAACTCCACCAACCCTGGAACTAACTTGGCACACAGAGGTTCTATGACCAACAAAACATATTGGCAGTCTTTGGAGGGATTTATAGGAGTTGTAGTTCACCTACATCCAGAGCGCACTATGAACTCAAACAATAATGGATCTGGACCAAACTTGGCATGCATACCCAATATGCCCAAATTTGAATACTGGTGAGTTTTGAGGGGAATTGGCCTGGGCATTTTGGAGTTGTGCGTACTGGGATTTATAGTTCACTTTTAATCAGTGAGCACTCTGAACTCCACCAAAAATGGAATTGGACCAAACTTGGCACGCAGAGCCCCCATAACCAGCAAAAAATACCAGAGGTCTCTGGGGAAAATTCAACTTGATTTGGAGGAGTTGTAGTTCACCTACAGCCAGAGCAAACTGTAAACCCAAACAATGAAGGATCTGAACCAAACTTGGCATGCATACCCGATATGTCCAAATTTGATTACTGGAGGGGTTGTTCATGGGACTGACCTTCCTTTCTGGGAGTTGTAGTTCACTCACAACCAAAAGAACTGTGATCTCTACCAATGATGAACCTGGGCCAAACTTGGCATACATACCTGATATGCCTACATTTGATTACTGGAAAGGGGTGGGTAACCTTCCTTTCTGGGATTTGTAGTTCACCCACAATCAGAGAAATGGTGACCTCCACCGATGATGGACCTGGACCAAACTTGGCACACATACCCAATATGCCCAAAATTTGATTACTGGAGGAGTTTAGGGGGAACAGACTTTGACCTTTCTGGGAGTTGTAGTTCACCCACAACCAGAGGAACTGTGACTTCCACCAATAATGGACCTGGACCAAACTTGGCACAAAGAACCCCCATGGCTGACTCAACCTACTGGAGGGATTTGAAGGGACTGACCACAGTGTGAGTTGTAGCTTACCCTACACCCAGAGAGCACACTGAACCCCACTGATGATGCACCTAGAGCAGTGGTTCTCAAGCTGTGGGTCCCCCGGTGTTTTGGCCTACAACTTCCAGAAATCCCAGCCAGTTTACCAGCTATTAGGATTTCTGGGAGTTGAAGGCCAAAACATCTGGGGACCCGCAGATTGAGAACCACTGCCCTAGAGCAAACTTGCCCAACATAACAAACTTTAGGTACCGATGGAATTTCACAGGGTTCACCCACAACCTTATGCATTCTGTACACTTAAAAATGGACTTTTGGACTGGACCATGTTGTTGTCTTTACCTTTCTGGTCAGGTGGTCAAGATCACTGGAACGTGTCCCACCTGGCTTCCACTCCAGTTCATTCTGTGCTGACATTGTGTTCAAGACAGGAGAGGCCTCTGCTGCTGGACCGGCGTGGTTTGCTAAAGGTCTTCCTCCTCCTCCTCCGGGGCCCGCTCCGTCGACTTCAGAACTGGGCAAGATGCTGACCTCCAGGTTTCTCCCATCAATGGTTATCCAGTGGGGTTCGCGGGCCTTCACTTGGTTCTTTGCTGGACAAGAAAGGAAACAAACAAGGGCATTTGGGTTCAGGGGTGCGCCCTCGTTCTGAAGCCACGCCATTCAGAGAATTCCTGACCACTTTGTGTTTCTTTGACAACGAAAGAAAAGAGGACAACAATCCCATAGCAAAGTCCACTCAACTCTGAGGTCCCTTCCACACAGCTGAATAAAATCCCACATGTATCTGCTTTGAACTGAGATATAGGTTAGTGTGGACTCAGATCACCCAGTGCAAAGCTGATATGGTGGGATTTCCTGCCTTGATATTCTGGGATAGCGGGCTGTGTGGAAGGGCCCTGAGCTCTACATTTCCAAGAAGTGCCCAATCCCAGGAAGGAAGGGGACGGAGCTCTTTTATAATTAGCACCAACGTCACTCTCTCCCCAGAGTTTCAGTGTCAGAGGCAAGTGTGAACTAAGTCGAGGCTCAGCCTGGCTGGAGAATTCATGCCATCTGGCACCACTAGGGGGCAATGCGATGCAACGCTGTGATCTGTAGTTTGGGGAGGTCCCCGCATTTTGGAGCAAAGAGGAGGAAAGACTTTGGAAAACTGCCTGGGGCAGTTAAAGCGAAGCCAAACCGCGTTAACTCTACAGTGTAGACACACCCAAAGGCTTTAGACAGAGAGCTGGTGCCTCCTCAAACTACAACTCGCAGGATTCCATAGCCTTGAGCAGAGGGAGTTAAAGCTACAGACACAACCAAAGCCTTTAGCCAGCCTTTCGCCAAAGGGAGCTGGTGACTCCGGAAACTAACTCCCAGGATTCCATAGCCTTGAGCGGCGGGAGTTAAAGCGAAACCAAGCCGCGTCAACTCTACAGTGTAGACGCACCCAACGTCTCTAGCCAAAGAGAGCTGGTGCCTCCTCAAACTATAACTCCCAGGATTCCAGAGCATTGAGCAGCAGGAATTAAAGCGAAACCAAACCAAGTCAACTCTACAGTGTAGACGCACCCAACGTTTCTAGCCAAAGAGCGCTGGTGCCTCCTCAAACTATAACTCGCAGGATTCCAGAGCCTTGAGTGGCAGGACTGAAAGCGAAACCAAACCGCGTTAACTTTACAGTGTAGACGCACCCAAAGTCTCTAGCCAAAGAGCGCTGGTGCCTCCTCAAACTATAACTCGCAGGATTCCATAGCCTTGAGTGGCGGGAGTTAAATCGAACCCAAACCGCGTTAAGTCTACAGCGTAGACGCCCCCGGAAGCGAGGGGAAGGAGCCTCTCCCACGCCTTACCTTCCTCGGAGCGGAACCTGACTGCGTAGAGGCCCCGCTCCGCGTCCCGCGCCCGCACCTCGCACTCTCCGCCCCCGGACTTCCTGGGGGACTGGAAGTAGGCCTCCAGCTTGAGCTCGATCTGCTTGGGGTTGTTACCGGAGGGATAGACGCGCACCAGGAGCGGGGAGCCGCGGGCGTCCATGGCCAGGGCTGGGCGGAGGGGCGCCGCGCTTTCGCTTTCGTTTTCCCCAAGCCGCTCCCKCAGGCGCCCCTGACATGCGCCACAGCGCCCCCTGCCGCCCCCACCGGGAATGCAAGCAAGCAAGAAAGGAAGGWWGGAAAGGCAGCCCCAGCTTCCTARTCAGGAAGGCCTTCTTTCGGAAATGGGCCGCTTTCGCTACTTGGGAAGCCTGGGAGTTGTAGATTGATGAGGSAACRGCCCTATCTACATCAATATTTTTTGACCAGGGACCACTTTGACCAGGGACCACTCTCCAACATTAGTACCAAAAGGCTTACAAATCAGTTYTTGGACAACTTTAGATTGGRTTTGGTTATTTGGGGTGCTGATTTGGACAACTGCATTGGATACRCCACATCAGCTCTAGTTTCTGATACAGAACATATGCCCTCCAGTAGTTGCCAYCTGTTGTTACACAATCACTYGTAGCCCAAGGATGATGGTCCTCCAAGTGTAGTGTCTTGGTRGTGGGTTTGTAAGTAACTGTGGATCCCTATTCTTGATCCACATGTTCTCCYGCAGTGAGGACATCTGTTTYGAGATGGAAGGTGGTCCCAGTSAGGGTTGGGTTGACATGCCTTCCTCTTGGCACATTTCTCCCTCTCGCCTTCCATTTGTGCCTCTTTGAATTCTGCAGCACTGCTGGCCACAGCTGACCTCCAGTTAGAGTACTCAAGGGCCAGGGCTTCCCAGTTCTCAATGTCTATGACACAGTTTTTRAGGTTGGCTTTAAGCCCACCTTTAATTGTCCACCAACATTGCRTTTCCCAATCTTGAGTTGGGAGTATAGTGTCTGCTTTGGGAGACGGTGATAGGCATTCAGACAACGTGGCCAGTCCAGAAGAATTAATGGCATAGGAGCATCGCTTCAGTACTGGTGGTCTTTGCTTCTTCTGCCCACCCACAGAAAACAATATTTAATAATCTCAAGTTGATGCAGTCAATCCAATGCAGTTTTCTGAATGAGCACCCCAAATAACCCCAGGAACAGGCGTAAAAATAAAGACACCAAGGCGCCCCCGCTTCCAGGCACAACATGGAATGGCTCCGCTCAGGGAGAGGGAGGAGAAGGAGGAGAAGCTCTAGTCAAGAGGCTTGTTGTCGCACCTTTCATGTGTAGTCAGTCACTCCCTTCCCGACATCCCTGTTGCCTTGGCACTATAAGAAGGTTTCGCGAGACCACTCGCTCTTGTTACAACTTTGTAGTAACGGTGAGGCCACAGACCGTATTTTAGTTTTTGGAGACAACTGGTGGTCCACGGACCAAAGGTTGGAAACCACTAATATGCACTATGGAATGAATAGCTTCTAACACCATTACTTTCACTGCCTTGGCTCAAGGCTATGGAATCCTGGGAGTTGTAGTTTGACAAGGTCGTGAACTTATTCTTTTTTCCTCCCCATTAAAGTTACGTAGTGAGCCAAAGCTTTGCTGAGTATTCAAAGGGGGAGGGAGGAAAGGAAGAAAGGACCAAGGAATGAGGGAGAGAAACAAGAAAGGTAGAGGGAGAGAGGGAAGAAAGGACAGCAGCAAGGGAGGAAAGAGAGAGAGGAGGAAGGAAGAAAAGAAGGAAGGGGGATCATATCTTTAACTACTATATTTCCATAGGGCTGAAGTTTCTATTGACATATCTTCCACATTCAGGTGAGTTAAATGTTAGCCACGAGCCTCTGTACTGAATGTGTTTCTTCATGGATTTATCTCCCAAAAGAAATTGACCTGAAAGAAACACATTCCACAATGAGAAAGATAAAATAGAGCAAATAAGGATATTGTTTATCTGATCCTAACTGGTTTGGACCAGTCCATGAAACTCTTTAAATGTGTTATTCTTTTAATTTGTTACAGGATCTTAGTTTATGTTTCAATGCAAGTGATCTGCTGTCCCATTTGGCATTTGCTCTACTACTCCCAGGCCTGGTTAGTTTGGAAGTGGAGTCTCCTTTGAGGAGACACTTTGTTGGATGAGCTAGCAAGGCCGATGAATAGTGTGATCAAGGGAGGAAGGAAACACTCTAATTAGCAACACTTGGCAACTGTCCACTCACTTTGTTTATTATTATTATTATTATTATTATTATTATTATTATTAACAATATTTATACCCTGCCTTCCTACCCAAGGGGGCTCACAGTTACACACTTTGATAAAAAACAAAGCATTTTTTTAAAAAAAGTTAAACAATACTGCGTGTTAGGTTAAAATGCAGTTAAAATACAATAAATCCAATTAAAATGCATTTCAAAATACCAAATTCTCCAAAAAACTATCGTGCTTTGATTTAATGAATTGGATGGTACAAAAATATTTACTATGTACACATCTGGGGCCATGGCGGTGCAGCAGGTTAAACTGCTGACCCACTGAACTTGCTGACCAAAAGGTCAGTGATTCAAATCCAGGGAAGGGATGAGTATACAAGTGTGAGTGGATCAATAGGTACCGATTCAGCAGGAAGTTAACGGAACTCCATGCAGTAATGCTGGCCGCATGACCTTGGAGGTGTCTATGAACAACACCGGCTTTTATGCTTAGAAATAGAGATGAGCACTACCCCCCGGAGTCAGACTTCACTAGACTTAATGTTAATTAATTATGATGGTTATAACTCTGGCGATGTCATCTGAGTGGAACTTCACTATAGGTTGATATTGAAAAGATATTGGTCAAGACTTGAAGTGCATCTACATTGTAGAATTAATGCAGTTTGATGCCACTGTAATTGCCACTCCCTTTGCAGAGGTGGCTAAAACCTTGTCATAAGACATCCCCATAATTCCATATCTTTGAGCTATGGTGCTTAAACTATATTCATTCTACAATGTAGACTCATCCTGGTGTACTTCTCATTGCTGTTCCAGGGATTCCCAACAACTGATAGAAGAAGGAGATGTGCTAAGTTTGTATTTCTTTCACTGATGCTTTTGCCTTCTTTATAATAAAATCTTTGGCGCTTATTGCTTCTGAATCCATGAGTAAGATTACACCCTTCCTCCCCGCTCCCCTACTTTCACATGGCAAGAAGATTGTGAGCAAGAAAGTAACTTGACAATGAGGTGTAGGTTCTGGGGTCTCTATAGTAACTGGACAAGAGGATTCCAAGAGGAATCGCTACATAACCAAGGAAGCTCCCTTACTACTCAGCCAAAGCAAGTGGACAATGGAGGAGGAAAGAAGCAGCATCTAGAAGGGGACAACACAGAAAGGGTTCGAAATGGGGAACATGATGAAACTCCTGGTAGGTGGACGGAAAGAAAAGATGGTTCAGCAGAGGTTGCACCTACTCTAGAGTTAGTGCAATTTTGTGGTGTAATGTAAAATAAACCACATGTAGTTCACATTTGATCAGCCCACACACTGCCTTGCGAGGAAAAGAAAATATGCCACGCAGGTGAACAGTAAAGAACAAGTAGTTTACTCTTCTTAGTTCAGAACAACATGTATAATCAATTACACTGACTCAGATAATATCCTTTTATGAGAGATTTAAAATGGTATGTCTTTGTCTATCTGGATAAACTCCTTCAGCAGCTTGTGAAACAAGAGCACACTCCAAACTCTGTCTCTCTTTGCTTCTCTCTTCTTTTCTCTGTCCACCTGCATATCTCATGCCTGAACAAAAAGTAACAGTATCCAAAAGCCCCAGGCTCAGCCAACTTCCCGGGCATTACCCGACCAATCAGCTTAATGCATCTTATTTTTCAGTTGACACACACGCACTCACTGGTTCCTTGCATGCTCCAACAAATTTGACACTGCTTTAGCTGCCATGGCTCAATGCTAATTATAGGAGTTGTAGTTTTACAAGCTCTTTTAAAAGCTTTTATCTTTAAAAATTTACGAAAGCAAGGATTTTTGAGTAGTGAACATAGTGCACAAATATTAATTTTGATTTCTGAGAGAGATATAGGAGTAATGATCTGATTGCACTTTTATGGCCATTTGATTTCAAAATGTTTTAAAATACCTGTTTACAATATTTTCACAGACTTCCAGTTCTGAGACCACTCAGCATGACAACCCAGGTAGATAATCCACTTTAAACATTTTGTAGGAGATCATACTTTTTTACTTAATTTTACTTAATTTTTGTTTTACGGAAGTGGCTGAAGGAGGTCTATGAACTGCAGCTTCCAAAAGGCCATATTCCTTGCCATTTTGATGGCTCTATAAAGACCAGTTCTTTTCCTTCTGGGTGAAATAGCTTTAAGATCCAAAGGCTCTCAATCCGAATATACAGGCAGTCCTCGAGTTATAAACATCCGACTAACAAATGACTTATAGTTAAGAAGCTTTCTTACCAATCCTTGTTTCCTCAAGACAAATATTTCAAAACCAAATGATCACAGGGACAGAAAGTGAGGTAAAATCTTCTAAACAGGGACATAGGCAGTAAAACAAACACCACAGTGGTGTTAACCATTTCCCATGTCCAAAGCTTGTGTGTGTGTGTATGGCTGGAGATACACTGTAAAATGTACTTGTTCCAATTTACATACAAATTAAACTCAAGAACAAACTGAACAAACCTATATTGTTTGTAACTTGGGGACTGCCTGTATATAAATTGGTCAGTTGACACATTTGATGTTTCAGCTCCTCAGTTGTAGATGGGGAGGGCCTTCCAAACATATGGTTGGATTTTTCTTTTTTTCCAAGTTTTTGGAGTGGAAGGAAAGAGGAAAAACAAATAAATTTCAGAAATATAGTATGAAAACCATATTCACAGTGAAATACGTTCCTGAATATACCATGGAAATAGGAAACCATAGATAATAGTGAACCATATTGAAATGAATGGTGTCTGCTGAAAGTTACCACAGTATCATTCTGGAGGACATAGAAAATGTTTCTAGGAGTTAGTTAGGTCCTCCATTGTAATCAGGGCTGTAGCCAGAAAAAAAATTCAGGAGGGGTTGAAATTTGGGGGGGGGGGAGGGGTTTAAAATTTGGGGGGGGGTTGAAACCTGCCTCCTAGCTCACACTGAAGCAAAGAGCACAGCAGGGGGCAGAGCAGCCTTCAATAGCCTGCAGCTCCGCCCCTGTCAACCACCTCCACCAAGTCTGGCCTCCTTAATGAGAGCATTCAACACACACACACCCAACTTGGTTGCTTCACTACATCGGCTATTGCTGCAAGTAATGACAGTGTGAATAAATTGCCAATATTTGCCTGAGATAGTTCTTGCAGTTCTGGAGGGACTCTAAATTTTTTGCATCTCATAGACTTAGCATGGGGATTTGGTTAACCAGTTAAAATTTATGAGTAAACCAGGTTTTTTAAAAAATCTGAAACATTTCGGGGGGGGGGGGTTGAACCCCTAACTCACCCCCCTGATTGTAACTATATGTAATGTCCAGTGGAACATGCCATAGAATTGCCTGGAGGATCTGGATAATAATAATAATAATAATAATAATAATAATAATAATAATAATAATATAGTGGAAAAGTGAAGCTTACTGAACTTGGGCTGCCAAAAGAGCCAGTGAAAAGTTTGTTAAATGGAATTACTGATGATACAAAATAATTCCTCGAAAGCAACAGAAATTGCCATTCCTGTTAACAAATGACTTCATTCAGTGCTGATGTAACTGCGGAGCATTTTATATCAGCATTTAAAAAAAAAACAGGGACATATTTACCACAGAGCTAGCTGGCTTGTTGATTTCTTTGCCCAGAGGTAAACATAAATTTCTCCAAAACTACTTCATACAAGATGAAAATGACTGATGGAATGCACTCTGCTAGATCACTATTTGAGTCAGAAGGCATACTATTGAGTCAGTGCTTAAAAAAACACATTCATTCCTCACCAGACTGAGCCACAGCAAAGTGTGGCTGGGTATAGCTAGTAATAATAATAATAATCTTTATTTATATCCCACCCATCTTTCCAAGAGGACTTATTTATTATTATTATTTAAAACATTTATATTCTGCCCTTCTCACCCCAAAGGGGACTCAGGGCAGAGCACAGCATATATACGGCAAAAAATCAATGCCGGGAGAAGAAATCATATGAATATGCATAAACATTAAAAACATTTATCAAAATAACAAAATACATTGTTTTGGGGTGGCTTACAACATAAATAAATCCAATAAATAATATATGCAAAATAAAATAAGGCAGATAATAACATGACTAATTAATATAAAAGAGAAAACAAAATATAACAAAATAGACAAATGAAACAATAAACAGTATAAAACATTAATTTTAGAACATATTTTGCTGGGTGCAGGTCAATGAAACTATGAGCACTGGGGGTTGTACTGTACATAAATGAACATCTTCCTCCTCCTTTTGCCATAAGCAAGAAAGTATTTACTTTGTTTTTATTGACCATAGAAATGAAGATGCCCATGGATGAGGAAATGTTATCAATTCCTATCAGTAACAACGTTTATGCAATTCTGAAGAGACGAGAAAACTACTTCATCAGTTTGCTTCAGAAGAAATTTGGTTGCATTGCTGTCCTTAAGAGCATAAGGAATCCCATCAAAGTGTATAAGAAAAGCCTGAAGGAAGGAGTTGAAGTCTCTGTTTGGGTAGATGACTTTACAAGACACGAGGCCGATGCTTTGGTGAATGCATCCAATGAATACCTGCACCATTTTGGAGGCCTTGCATTCGCTCTCATGAAAGCTGGAGGACCAGAAATTGAAAAGCAGTGCAAGCATTTCATTGATAAGAACGGACCACTCAGCATTGGCCAGATTGCTGTTACGAGTGGCGGAAGACTCCACTGTAAGCAAGTCATCCATGCCGTTGGTCCGCGGTGGTCTGAAGGCCAGAAAGAAGAGTGCTGCCTAAAACTTGAAACAGTCATTATCAACATTTTGAAATATGTAAATGCCCCAGAAAACAACATCAAATCTGTTGCCATTCCTGCATTGAGCTCAGGGACCTTCCGTTTCCCGCAGGAGTTATGTGCTCATGTGATTGTACGGACTATAAAGAATTTTATCCAGCTAGCTCCATTGTTTGGCTACTTGCAAGAAGTCCATCTTGTGAACACTGATGAAACCGCTATTGAAGTAATAAGGAGAGTTTGTGATGAATTGCTAGGTCCAAATGATATTGTGCCTCTGAATGGAGCGGTGGATTCTGTCACAATCCATAACCTCTGCCTCCAAATCAAGAAAGAGAATATAGAAACACAGAAAGTAAGTTTGTTTCAGCTTATCGCCAGTAGGATGGGCAAAAATATATAAGGTAGGAGAAGGGAATTTTGACACCGATGATTAACTGGCACAACTACTTTTGGAAAAGGTACTGTATGGATTACATTTCCCATAATTGCCAAACAGGGATACTGAGGGTTGTACTCAAAGTGCACTTCTCAAACTTTGCTTTTGCTTTTACAGGGTGAAGGTCTGGGCATTGACAGCTCTCCCTAGTGCCCGGGTTTCAAGTGTTTCTGGGTTCCAGATTAAAGCCTCATGTAGTGAAATATATAATTGAACCTTTTTCAGGGCAAAGGTGTAATTTGTTTAGAGATCTTTGAAGGGGGCCAAGTCCAAAGGCAAATAAGAATGACCAAAATACCAAATAAAGCTTTTACAGACATCTAACTAAGCCTTAAGCGAAGCATTTAAACCATTAGGGAAGACCGAAAAGTCTATACAAAAGCTGGGAAACCAACAAATGATGCCATGGGAAGCGGTCCTCTGTTAAAGCCACTGTCCCCCAGTTCTAGTGTTGTATTTAGTGAGATACGCCATTAAACAAAGTATGGTCCATGTACAAAAACAAAAGAAAAGAAAAGATAGATTCTTAATTCCTGTTCCAATTATGTTTATATCTCTTTGGTATGTATGTGTGGTTCCTTTAAGGATGTCCTTTCTTGACTGCATTAGTGCTTCCCCTTGCTTTTTTCTTTTGCCCCAACATAACGAAGAGGACAAACTTCTTTTAAGATATTGCAGTTGATTGTATGGGTATGGTAATATGATACCGGTACTTTCCACCGCAGCGTGGAGGAGACCAACAAATGTTCACATTCCAAGGTGACCCATACATTCATTTTTAAGTGGTAGGTTTGTGTTTCCTAAGCCCTTTGGGATCAGGCTTTTGGTACTATGTTACCCCATGTTGTAGTTCAGTCAGAGGCTGAAGACAAGGGTATGGTTCTATCAGAGGTTGTGATGACTGATAGGATTTCCAGCATGGGAAATAAGAGGATTTTAGATCACAATTCCACCTGGGAGAATGGGTCTGGGTCTGGTGAGAGAGAAACAGCTTCAGAGCAGAGCAGTGAGGGATATGCTGTGGCATCAGAAGGTAGGGATAACCTTTCCCCTAGTCATTCCTTGGCAACGGAAGATAAGGAGCTGGAAGGGAGGGATCTGTTCCCTGGGAACACATCTGTAGCCAGATTATGGAGGTCACAGAGACTCCATGAGAAAGAGCAGAGTGAGAAATCCTTGTAGCAACAGAGCAGATGTCAAAGATGACTTCATGGCTTTGTGGTCCTTAAATTAAATGATTATTTACTAAATGGGTTAGAGCAGGCAACACTGCATTGCCATGTACACCTTGGTCTTGAATCATGTTCAAGCCTATGTTTAAGTTCTTTGGGAAAGTTTTGTGCTCATGTTCCTGGATTCATGTTTTAGAACAATGGTTCTCAACCTGTGGGTCCCCAGATGTTTTGGCCTTCAACTCCCAGAAATCCTAACAGCTGGGGTTTCTGGGAGTTGTAGGCCAAAACACCCAGAGATCCGCAGCTTGAGAACCACTGTTATAGAAGAAGTTCCTGTGTTCCTGGTTATGGATTTAGGCTTATACTTTGATTCTGATTTTTCCATATACCTTGTCTCTTTTCAAACAGAACTCTGATGTATGGACTATTGCCTTCTAATAGCCTTTTTCCTATTGCTTTTTGGGGATATTGCTTTTATTATTACCTTTTGCCTTTTTGCCTTTTTATATTGGCTTTTTCTTCAGTAAATTGTTTGTGTGGTGCAAAGACGAATTCAGGCCAGAGTGCAACACTCCAGTCATATCGGAAGAAGGCTATTTTGAATGGTCATTTAGCATATAGAAACCATGCAATGATGTGTAATGAAACAGCATCAGATTTGAACTCATTGTCTTCCAGGTTGCTGTTATTATTAACTCTGTGGTTCTACAAGATGATCCATCACAAGGAATAGGAGAGATATTAGGAAATGCTGATCCAGCTATGAAGGAGGAATTCCTGGCAGAATTACATAAACATCCATCAGAGAGTCCCAAACTCATATATACCAAAGGATATAATATTGACTGTGAGTTTGTGCTGCATGTAGTATGGCCCTCTTCCAGTAAAGACAACGCTCAGGAGGTGATGTCTTTCATCCGTTAACTTTCTACTACTGTAGAGTCTCGCTTATGCAACCTTCCCTCATCCAACATACTGTATTATCCAATGCAGTTTGCCTCCTGCCTGGTTCCATAGCTGTTTCAATACATTGCAATGTTTGGGTGCTAAATTTGTAAATACAGTAATGTTACCATGTATTTAACTGCTTTTTCTGCTGATTTGTTGTAAAACATGATGTTTTGGTGCTTAATTTATAAAATCATAACGTAATTTGACGTTTAATAGGCTTTTCCTTAATCCCTCCTTATTATCCAACATTTTCACTTATCCAATGTTCTGCCAGCCTGTTTATGTTGGATAAGCGAGACTCTGCCGTATTTAAATCTTATGAGTGTAAAGAAAGTCCAGCCTGTGTGACTCAACCTTTTCTCTAGCAGGCGTTAAAAGCAGCCGTGTTGAAAAGTCTTTGCAAGACTCAGGAGCGTCAGTTTCCATCCATTTCTTTTCCTCCCCTTGGGATTGAAGAGCTTCATTTGCCAAAAGATGACGTGGCAGAGATTATGGTGGAGGAAGTCATACGCTTTGCAAAGGAACATCCTGACAAGAAGCCAGAAGTATACATTGTAATTCCTCCGGATGACAATGATATTTATCAGGTAACATAGTGAATGTTAGTTGCAAGCTAAAGAACAGTGCAAACTGTCATGCTTGTGTACTTACTTCAAACAAATGCATATTTTCTGCAGTTGATTACCTGCTGTTCTCTTGTTACAAATGCGTCATCCCCTTACTTCATTTGTGGAAAGCACTCTGCTCAATTTGAGCCGGAACTATCAATTAGTCATATGCTAAAATATTATAATTTTATATATTGTAAAGTGGCGCTGTGCAAAAGCATTAGTTTGTACGATATATATATGGGCAAATGTTATTAGATGCTAAAAGTAACCATGATTTGTATTCCTTTTCCTAAATTGATGCAATCATTTTTTTGCTCTGAACCTCAAAACTGCAAGAAATGGAATATTTTTTAGCATCAGGAAGCATTATGAAGTAAATTCCAAGTTACTGCATCAAATAGACCACTTCCATCACCATGATGCAATCTCAAATCAGGGTTGCTGTGAGTTTTCTGGGCTGTATGGCCAAGTTCCAGAAGAATTCTCTCCTGATGTTTCACCCACATCTATGGTAGGCATACTCAACTATATTGAGAAACAGGGTTGGGAAGGCATTCACTAGGTACACTTTAGCTTGGTCTGTTGGAAACTAGGCAAGTGGGGTTTATATATCTGTGGAATGTTCAGAATGGGAGAAAGAAATCTTGTCTGCTTGAGGCAATTGTGAATGTTGCAATTGGCCACCTTGATTAGCACTGAATTGCAGCTTCAAAGCCTGGCTTGTTGCTGCCTGGGTAGATCCTTTGTTGGGAGGTGTTAGCTGACCCTGATTGATTCTTTTCAAATCTGCTCTGAAAGCTAGGTCTATGTATGATATGTGTATGATGGGGGCAGGGGTGGGGGAGTATAGAGTTGGGAATAGTAATTGCTTGCTGTGCCAGTTCTGTTTGTATAGCCGTGCGTGCGCACGCGCTTGGCTCTCAATGCTGTAATGGCTGCTCTTCCCTTGTGTGGATTTTTGGGGTTTCTGCTGTTTCTTTGGGGGTTTTTTTAGTGGAGGACATAAATTGGACTGTTAGGTGTCTTGTGTCCAAATTTGGTGTCAATTCCCCCAGTGGTTTTTGAGTTCTGATGGTATCACAAACGAACATTACATTTTTATTTATATAGATTATTTGGCCTAATAGTTTTAGGAGGATGCATCCCATTGGATTCTGTCTGGAAATTAAACTTGCCTTTAGAAATAAATGCCACTTGCCTCGAGGGCTTCAAACTAGTAGCCATGCTATATCGAACCTTGATTATCTCACTCTTCTTTGAAGGCTTTCTGTAGCAAGCTGATATCAGTCAAAAATGAACTGGAAGAAAAGATGGACTGCTGCAGTATGGAGGCCATGGGTAAGAAATAAATAGGATGGGTTGAACATTTGTCAGTGTTTTCCTTGACTTTTAAAATATTTCAGCAAGACAGATTATACACTAAGGTTATGAGAAGAGTATATAAATCTAGCTTTGTCCTGCTATGAAACCATTAATATAGGGGGATATGTACTAAAGGAAATGATCAAACATAGCCATGTCAGTCTGGAATATCAGTATGCAAAGGGATCTTGTAGCACAACCATGAGCAAACTTGGGCCCTCCGGGTGTTTTGGACCTCAACTCCCACAATTCCTAATGGCCTACTGGCTGTTAGGAATTGTGGGGGTTGAAGTCCAAAACACCTGGAGGTCTGAAATTTGCCCATGCATGTTGTATCAGCTGAAAGATTGAGAGGTTGAAGTTGGTAGCATAAGCTTTCATAGCGTAAGCCTCCTTCACCCGATACATCTACAAAAGCTTATGCCACCAACCTCATTCTCTCAGCCTAAGGTGCTACAAAATCCCTTTGTATACTAAAGGAAATGTGGATGATGCTGGATTTTGATAGGACCCTTCAAGTTAAGGACTGGATTAAGAGCAAGGAAAATGACTTGTGTTAATGGGAGACATTGGCTGGCATACTGTTAGTGACTAAAATGCAATCCTTCTTTAAAAAGGGTTTCCCATGCCCGGCAACATCCAGCCAGGGAGAGGCTTCTACTGTTCCTTCTTAGCAAGGAGGGCAGATGAAGGTGATTCAGACTATAAAGGTCTTGCTGGTATGAGTGGAAAGGAAAAGATGGGCATACTCCAGTTGCAGGTCTTCACTCATTTCTACCCTCACCCAGATCTGAGACCACCTTCTTCTCCATGGCCTGAATTACCTGTCCTCTCCCTCGCTTCTTCAGAAGCAAGCAGTTGCTGTAGAGGACCTTCTCAGGGCTTGGCCTCTTTAGGGTGGGGAGAGGAAGTGCACATGCACAGCTTCATGCATACATTGGATCTCAGATATTAGGATTCAGATTTGGAGATGCTTCCGAAGCTTCCTTGAGGTCTTACCAACTGTTACTTGGGAGAATAATTAACCATCACTAATCACTAGGTGCTCCATGAAGTCATGCCGGCCACATGACCTTGGAGGTGTCTACAGACAATGCTGGGTCTTTGGCTTAGAAATGGAGATGAGCACCAACCCCAGAGTCAGACACGACGGGACTTAATGTCAGAAGAAAACCTTTACCTTTACCCTTAATCGCTAGGCAACAAATATTTTGGTGCCACAAATATTAGCCTTGTTTCTTGGTATATTTTACTTGCTGATCCCAAAAAATATTACTAGTTTTCCCCTATCAGCTCTAGTTTTTGAGATACAGAACATATGCCATATGCCAGTCTTTATCTGCTCGCTCATAGAAAATCATGAGAACCATATCTAAGAAACTAGAGGTGATGCGGTCTATCCAATGCCACTTTCTGAATCAGCACCCCAAATAGCCCTAGGAACAGGCCTGAATAAACAAGACAAGATTTAGTTTTTTTTTTTTGTTGGGACTGTGTAATTATTCACTTTTCACTCCTCTGCATGATAAATGTTTATTTCATTTTTTTTGGCGTCACGTTTCACTTGAGACAGCATGCCTTGCCTAACTTTCAAAACCACTCCACTCTGTATGCATATAAAAATAATTGGGAACCCAACTAAGACCTCTCTGTGAATGTAAAGTATGGCACATTTTCAATTATATGATCCAAATCTGATGAAAATGTGATGGAAAAGAATCAGTTGAGATGCCGCTTCAAATGAATATTGAACCTATATTCAGACCTTTAAAAATATATCTTCCAAATTTGGTGAAAATCCATCTAGCTGTTTTTGTTTGATTTTATGTAACTTTATTTAATTTTCTTTCTATTGTCATCCAGAGGAATTACAGTGTTTACTTTTTAACTCTTCCCAGGATGCTCTTTTGCATCTTCTGCCATATTCTCGGCCACAACATCCTTTGGCATCCTTATCAGTGCCATGCCAGAAAGACCAATTGAACTCACTGAATCTTCTGATGGTGACTGTGGGACTTCCCTGCAAATAGCAGATAACTGCATTTTAATTGCTTTGGAGAGCATGTAATCACCTTATTAAAATTGGCTCCTTTTATATCACTATTTAATTTTGCTCTGTTGAGCTAATGGGGATCAAGTATACCAAAACCAAATCAATGATAAAAGCAATTTAAAAAATGATCAAAGTGACAGAAAGATAGTAAAAAACCACAGAAATTCATCACAACAGTGAACATATAGAATGTACTATGGTTAAAGTAAGAGATGGCATTCAGTACTGCAGTTATGGATTTCTACCCTATCATTACTATGTAATCCTATTGTAAGACTACAGCCCACCTGAAGAGCCAGCAGCCGGATCAGGCATAATAATAATAATAATAATAATAATAATAATAATAATAATAATAATAATATATTTCTATACTGCCCTCTCTCCCTGAGGGGATGCAAGGTGGTTTACACATAAGAAAACAGACATTCAATGCCTAAGTGAGTACAAAACATATCAAAATACACGATAGAGCTCAATAATAACAGTGAGTTTATCATGGATGATTAAGCATTGAGATAAAAGTATGACATAATAGTCAGTAAGACATAATTAACTAAAACATAAATAAACATTACAACAAATACCCTCAAAACAGTTTAAAATACAGTTACATTAAAAATGGCTGGCACCATTGTCCCTTTAAGATGTATCATGGCAGCCATATAGTGCAAGCGGAGTTGGCAAGCATTCCAAATGGGTAACGTGTTTTAGTCCTCCTCCTCTCCATGTGATAAAGTGCATTCCTGCATTTTTAGAAGTGTCTTAAAGGAGAGGAGGGTTGGGGCCATTTTTACTTCTTTAGGAAGGGAGTTCCAGACATGGGAGCGATCACGGAGAAGGTCCCCTCTCTCATTCCCACCAACTGAGCTTGTGACGGGGATGGGACCAAGAGGAGGGCCTCCTCTATTGACCACAATGCCCGGGATGGTCTGTATGGAGAGATGTGATTAGACAAATAGCCTAGGCCCAAACCACTTAGGGCTTTACAATGACCAGCACTTTGTATTTAGCCTGGAAGTGGACCGGCAACCAGTGGAGCTGCCGCAGCATAGGCTTGTTTAGCTTCAGTTTGAGCATAAAAAGGAGAGTTTTTCCAGCAATCTTCTGCTAGGAAGTGAGGCTGTAGCAATCAGAAGTAGGACCTCTATCATAGGTTTTTGTATCTCTGTGTTTGTTGATAGGAGAGGATGGAAAGTCAATTTGAGGCTGAAATGATCTCTTTCATCCAATCTGGCTGCTGCTCTTAAGGTGGGTGGTGAGAGGGCTGGGCTACAATATATTAATTATTATTATTATGTTCATTTATTTCCCACTTTTTCTCTCCACAAGGAGACACATGAGTAGCCCATGTATAAAATCAGTGAATTGTCATAATAATGGTTGAAACATAGCAACTGAAACAATTGTCATGTGACTAATTATTAAATGAAGTATTCTTTTTTTAAAAAAAATCTAGAGGTACAGACCATTGCAGAATATGAAAGTAATGGGCCATCTGTGGAACTGATTGGACACAGTTGTGAAACTCTGGAGGAAGCAGCACTGTGGCTCAAAGACATCATTAAAGTGGAAGAAAGCCACCGGATTGTCATAAGAAACTCTAAGATCCTAAACCTTGGCAGTGGTCAGCCTGTTGAACTTTCTTATCTCCAGAAACATTTTGGTATAACTATACTGGAGAGCTCAACAGAAGAGGGGGCAGCCCTCGAGATTGAAGGCTCACCCCGAGCCGTAATTGATGCCACATTCGCAGTCGAGTTCATGCTCCAGACTACAGCCAAGCAAGAACCCTCGGCAACAGATGGTATGTGGGGATGTGTTAGCAGAAGGCATTTACAATTTGGATGAATGTACAAGCTAAATGAAGAACCTGGGAATTATTTGAGTTTGTATTCTGCTTTTCAATTTAAAAATCCACAAAGCAATATGGGGAGAGCCTTCATGGATAGCAGTCCTCCCCCCCCCCCCTTCTATGGAAAGCAGTGGAATCAATGATGGAGTGGGTCCCCTGTCCTTACATGGTTATTGTTTCAGGGTAGACAACACCTGATTCTTGCAATGACAGGTACATAGATACATTTATCATAACACTGCAGCTATTAATACACTTTCATATAGGGCAGCATGCCTTAATTAAAACCTTATATTGTATTATTTTAATTTTTTTCTCCTAATTGCAAATTAATCTTAGTGAGTTGTAGCCAGGTTTAGGTCTGCTTAGTTTCAGCACATTGAAATCAATAAAACTGATGTTGATCTTGATTAATTAAAATCTTATTGATTTCAGTGAAAGCATTTATTTTGTATTTTGAGAAGAATTTGACATGTTTTTATTAAACCAACAGGAAGAAGGGCAGTGTTCTTCTCCAAAATACGTAGTTAGTTACAGTATATTTCTGATCTAAGAGTCTTGCTTTTACTTCTATTAAGGGCCTTATTATGTTCATATAGGACCTTCATCAAGGTATCTGAGTCCTTACTCACATGAAGGGCACATGGAGAGGACGAATAAATACTGTTACCAAGTCATTCCGATAGAGTCGTATCTTCAGAAATTCAAAGACAAGGAAAAGCAACTAGAAAAAGCCGGTCTGCGGGTTCTCAAGGTAAAGATATAATGTTGACAAAACAATTTTAGTAGAATATACTCGCAAACATGTGAAATAAACAAGTATTCAGGAAGTCAGGGTCATTCTGTAAGTCAACAGGTTTTGCTGACCCATTGAATCTAGATAGCTAGCATTACAAGCAGGAATGGGCACTGGCAGGTTGCCATCGCTCCCCGTTTTTGAGCATAGCTAACACCAGGGCCGGGCTGTAGCACAGCTGGTTAATCACCAGCAGCAATAGATCTATACCAACTGAAAGGTTGGGAGTTCGACCCCAGGTCAGAGTGAGCACCTGACCTTCAGCCCAGTTTACTGTTCGCTTAAGCAATTAAAAAACCGCTGTAGCTGTGAGTAGAGAAATTAGGCACTGCTTAACCAGGGAGGTATTTTACAGCACCATAAAAAAAGCCAGTGATCAAAGACCAGGAGAAAAGTCTGATCAAAAAGGCTTATCATCATAGAGCAGTGGTTCTCAACCTGTGGGTCCCCAGATGTTTTGGCCTTCAACTCCCAGAAATCCTAACAGCTGGTAAACTGGCTGGGATTTCTGGGAGTTGTAGGCCAAAACACCTGGGGACCCACAGGTTGAGAAGCACTGTCATAGAGGATGGAGTGACAGTACCCCCCGTGGCCATAATCGAGCATAACCTCCAGGACACCAAAGTTGGAAAAATACCGAGACACATACCTCTATCTGTCTGTCTGTCCTGTATGTTTAACAGCATTGAATGTTTACTGTGTATCTGTTTTGTGATCCACCCTGAATCCCCTTCAGGGTGAGAAAAGCAGAATATAAATATTTTAAATAAATAAATAAAAGAGGAAGGCAGTCTTATCCAGAAGAAGTTCCTACTGGTAAAGGAAGATATTTTGGCAACTCCCTTATAATAATAATAATAATAATAATAATAATAATAATAATAATAATACACTTTATTTATATTCTACTTTATCTTCCTGAAGGGCCTCAGCGGATTTTTAAAGTAAATTGAGAATATACTGCAAGTCCCTTCTGGTGTGAGAGAATTGGTCGTCTGCAAGGACATTGCCCAGGGGATGACTAGATGTGTTACCATCCTGTGGGAGGCTTTTGTCATGTCTCACGAATTATAGTACACATATGAGCCAAACATTCAATGCCTTTTACACAAACAACATGCAATACACAGATAAAGTAAAGGCCTTTCCCTTTTTCATTTCCAGTGTCTGGAGGCAATGTTCAACTCCAGCCCGGGGGGGGGGGGGGACTCTTCTTCCATTTTTCATGCCAAAGAAGCCTGCTGTTCATAAACATTGCCAATCATTTTGCCGCCATGACTGCATGTCTGAATAAGGCGACCTTTTACCATCCCACTGAGGCAGTACCTATTGATCTACTTGTGTTGCATGCTTTCAAACGGCTAGGTTGGCAGAGAGCTAGGACTGACAGTGCGGAGCTCACCCTGACTTGCAACTTCGAACTGCTAAGCCTTCAGTCAGCAGCTTTTCCTGCAGCTAGTGGCTTTAACCGCTGTGCTACTGTGGCCCCAAGCATCATTACCATGACTGTTTCAGAGGGTCCCCCTAGTGTCTTTGAAAATAAAATAATTGAAACTAAAAGATTTTCCAATTTTATTTGAATTACCAACCCTGCATCTATTTAAATTTGAAATGTCTCTAGAACCAGAATAGTTTCTATTTTCATTGTAACTAATTCTAAAATGGACAAAACTTCCTTTTGCTTTTCTTATTGCAGATAGAGAAAATATATAATCCCCTGTTAGAATCTGCCTTCCAAAGGATTAAAAGAAAAATTGAAGGGAAAAATACCGGAATGCCAGTATGCCATAGATTGTACCATCATGTCCCAGCTCAGTACTGTAGTTTAGTGTGTAAAACTGGATTTCAGAAAACTTACTCTTCACAAGGTAAATCACGCATAGCCCCGTGAAAGTTGTTGGAGTCCTGCAGAAAGTGGAATAATTTTCACAATACTTTATTGATGCACAGATGCCTTCTCAAGTGGATTTAAAACAAAACTGTCAATGCAAAGCGTAAAACCAAACAATACTTAATGTCAAGATCTTGCAATTATCATACATCCTTATCCAGACAAAAGAAGGAAATCTATGGTATCAACATGTTGATCATATGTACACATTAAGTGATTATAATATTTAAAAAATATCAAACTTTATCATGTAATTAATCGGTCTACACAAATTCTCAAGCTTTATCATTTAATTAATTGGTCTTCCCAAGTAGCTAAAGATTGGGCCTGTTAGCTGCAATTTCCTACTAGTATTGTATATAAATAAAAATGTAATGTTAGTTTGTGGGATTAACAGAACTCAAAAACCACTGGACGAATTGACACCAAATTTGGACACAAGACACCTAACAACCCAATGTATGTCCTTCACTCAAAAAATTGATTTTGTCATTTGGGAGTTGTAGTTGCTGGGATTTATAGTTCACCTACAATCAAAGAGCATTCTGAACCCCACCAACGATGCAATTGAACCAAACTTGGCACACAGTTCTCCCATTACCAACAGAAAATACTGGAAGGGTTTGGTGGGCAGTGTCCTTTGGTTTTGGAGTTGTAGTTCACCTACATCCAGAGATCACTGAGGACTCAAACAATGATGGATCGGACCAAACTTGGCACTAATACTCAATATGCCCAAATGTGAACACTGGTGGAGTTTGGGGAAAATAGAATCTTGACATTTGGGAGTTGTAGTTGCTGGGATTTATAGTTCACCTACAATCAAAGAGCATTCTGAACCCCACCAACAATAGAATTGGGCCAAACCTCCCACACAGAACCCCCATGTGGGCCACAGCAACGCGTGGCAGGGGATGGCTAGTATTATTTTTAAATTATGTGTTTTTAAAAAATCTGTAATCTCTGTGTTCCTTCCAGACCAGAAATACGGAGCAGGCATCTACTTTAACAAGAATCCCAGGAGCCTGGTCACAACTACAAAGGAAAAGTGTGAAATGGACCATTTAATATGTTTATTTGAGGCAGAGGTTGTGACAGGCTCATATACGAGGGGCAGTCGAAGCTACGTGGCACCACCTTCACTCAGCGCAAGCAGCATGAAACTCTACGATAGTGTGGTTGATAATATTCACAACCCTGAGATCTTTGTCATTTTTAACAGAGAGCAAGCTCTGCCACTGTATTTGTTGACTTGTTCCCTGCTCTGGAATCCAGAAGAGAAAACCAGTTTGGAAACATCATGCCGGAAACGTTAAGACTGTAAAAACGTTAAGTCAATTAAAAATAATACAGGCACTAGATTTGGTGGCTTTAGGATTACATATGGCAGTTCTCCAATGCAATTGCAAAAAAAAATCTTGCTTCATTAAAATGGTGAAAAATACTTATTGTTTAAGAAGTAATTAAATCACAGGTGAAAGTTAAAAAAAACAAGTCATCATTTCATTCAAAACAGAATTGTGGCATTCACCATATAAGATCTTTTAAATAAAAATACCAACTGTCTAAACTCTCTGCATATTTTTTTTTCTAATCCAAAGATATAATAGGATGTATACTACACAACTTGTGGCCAGTTTTTGCATAAAAGGTATCCAAGAGATCTTTAAAAATATATAAATATATTTAAACTTTTACATCAAAAATCCTCACAAACTTTGAATACACTGCACATAATTACTTAAGCATCATGTTGCATCATCATCATGATCATCATCATCATCCTTATTTACAGCATTTATATTCCGCCCTTCTCACCCCGCAGGGGACTCAGGGCGGATTACAATATACACATATATGGCAAATATTCAATGCCAATTAGACATACAACATATATAGACATACACAGAGGCTATTTAACTTTTTCTGGCCGCCAGGGGAGCTGTCGCTTTCATTGTCCATCTGCGACACACTGATGAAGTACTTCCGCATTCCCCGCATGCTTTTTCTGGAGTGCTTTTTGCTGGAGTCTTTTATTGACTCACAAATTAGTTAATTAGCCTCACCACACATAGGTGGTACCTAATTTTCCTACTTGACAGATGCAACTGTCAAGCTACACAATTGGCCGGACACTCACTCTGAGCCGGGCTGGCTTTGAACTCATGACCTTCTGGTCAGAGTGATCTTAATGCAGCTGTCACTCAGTCAGCTGCGCCACAATCCTGGCGCATTAACTGTTATTGAATTATTGTGCTGACTTAAAAGTTTACCATAAAAACCGTTTCTGTCAGATGTACCATTGATTTTCAGTGTAACAGACACATATGATTAGAGTCATGTTTACATTTTTAAGGTAAGATACTGAAATGATTATTTCATAAGATTTTGGGCCAGCACTACTGTTATGTTGCCTCATAGTGCTGCTATTATTATTATTATTATTATTATTATTATTATTATTATTATTATTATTATTATTATTCCCTGCTTTATCTCCCCTAAAGGGGACTACAAGTGGCTTAACATAAAACCATCAGCATAACCATTTAAAATATACAGATATATGAACAATAAAGCAGGATTAAATATCAACGGAATTTTAAAATTCCCAGTTAAAAACCATTAAAACAAATTCAAAGTTAAAAACCACAACACCCCCGAATTGATCTTTAAAATCTTCACCTTTAAAAGCCTGCCTGAATAAAAGGGTTTTAGCCTGCTGCCAGGAGGACAGTAGGGAGGGGACCAGTTTGGTTTCCCTGGGGAGTTTCAGAATCAAGTGGCAGCCACTGAGAAAGCCCGCTCTCTCTTTCACACCAACCGAGTTTGAATTGGAGGTGGGATCAAGAGCAGGGCCTTGGGCAGGTTCATGCAAGGGGATGTGATCAGCCAAATAGCCTGGACCCGAACAATCTAGGGCTTTAAAGGTCGTAACCAGCTCTTTGAATTGTGCCCGGAAACAGACTGGTAGCCAGTAGAGCCGCCACAATAGGGGGGTTGTCTGCTCCCTGTAGCCAGTCCATGAGCAACCTGGCTGCAGCTCTTTGAACCAGCTGAAGTTTCCAAGCATGCTTCAGAGGCCACCCCACGCAGAGCATGTTACAGTAATCCAGATGGGAAGGAACTAAGGCATGGATACCTGGGCATCCACCGATACCTGGGCATCCAGGTTCAGCACTGAGTCCTGGAGGATTTCCAAACAGCAGACCTGTTTGGAAAGTGTGACGGTTAAGCACAGGATGATGTTTAATCGCTGATTTAGATGCTTAGTATTTTATATGACTGTTTAATAAAGTATAGCTTTGTTTCAGAACAACAATCTTACTTTATGTAAAGGAGAGCCCAATTTTTTTTAACAAATCATTTTATAAAGTTCTTTTGGCTTATCAGTTGTATATATCATACAGTCTCTGACAATATATCAGGAAACTACATTCACTTTCATTGCTTGTAATGAGACACACCTTCCCTCAAGTATATTATTTATACCCTACGCTGGGGAAAAACAATACTCAAAGTGGATATTAAAACAAAGGAGAGAGCAGACTATTTAAGCTAAGAGCATAGAATCATAAAACAGGTAGGAAGCTTTGGCTTGGCAGAGATGGTGCGGACCAAGGCGGACTGCGGAGGAACCGGCGGGGCTTACCGGAAAGTGGTTGCTGCAAGGGCTCCATGGAAGGTACTTGGCTCCGGAAGTGCCAATTTAACGTCATCTCCTCCCTCACAGAAAGGGGAGAACAAATATGCCGGTGGCATTCCAGTCTGTGTGAGGCCAACACCACCATGGCAAAAAGGAATAGGCGAATTCTTAACTCAATCCCCAAAGCACTCGAAGGAAAATCACATTTTGGATGACGAACAACCAGGGTTCAGCGGAATAGGAACAAGTAGTTAAAAGATTTGTCCCCTGCTTCCCAATATGGACTCCACAGAAGATGACCCAAACTTACTTAGGCTCACCTCTTCTGCTGGCAGATCTTGGCATGCTCTTATAATGACATTGGTACACTTATGTATATATATATTCTGAATTTGTTTTGAGTAAAGACTTTATAAAGGCCTCCTAGGCTGTTTTGTTTACTAAAATGATCTAAAACTTGTATAACCGTTAAGGGAATGGAAATCAATATTTCCTGGGCGTTTAGGTACCAATAAGCAACACATTGCTTGGTAGATAAGGAAATTATGCTAAATGCCATTTGCTTCTTTATGCACTTATGAAATACTTGTGCCATGTCTGTTAATAAACTTTTTGTAAAAAAAACCAAAACAACAATTTTAAGAACGTTTTCTTTAAAAATGAAGAACTTAATTTGGCTATCAAGGAGTGTATTTTTCTAGATTTAAGTCTGTTGCTTGACTTCTATGTATTTTTCCCCTGACATTTATGTATAACAAACATAGTTTAAAAATCAATTAGTGAAGTTACAACACTAACATTCTGGAAGAGCATCTAATTTAAATTGCATTTCAGCGCTTGTTACTAACAAGCAGAGTTAAATCTGCTAAAACCACTAAAATTTGTGGACTCAAACAGGTTTTGCTGTTTCATCCTATTTGTGTCAGGTGGTGTGTACATACAATACTCTGTAGACACTACAGAACTCTACGTCCACTGGAAATAATGATTAAATAATACATATTTTCAGCCTATTTATTTTATCTTCCTAAAGGGCAGACGTTGAATTCTAAGGATTTAGGATATGATTCATCCTCCTATGTGCAGCTGCAGATTAATCAGTAAAATGGATCATCACAATGCAGAAAGGCTCCTACTAAAGAGTATTTGAAAAGAATCAACACAGTTCACTGATTTATTCTGAAATTTATTTTATTAAAATTTTCCATGTAAACAATTTCTACATTAATCAAAGTTCCCATTTAGTGTTGCAATATTAATATATAGCTATAGACAGATCTTATATATAATTTAAAAAATAACTGGGAATGCCTGGGGATTGTTGTACATAGCTTTACATTCTCATCTTGTCTTCCAATAAAGTTCATATACAGTAACTAGAAAATAAGAACAACACAAACTAAACAGTACCAAGAAGTCCATATTAAAAGTTATCAATTACCACAGTAATTGAAAATCCCTGATCTTTGCATCTGAAATGGTCAGAACAATGGGAAGCTATTCCAAAGCTTCTGGGATTTCTCCATCATCGACAATCAGCATATGAAGAATTCCTTCCCTTCTCTTCCCGCTACTGATAGCTTTAATGCAACAGCTGTGCTTTCCAATACTGAAATGTGTTTCCGTCCCATCTTCGACAAATTCACCCTAATGCAATAAAGAAAAAATGAAATGAAAAGATGCCCAGAAGGATTGCAATGCTACGTAGGTTAACAAAACACCAAAATATTTTTGGCAAGTTCAGGTAAATGTTCTTCAAAGGGCTGGAACTCCTGGGAAGCATTATTTTGCAGTTCAAAGTTTAAGTCCTAATAGAATTGCTATATACTCTTAAGCTTTCATGTACAAACTTAATCAGGGTCATGTTTCTAAATCTTATATCTTGTTTCAATCAAAGGTGGGCAACTGTGCAGGAGGGCGAGGGCCATCTTTTGCCACTCTGTGGGCTGCAACGGCACAGTTTGGTGTACCCAAACTCACACGACTTGGCTTTTGGTCAGTATTTGGGCTGATTTTCACCTACTTTTAACCATTTCTTTTTCATTTTTAGGAAGCGTTTGAGAGTAAGGCCAGACTTTGCCCATCCCTGATTTAAATGCACGAGAATGAGCAACTTTTCTTTGGAATACTTGTGTCTCATAGTGGTAATTTGAAGTGCATTCTAAGATTGCACTTCTAAGTACGTAGGTCTATCACAATGTATTCAGTGGAGTTCACTCCATAGGAAGTATATTTAAGATTATGGCCTACATTTTACAGCCATCTATTTCTATAATAGATAGTATTTGGCCACTTAATTTTCTGCACTTTGTCTTCCGGGTAGTCTTTCAGATTTTTCTACCATTAGTCTTTCTTCTAACCTTATTGCAGAAAATTCCAATCATACAGCCTCTAAAATAGGTTTATATCTTGAGATATTCCAATGAATCTGAGTTAGTGAGGCGATAAACTTCTTGCAACTTTTGGAACAGAGTGCAGTGTTATTTTTGAAGTGACTGGATCAAGAATACTGGGAAAACTTATTAAACTGGAGTAAATTTGATTTCTAAATTAGATTGACAACATCCTATAAAACTAACATACGTGTTTTAAAATGTTTTATTGACCTCTTAAAATGTTTTGTAGACCATCACAGGAACCCAGAGATTAATTACTCTTTGCAGTTTTTTTCTCTTTAAAATTAGTATTTTTCTTTAATACATACCGCAGTTTCCATTTTTTTACCATTGCACCAAACATCCATTGTGTCTTTCTCTGAAAAAAAAAATGATACCACAAAAGAACAGTCACATAAAATATTATACAAATGTTTTCTATTGTATTTAATCCTGGCTGAACATATGTACTCAGAACATGGTCCTTTTGCTAGAAGACCAATTCCACTTTGCAAGAGGAACATTTCATTACATATTTGCCATTCATATTTGTTTCATTATTACAAATTTATAGTGTTAGGGATGTCTAAATTTCTAACACATGTCAAAAATGTAGTTGTGGGCTAGAACACATATCATTCAGCAATATTTTTCATGTAGTATGCAAAAATGGATTACGAGGAACTTAGGATGAGAACAGTACGATGTCTCCTTGAACGCCTTAAGATCCCAAAAAATGAACTCACCTCTCCAAGTGTTATGCTCCAAAAGGGCACAATCTATATACAAGAAAAATATAGAAAAGGCTTGGGGAGCCTTGATGTTTGTGGACATTTTTTAAAAAGAGAAAAAAACCTAAGGGAGTGGTGGGAGAAAACTGGTGTTACTGAAGTTGTATTTTTATATTGTTCTCTGTTACTGTGATGAGTAGGAATGCATGAAGATTTCAGCTGACAGTTAAGAGAATGGTGGATAAATGCCATGGCTAGTGACTGACAGGTAGGGTGATTAGGATGACTGGAGGAGAATAAGAATAGAAAATGATCACAATTTGGATGACATGCGGTAATTACAGGTGAGAGGGTCTGTGTGCTGAGAGATGCTGTGAGATGGTAAAACCAGATAGTTTATAGTTACTAAAATAAAAGATCTGCGAACACAATCATTTTCATTTAATACATATTGTTTGTATGACATCACAACACATAATTTTAGATCAGTTTTCTAGCAGAGGTGGGGTTCAAAAATAAGGAGAATAGCCATTATAAAATAATTATCTTTTATGGCTCCATGGGGAATTTTGGGAGCAGCATGTGCTCAGGAACAGTTGAGGTAACTTCTGGCCATGCTTAGAAGTGTGATCATCACAGGAACCCAAACATTTCAATGTAGAATGAGCACACATATGCCTAATGAACAGCGATTCAATGTGGGGCTAAATACATAAAATAAGTAGGGGGAAGGGAGGAAATGGAGCCTCTTGGAGAAAGGCAGGAGTATCTGTATTTCAAAGCACAAAGTTTTGCTGAAGGTTCACCTGTTCTCTCAAAGAGTCAAATCAGCAGACTGAGTGGCTATCAGCCTGAGAGTGAAATGCTACCACTCAAAACATTAAAAACTGGCTTCCCCAAACTCAGAATGGCCTAGATATGTAAAAGACTGGTATTAAGTGCAAGGAAAATAATGGTTGAGATGCTGCATTACAATTTCTAATTTATGATGATGGCACTACACTGCTGATTCAGTCATGCTAGTGAATTTTGACAAAGTACAATAGGATATAATTTAAGATGTCCCATTGTGCCAAAGAGGCTCTCTCTGAGACTGGAAAATCTTTTCCAAGATTACAATTTATTAACTATCTTTCAGAACCCCATTCTTCAACATTCACAAAATGCTATATGTTTTCCTCCAAACAAGAGGTCACAACGAACAACACATGAGTGTTATTTGAAGGATATCACAGACCAGCGAAAATAAAAATTCAAGCAATAATATAAACAGTACATTAAAACAACGTACCTAACACAACTCTAAAGTCTGTGCCATCCAAGTGTAATAACCAAGTGTTAGTTGTCTTTGACCTGTTCTCCATGTACTTCTTAAGGCTTTTCCCATCAATTTCCAAGGTATATTCATACGCAAAGCCACTGACGGCATCAATGTTGATGGTAGCTTTTGTTTTGGATGCTCCAACAGTAAATGTCTCTTTTCCCACAAGTTTGAACATCCATTCTTTTCTCATTACTTCCTGAACATAACAAAAAGCATAGTTATATAGATATTTTGTGTCAGCCCTGAAAAAGTGGCCAAGTCCAAGCGTCTTTTTATTTTTAATATTTAAAAAAAACTCTTAAAATCTACACCTACTCAGGACACCTAGCCTTTAAGTGGACATTGCTGTAAAGTATCAGGCACAAAAATACAAAGACTACTCTGAGTAAGAGTGTTTTGACAACAGAATCTCAATAGCCATGCTGTTTCTGCAGAAGAACATAACAAGTTGAAGGTACTTCAAGAAGTTGAAGTGAAGTTGAAGGCACTTCAAGAAGAATATGGATTCATGGGATCTTAATCCCTTCACTTCCTGGACACCTGCCTGTAAAGCCTCTTAACTCTATCAGTTCTAGAACTGCAGTAGTTAATTCCCTCTCCTAAGCAGGAGGAAAAGAAAATTCACTGGGACAGGGTGAGAAAAAAAACTGCTCTCTAAAAAATGTAAACATTTGGAAGGGCTGTGGATTTAGCTGTACATTTAACAGTATTCAGCCATCAGCCTGATTAGGATTTCTCTCTTATGGGTTACATTGCTAAGCAACAACATTTTAGCTATGCAAAAATGCCCACTGCTTATTGTCCAAGGAATGGTGTGCATTAATGTACAAATCCTACCTTTCCATCCACATATATCACACGTTTTCCTGAGGTAGTACCGTGTTCAAATTCAATTTTGTGAACCCCATCACTTAAAGCTACTTCCCAGATAGCCACTAGATCTGTCATTCTGTCCAGGTAACTGTAGTCAGAGCTGTATGGACACAAGGATAGATAAACCAAATGAAAACAGAGTCTACCATACTAAGATCCCCTTTAAAACTATAGCAATTTATCTTATTTTAAAGCTACAACTCAAGTAATTTGATTAGCTAACTTTTGATTGTTAACTAAGTTTTGGCATCAGGTCATTTACGGGCATTTTTTGGAAAGAGAACTTGAATTGGCACTACACATAGAGAAGTTGATACGTAACCTTCCAAATTGGGTCTTAATCCATAAATGCTGTAATTTACTTACATAATGTTTATCAAAGTAATACATGTTAGCAAACTGTGTTGTAGTTGTCTCTCATCACAGATCAAATTTCTAAACTACTAGTACACAGCAATCAATCTATGTTAGTGATTGAACATAACACGTAGATTACCAAACACAGAACATAAAATAGTAGTACTAGATGGACATTTACTATAGTATATTCCTATAGCTATTGAAACAAACCTTTTTAACAGAGTACAGGTTGAATATCCTTTATCCAAAATGAGTGGACCAGAAATGTTTCAGAATTTATTATCTATCTATTAATTCATTTCACCGTCATGGAAACAAGCCTTGTTTATGAAATGCAAAGTGGGAGGGGGAATAACCAGCAAAAAAAGAAAAAAAAAGGGGGGGTCTTCCTCCTTCAATTCCCCCCCCATAGAATTGCTTTTGGAATACTGTATTTGCATATCTTGAAATGTGATAGGTAAAGGTAAAGGTTGTCCCCTGACATTAAGTCATGTCTGACTCTGGGATGTGGTGCTCATCTCCATTTCTAAGCCGAAGAGCTAGTCTATAGACACCTCCAAAGTCATGCGACCAGCATGACTGCATGGAATGCTATTACCTTCCCGCCAGAGCGGTACTATTGATCCCTCACATTTGCATGTTTTCGAACTGCTAGGTTGGCAGAAGCTAGGGCTGACAGCGGAAGCTCACGCCGCTCCCTGGAATCGAACCTGCGACCTTTTGGTCAACAAGCTCAGCAGCTCAGTGCTTTAACCCACTGCGCCACCGGGGGGGGGGGGGGGGGGCTGAAATTATATATATATATATATATATATATATATATATATATTCACATAGCCAAGGGAAACCCTGCAGTTACACAACCTCCCTTGTCTGGGGGCAGTCAAAATAGGGTTCATAGCTCTCTCCAGAAGGTGAACGGGTGGGTATAGGATAGCTAGAGAGAGCTGCCAAGCCTCCCTCAGTTGCTGGCAGCAGAAAGAAATCCTCTAGCTTTTGCTGACAGTAGGTGGTTGAAGGCTCACCCATCTACCCATTTCTCCCTTCAGAGAAAGGGAGAGCTGCCTTGGCCAAGGTAATTCTCTGCAGCTTGGAGGGGAGAGGCGATCTGGCAAGTGAACTCTTCTTGGAGGATTGGCCCCTTGCATTGCAGTCTTACCAAACTGAAATGCAACTATTATGTGAGGAAAACAAAAATAGCATTTTTGGCACCCCAAAAAGGGGATTCGACGACAGTATTATGCAATGGTGACTATTATATGATGAAATATGAGTATTTTAGTTTTTCAAATTCTACATAAAGTATGCTCAACCTGTATTGATCTAAACTGTCCACTGCATTTTGTTTTAAATGCTTCATGCCTATCAGCTCTATCACTACAATCTATTTTAGCAAGCTAATGTAGCAAGTTAAATAAGTTACTTGGCTCATACAGATTTAAGTTCTGAAATGAACAAGTAAGTTTTTAAAAGTAAAAAATAACATTATTTTAATTCATTTCAATTTCGTTGTGCATATCACAAATGGATTAATTATAAACTATTTTGATAACAGCAATTCTATCACTATTAAAATCTGAAAAGGTCTTCTAATGCTTCTTACACAGCAGAGTACTTTTTACCTTACATCATCTTCACAGTCAGTATTATCATCGCGGGATGCCATAGTTATCAACAGGCCTTTAATCCAATTAGCAGCAAGAAAAGAAAAACAAAAAAAGCAGAATACTGGTAGCAGTGAATAGATGTTGGAAACTAGGACTCCTTGCGTTCCTGAACAATCCGTTCCCAGTCTGTCACTTTAGGTTAGTACTAGTAGTAGTGTTCCCAAATGTACAATTTAACAAATCTAAGTACTTTTAAAGAGGGATGGGAAGGACAGAGCCTTCCAAATCTGATTGACTGAAATTTCCTGCAGCCCTGAACAGCACAGGCAAGCGTTAGGAATACTGATCCGGTTCAACTGATCCAGAGTGCCAAACAATTGCTTGTTTTAAATGTGCATTGTTTGTTTAATTTTTAACTATACTTCAAAATAAACAACAGTAGCCAAGTCAATGCTTAGAAAAAAATCTGAAAATCTGCACTGTAGCACTACTTGTAGTAGGCCAACCAAAAAGGTACAAGAATCTATGTAAACTGTCAATGGAGCATGTCACAACTGATCTGTAAAACTTCTCATGACATCTCCCAATGAGCTGAGCTTTCCCGACATAGTAGCCACTTTCTAGGATCAGAGCAAAAAAAAAGAAAAAGGGGAGCAAACCATCCCAAGACCAACACTGATATTCCTATAGAAAGTACTATGTGATATGATTAGAAATCTTATGATATAACTAGAAATCTTGGTGCATAGTAAGAAATACTGTCAAGAGGGTAAAATATTGCTTTGCCTATCTGTTGCATATAAAGATCACTCTGTCAGAGATGGTAAAACAGATTCCACAACCAGGTTGAAAGCCAAACTGTAAAGATGAAGGAAGGTCACTCTTTCCCGAGACTGCTATGTCCATATTCAGTCAGCTTTATGAAAAGATGCAACTGGATAGTCTATATACTTTAACAATGTCAGGGCCCTGATCTAAGCAGCCCTGTGTCCCCTAGGGGTGAGAAGGGTGGGGTATAAATATTGAATAGTAATAATAATAATAATAATAATCTGTCTGCTGACTGGTGTTGTCTAGTCTAACTGTGACAACTTTTTTCACCAACACTTAAAATGAATGGAAATGTTGTCAGTTGTTACAAATTGGGGGTTTAATAGAGGTGCTACATAGACCAGGAACAAGGCTGGTGCTTGCCCTAACCATTAGAAAGATGTGTGCTGATGTTACATTTACGAAAGGGGCTGAGATGGTGGAAGCTGATGAAGAGGGAAATGACAGCATTATGTTTGTCAATAATTCCATTTTATTCAATTTGTGTCTCACCTTAGTCCACTAATTTAAAGCAAAATAAAAATGCATGTTCATACCATAAGCACAAACAGAAAAAGGATACTGTTAAATGTGAATAAAGTGTCACTGTTTGAAACAAATGGATTAAAAACACATTTGATAAAAATCAATAGAATAGCACAACATAAAAACACTTATAGCCACTTCCTTGAAGTCTGCTGGAATAGAAAATATGCCACTTCCCAATTAAACAAGAGCTACCTTAAAAGTGAGCACCTTAGTCATGCCACAACTTTAGATGCCAAAAGCATGTAGGAAAATATTTCATATGTATTTAGTTCAATTTTTATTCAAGGTATTCTAGATATTTCTGCATAGAGCTCACCAGCATTTTGAAATAAACTGAACGAAAGTGAATCTACATAGATTCAAATTCGGCAAGTGGTGCTTTTTAAAGTAATGTTTCTGTATTTGTTATATTCTTGATTAATATGAAATACCAAACACTTATCACTGCGTTTGTTTTTGTCACATTCTTTCACGCTGAAATAAAAAAAAAGTTTTACATCTACAGAAAGGAGATTACGGTGGTAGATTCCTCACTTTCAAAAGAACGGTATGATTTGAGGACACAAAAGTAGGATTTTGTTTCTAGGATACCGAAACATGAACACAAACACATAGGATCACATAAACTGGGCGAGCTTCCTATGGCCTTTTTAGCTACCTAAAAGACACTTCCTACATATTTTTGGATGAAGTAGGAATATGAGCACTTGACAGTTGACACAAGTTGAGTATCCCTTTATCCAAAAATACAAAACGCTCCAAAATTATCCACCTGGGTGGCTGAGCCTGGGACACCTTTGTTTTCTAATGAAACTATTATTTTGTACTGTATTTAATATGTTGGAAGCCACTCTGGGGCCCTTTGTGGGAGAAAAGCAGGATATAAATAAAAATTTGTTATTGTTGTTGTTGTTATTATTATTAATTAGAAACACAACAAGTTGAGTCCACAGCAGACAAGATCACTCTGCTGGCTGTTGTATTGGATCACACGTCAGACACTTGTCTAGGACTGTGTGATGTATCAGCAAATAATGCGTGCAGATCCCAGTAAGGTGGCCTTCTGCACCTGGCAGATGGTAATCTTGTCAGTGCCGATTGTGTTTAAGTGGAGGCCAAGGTCTTTAGGCACTGCACCCAGTATGCAGATCACCACAGGGACCACCTTTACTGGCTTGTGCCAGAGTCTTTGCAGTTCGATCTTTAAATCCTCATATCGTATCAGTGAATAATGTGTGCAGATCCCAGTAAGGTGGCCTTCTGCATTTGGCAGATGGTAATTTTGTCAGCGCCGATTGTGTTTAAGTGCAGGCCAAGGTCTTTAGGCACTTATTATTATTAACTGAGTTCCATGATATAAAATATGGTGCATAACAGCATTTCAGAAGCTGTTTACTGGCACATAAATGAATTCCGTGTTTATTGCCTTGGGTCCCATCTCCCAAAATATTGAAGAAGAAGAAGAAGAGGAGGAGGAGGAGGAGGAAGGAAGAAAGAAGAAAAAGAGTAATAATAATAATAATAATAATAATCCCAAACACTTCTTCTGGTCCCCACAAACACTTCGAAGAAGGGATACTCAACGGGTGCAAATCACACTGATGCGGTTTGACTCCACTTTCTCTGCCAGGGCTTGATGCTACTGAATTCTGGGATGTGTAGTTTGGTGAAGCACCAGCACTCTATGGCAGGGAAAGGAACTACAGAGTATCTCACTGTGCCACAGCATTGAGCCATGGCAATTAAAGCGGTGTCAAACTGGACGAGGGGGAAGTTTTCTCTAGGAGGAGGAGGAAGGGGGGGGGGGAGAGAGGGTCTGGTTTACCTGGCCCTCTAAATCTCGTAGTCTCCCGGAAGCGAGGCCTTTCCTCGGGACGGAGCCTGCAGTGCTTCCCAGTCTCTTCTGCCCAGAGCCAGAGGAAGAAGGCCGCCTCCTCCTCCTTCCCTTTCCTCTCCCTGGAGTCACCCTCCTCGCCTTTCCTCCCAAAATGGCGGCGGGGCCTACCTCGAGTGGCCCCTCTGCCCAGCAACGCACCCGCCGAGGCGGACGGATGGAAGTCCTCATCCCCGGAAGTTTTCCCCAGCAGGCCCCGCCCCTTCTCTCGCCCCGCCCCCTCTGGAAACGCCCATTAAGCAGGGGCTCGAGGCTTTCAGGAATTTGGACTTCAACTCCCAGAAGCCTCCGCTGCCACCGCCAATGGCCGGGCATTCTGGGAGATGAAGTCCAAAACCAGACTGGGAGGAGGGTTGCTGTGAGTTGTCCGAGCTGTATGGCCATGTTCCAGAAGCATTCTCACCTGACGTTTGGTCCACATCTATGGCAGGCATCCTCAGAGGTTGAGAGGTCTGTTGGAAACTAGGCAAGTGGGGTTTATACATTTGTGGAATAATGTCCAGGGTGGGAGAAAGAACTCTTGTCTGTTGGAGGCAAGTGTGAGTGTTGCAAGTGGCCACCTTGATTAGCCTTTCAGCTTCAAAGCCTGGCTGCTTCCTGCCTGGGGCAATCTTTTGTTGGGAGGTGATTAGCTGGCCCTGATTGATTCATGCCTGGAATCCCCCTGCTTTTCATAGAATCAAAGAATCAAAGAGTTGGAAGAGACCTCATGGGCCATCCAGTCCAACCCCCTGCCAAGAAGCAGGAATATTGCATTCAAATCACCCCCGACAGATGGCCATCCAGCCTCTGTTTAAAAGCTTCCAAAGAAGGAGCCTCCACCACACTCCGGGGCAGAGAGTTCCACGGCTGAATGGCTCTCACAGTCAGGAAGTTCTTCCTCATGTTCAGATGGAATCTCCTTTCTTGTAGTTTGAGTGCTGTTCTTTATTTACTGTCCTAATTTTAGAGTTTTTAAAATACCGGTGGCCAGATTTTATTCATTTTCATGGTTTCCTCATTTCTGTTGAATAATATGCTGTGTCCAGGTTGGTTCATCAGGTGTTCTGCTATGGCTGACTTCTCAGGTTGAATTAGTCTGCAGTGCCTTGCATGATTATTGATTCGTGTCTGGGCATTCCCCAGATATATAAATCTCACTTGCCAAGTTTCCAACAGACCTCAAAACCTCCCTGCTGTTAGGAATTGTGGGAGTTGAAGTCCAAAATACCCGGAGGGCCCAAGTTTGCCCATGACTGCTTCCCCATCCATGTTTTCAGTTCCTTTCTAAAGGTTATTAGACAAGGCCTTGAGCCTTCCCTGCCAAAGAGGGCTGGGGTCTCACCAAATCACAACTCCCACGATTCCACAGCATTCAGCCGTAGCAGTTGATGTGGTGTCGAACCGCATTCATCCTACTACAGCACGTTTCTCTCTTTCGCCCTCTATTCATGCCTCTTCAAATCCTAAAGCACTGCTGGTCACAGCTGACCTGGAGCACTCAAGGGCCAGGGCTTCCCAGTTCTCAGTGTCTATGCCAGAGTTTTTAAGGTTGGCTTTGAGCCCGTCTTTAAATCTCTTTCCCTGTCCACCAACATTGTGTTTTCCATTCTTGAGTTCGGAGTAGAGCAACTGCTTTGGGAGACAGTGGTCAGGCATCCGGACAACATGGCCGGTCCATCAGAGTTGATGGCGGAGGACCATCGCTTCAGTGCTGGTGGTTCTTGCTTCTTCCAGCATGCTGACATTTGTCCGCTTGTCTTCAGCACAACTCTATACACTAATGCGCCTTAAGCATGCATCTAAACTGCAATTTGGCAGCATTTTAACTTTCCAGAGAAAGTTTAAAAACTCTAAAATCAGGGGGTAGTAAATAAAGAACAATGAAAACAGGGGAATTCCAGACATGAAACAATCAGGACCAACTAACACCTCCCAACAAAGGATTCCCCCAGGCAGCAACCAGCCAGGCTTTGAAGCTGCAAGGCTATTAAATGCTAATCAGGGTGGCCAATTGCAACATTTACATTTGAGAGTAAACAAACCCCACTTGCCTAGTTTCCAACAGACCTTGCAACCTCTGAAGATGCCTATGAGACTCATGAGGTCACCATAACTTCTTGGGTCACTTGAAACATCCTCAAGGCAGTAGATCCTGGCTGATCTTGGAAGCTAAGCAGGGGCAGCCCTGGTTAGTACTGGAGGGGAGGCCTCAGGCTGCTATTTCAGAGGAAGGCGGTGGGCATTGGGCTTTCTTTTCTTTGCCCAAGTCGGCTCTGAAATACAAAGATGCCTTCAAGCCCCTCCTTGGGGCGGATCCTGGGGCGGGCCTTTCTCTCCTTGCTTTCCCCTTCCTTCCTTCTTCCCTTCCTTCCTTCCATTCACCCCTCCTTCTTTCCTTGGAGACCCGCCTATAACGGCTTCTGAGATCGAGGCAGGGAGCCCAGGCCCCGGTATGTACCGCAAGAAGAGGAGAATGATGCGAATCAAGCAGGGAAGAAGGCACTGAAAGGGAAGGAATGCATCTGATACCCCTTTAACTGTGTTAAACTCCCTCTCCTTGGCTGCATACACTGCAGAATGAATGCATCTGAGTCCCCTTTAACTGTCATGGCTCCATGCTGGGAGATGTAGTTCTGCAAAGGCTCCAGCCCTCTCTCCTGGGGAACCACCAAACTACAGCTCCCAGGACCTCATAGCTGTGAGCCATGGCAAGTAAAGTAGTGCCACTTGTAGAGATGCAGACTTGGTTGGTTGAATGGTTGTCACACAACCAGGGGATTCAGTCTTCTACACAGCCATCTATTTTATTATATCAGGAGCGAACCAAGGGTACAGTTTGGTTATTTATTATTTACTATATTATTATAGTAAATAATAATTTACTATATTTATTATTTTTTATATATATATATATATATATATATATATATATTACTAATAAATAAATATATTTTACTATATTTATTTATTATTTACTATATTACTATTATTATATTGCCCCTCTCAGCCTGCAGGTGACTCGGAGCAGTTTACAGTCAGCATCAAAAACATAAAACACGATTAAATCAATTAGCTTAAATATAAAACCAATTAAAATAGTCAAGATCAATAAAAAATATATCAATTAGAGTCTCCTTGTTAAAAGCATTGTTAATAGCATCATTCCATTTTTCCTATGTTTGTTATATTGCATCTGCAAACGCTTGCTCAAAAAGCGAAGTCTCCGGGTTTTTTTTTAATGTTAAAAGGGAAGGGGCCGATCTGATATCCCTACAGAGGGCATTCCATAGCCAAGGGGCCACCACTGAGAAGGCCCTGTCTCTCGTCCCTGCCAAATGTACTTGTGACGAAGGCAGGGCCTCCCCAGATGATCTTAGAGTCCTAGAGGATTCATAAGGGGAGATGCGTTCGGACAGATAAGTTGGGCCAGAACTTGTATTTTAAAACAACACGAAGTTTAAAAACTTTGCGTTGTATTAAATGTCCTTTGACTAGTAGCTGGCCACTTGGAATGCCTCTGGTGTTGCTATAAGAAGGTCCTCCATTGTGCATGTGGCAGGGCTCAGACTGCATTGTCTGTGGTTTGCTCTTCTCCACACTCGCATGTCATGGACTCCACTTTGTAGCCCCATTTCTTAAAATTGGCTCTGCATCTCGTGGTGCCAGAGTAGTCTGTTCAGCGCCTTAGAAGTCTCCCAGTTTTCTGTGTGCCCGGGGGAGTCTCTCATTTGGTATCAGCCATTGATTGAGGTTCTTTGGGTTTAAGCCTGCCACTTTTGGACTCTTGCTTGCTGATGTTCCTGCGAGTATTTCTGTATATCTTAAAAGCTATTTCTTGATTTAAGGCATTGGCGTGCTGGCTGATAACCGAAGGGATGGGCCGGAGATGTCACTGCTTTCATGCAGCCATGAAAGCCACAGTCCTCTATGGCAGGCATGGGCCAACTTGGGCCTGCCCTCCAGGTGTTTTGGACTTCAACTCACACAATTCCTAACAGCCTACCGGCTGTTGAAGTCCAAAACACCTAGAGGGCAGGCCCAAGTTGGCCCATGCCTGCTGTGGAGACTTCAGTCTGGCAGCACACCATGGGAGGCTTTATTGCATGGTGTTTGCAAAGCACTTGGTGAATACTTTGCTACACCATGGGCCTTTCAAGTACAGAACATTATAGTATACACCTAAAAACATAAACAAACCTTTTTTTGGTAGTTGTGTAGAAGGAGTTGTCACAAGGTTTTGCTTTTAACACAACCAGCTAGCAAAGCTTCTGAAATTCCCTCTTCTACCATGTACACAACTTAACTTGGGAGGATTTGTTGTTTTTACGTGGATTATTTCAGCCTTATTTCTAATGGGAATGTTTACAAAAAGCACATTGTTTGAATTGTTTTGCAAACAAATAATAGTTGATGTCATTTTGTTGCATTTGGTGAACATTTTGATTTCCCACGGGTCTTGTAAGTACAGAATATGAGTATTCACTTGAGAAGAGTATGAAAATGAGAATATTTTAACATGCACCTGGAAATAATATGACAGCTAGATTAAACAAACGTTTTGTGTGTTATTGAAGGCTTTCATGGCCAGAATCACTAGGTTGCTGTGAGTTTTCCGGGCTGTATGGCCATTTTTTTTCATGTCAGGAGTGACTTGAGAAACTACAAGTTGCTTCTGGTGTGAGAGAATTGCCCGTCTGCAAGGATGTTGTCCAAGGGATGCCCAGCATGTAATAGTGGACTGGGTTGCTGTGAGTTTTCCGGCCTGTATGGCCATGTTCCAGAAGCATTCTCTCCTGACGTTTCACCCACATCTATGGCAGGCATCCTCAGAGGTTGTGAGGTGTTTTGTAGTTGTGTTGAAGGCGTAACTTTAAACACAACCAAGTCACCACCACTGCAGAAATCTCCTTGAAACAGCCATGAGAGAGCCAATGTGGGATACTGGTGAGAGCATTGCACTAAAGCTCTAGAGACCAGGGTCTGTATCCTCAACTGTGAAACCCAGTGGGTGATTTTGGGCAAGTCACACTCTCTCACTCTCACAGGAATGCAATGGCAAATACCCTCTGAACAAATCTTACCAAAAGAACACTGTGATCGGTTCATTTTAGGATCCCCATAAGTCCAAAAAAAGTTTTGAAGACATTCAATAACAACAAACACAGTCACGAAAGGTAGAAGAGCCATCTCCAGTTTCCACTCCGGCAATCCTACTTGGAAAAACTGCATTGTCTCACACAGATTGCTGGTTATTCCGCCTTTGTTTCTATCGAGAAGGGTAGGATTTCATTAGTGACACTCATTTTATAGTCAAGAATCATTGTTGATGTCATTCGTATGCTTTTGGTAAATATTCTGGTTTCCCTCAGGTCTTGCAAATTCAGAAGATAACAACATATACCTGAAAATAATATGAAAAATAGAACAAACCAACATGCTAATCAAATGTGATTATCTTGAGCTTGCAAGCATGCAAACGTTTTCAGAGTTGAGTGCTTACTTATAAAATATTGTTATCAGGTCAAATGTTCTGGGTAACTTAAAGTGGCCATGTGAAAAATAGGACAGGGCTCCCGTGACTCTAATAGTTATGTACAAGAGGGAACTTCAGCCAAAACATGCTTGCGTGTCCAGCTATACCAGCTGAATTTCTTTGTTCCATAACTAGTAATGGTTCAGGTCTTCTGTCTTCAATCTGGTCATCTGGCCCAATTACTAGAAATCACTTGTGTGATATCATTCCTAAAAATCAGTCGGAGGTTCAAATCTGGGGAGAGCACGGATAAGCGCCTTCTATCAGCTCCAGCTCCCATGCGGGACATGAGAGAAGCCCCCACAAGGATGATATAACATCGAAACTTCCGGACATTCCCTGAGCAACGTTCTTGCACACAGCGAATTCTCTCACACCAGAAGCTACTTGCAGTTCCTAAAAAAACAACCTAAAATGCACGTCACCTTTAGAAAAACCTTCCCAATTTCTAGACGTTCTTCTACAAGTGTGTCTGACAGCATGTGCCTGAGAATTTATTGTGTGCAGGATACTAACTACAAGCATTTTTGTATGAGAAAGGTTGATCTCTTCTATGAATGTTTATGTAGTTGTGTGCCTTCAAGATTTTGGCTTATGGAAACCGTACTTGTTCCTTTTCCTCAGACAGTAAAACATCTGGGGCCAGTCCTGTACAAATGCTATAAAACTGTTAGCTTGCACTCAATTTCAGTCGCTACTCTTTTTTATAGTTGTTTTTAAGGGTTTTTTAAGTAATGTAAAATCAGAACGTCGATATGGCAAAGATAGTCCTGGTGTTTCTGAATGGTCAATAATGTTAATTTAGATACAAGCTGCAGCTTTAATCCTTTTCATTGCTGTGCTTTGTTTTTCAGAGTTCCCAGGGCTGTCGCTTGCCGTGTCAGGATCTGTGACAGAGTATTCTTACTCAGAAACAATGTCCAGTGATTCTTGGAGCAGAGAGGAGGTAGGACGCAGAGCTTTACTCATCTGGTTAACTGTGTTAGAAGCTTCTCCAGTGAATACCCTGGGCTCCTCTAGAGAGACTTACTATAGTTCAGATCACAGTTATTCCTGTTGAAGAGATTAGAGGTGGGGAATATTTTGGAACAGTGTTGAAGTGTTTTTTGTCTTTCCTCCTTTGTCATCTTGTATTTAATTGGTTAATATATTTACTGGCAATTTGATGGTGAAAGAATAGTGTAGGGAGGAAAAGGGTAAGTGGGATAAATATGTGGGATGAAAAATGTTTGTATTGGAGTTGATAAAATAAAAATAATGTGACATTGCTAAATGAAGAAGGTGATTATCATTTTTACAGTCAGTTCATGGAATTTGAAACTTTTTTCTATGTTTATAGGCCTTCACTAGCATGTTTATGTTTCATAAGTATTTTGGTAGTCTAGCATTGTAATATACCATACTGTAAATAAATTGATTTGCCCTCCCCCCCCCCCTGTTTTCTTCCAAATGTAGCAAGAAGAATGGGAAAATGTAAATAAGTTACTGCGACATCATGGCTTAAGACCCTTGGTAACAGGTAAGCAAGGTTTGCAAAAAGAGAAACTACGAGAATTGGCCATCAATTGTATTGTGCCATTTTGCAATTATTTGAAGGTAATAAATTTAGAATTTGACTAAGATTACTGGTATAATCAGCCCTCCTCATTTGCAGACTTCACTTTTGAGGATTTGATTATTTTGAGGATAAGATACTATGATACTTAGATTTGTAGCTACTGATTAATTAGCTGGACTTCCTCGCCCAGTCTTCACAGCTGTTCTTTCAACAGCACCAGTCCCTCACTCCCTTCCTCATCTTCTCAGCAAAGCTCCTTCCTCCATTGCTCTTCTCCCTACCTTCCCATCAAAGCAGCATTTGGATTTTAAACTCCTTCCTCCTTCCAGGATTGCTTTAATATATGTGTGTTATTGTGATATTTTTATGCTTATGTTGTTTTGTTAATTTTATGCTTATGTTGTTTACTCTGTATGTTTTGGTGTTGTTACTTGGAAATCGCCCTGAGTCCCCTCGGGGAGATAGAGCTGTATATAAATAAAGTTTAATTATTATTATTATTATTATTCCTTCCTCTTCTTTTCTTTCTTAGCCTCTCCCTTCTTTTCCTTGCACTGCTTTGTGCATCATTCCACCACAAGCACCAGCCTTACTTTAAAAGCATTTCCCTTCTGGTCCACTTCTTCCCTTGCTCCTTCCTTTGGCTCTTTACCACCAATGTAAGACTTCTGGCAGGATGATGCACAGTTGAGTCTGGGGTGTCCTGATGGACAGGAGAGGAGAAGGAATGAATGGGGAAGAAGCAACTGTGTGGGGAAGGCCTTTAAATCCAGATTGATGTGTCCCAGAAAGGGAGTGACTGGACAGGGCTGACAAGAGATATTCGCATTTTTTCACATGGAGACACTTTGTCTCTAATCCAGTGGTTCTCAACCTGTGGGTCCCCAGATGTTTTGGCCTTCAACTCCCAGAAATCCTAACAGCTGATAAACTGGCTGGGATTTCTGGGAGTTATAGGCCACTTGGGGAACCACTGCTCTAATCCCTGCAAATGTGGAGGTGCAACTATACTTTACTTTGAGTAGTCTGTATTTTATTCTATAATACTATCTGTATTATAGAAAATTTCTGTAACCATACATAAAGCATAATGGTTCTCATGTAGCACATCTTAAGAGAGCATATTGGAGTGGATTGAGTGGTGGACTAGACCTACAGGAGACCAGGTTTGAAATCTCTGCTCAGCCATAGAAATCTACACTCGCTCAGTCCAGATAAAGAGAATGACTCCCCGCTCCCTCTGAAAAAAAAATTGGCCAAGAAAACCTCTTGATAGGATCGCCACAAGTCAGAGAACAACACACAATAGCAGCAGCATCTTTTAAAAGGACATCACCAGTTCGTTCCAGCAAGTACAAATGGGCATAAAGGAACACAATGCTTTCTTGTTCAGACCATCTGGAGATGTTACTAAGCTCATTGTTGTATTATAGTAATGATGTGATTTACTCAGCCCAGCTGTCTGCTTTGTGAAATGTTATGATTTGTAATTCACGTAATCAGCATCTTTGATATTTCCTTTTTCATCTGTACAGATAAGATTGTTATGGACAGGCAGTCTTCACAAGAAATTCGGTACGCATTGACAACATTAGTGGAAGAAACAGAGCGTCAACGGAAAATTGTTCGTGGCTTGATAGAAGACAATCGCCAGCTAAGGTAAGATTTAGGAGTTCTTCTAGGGAAGTTAATTGAAGGAATGAGCAGATTTCTGATCCATAGATGAGGCTGTATTTGCCCAAGTTCCATTCTAACTTTTGCCATGTTTTCATTTTATGATATTATATTAATTTATAGTACTGTATATACTTGTGTATGGTTGAGCTTCATATGTTAGTCAATGGCAAATTGGTGGGCTAAAATTATGGATTTCACTCTGACTCGTGAATAAACTGAGGGTAAAAGTTAGGGGCATGAAACAAACAAATCTTTTCCTCTCTTTGTAAAAATCCAAGGGGGGAAATTATTTAGGAAAAACTAAAGAGAAAGAGGGGATTTGTTTATCTGAGAAGTGACGATGGAAGGAAGATAGTATTGTTGATTTTAAAATGTCTATATCTATCCAAATAATTGTTTTGCTTTCTCCCTCTGCTGAGGTATTTTGGGAGCTGTTCCATACTCTTTTTCCACTTACTAGTTATACCAGTTCTACAAAAAGACCAGTTTAGTCCACATATCTTCTTGCCTTGGTGATTCAGTACTCCTAATTCTTCACTGCGGAAAGAATAAAACTGTGTTCCAGCTTCTATGAATGCACCAAATTCTGATTGATATTTTGCTCTGGCTCATCCCCTTTTAGCTTGTGAGGACCAAGAGCCAGACCAGTCAGGGAGATCAGTAAGAGACCTTGCCTACACAAAGCACCCATGTGGTTTTCTAAATTGAGATTTCTCTGATACTTAGATTTGTATCTGTTTTACTGATTTTTATAATGGTTGCTGGGGATTATTTTTTTTACATTAGAGATGAACTGCGCTTGGAGCGAAGTCGGGCTTCTCGGCAGGAACAACGAGCCAATGACCTGGACATCATTTTAGAAAATATCAAACACAAAATACGCCAGCTGGAAGATGAGTCCATAGCTAATGCTTCCCAGCAGCACAACCAAGTCAAAGAACTTCAGAAAGATCAGCAAGCTACTCAGGTAGTTTTATTCATTGTAGTTTTGAAGATCTGGCATTCACAAGATATATCCCTATTATTTCAGGTTTATTATTGTTGTTGTTATTGTAGTAGTAGTTGTTGTTGTTGTTGCTGTTGTTGTTGTGATGAAGTTTTCAGGGACAGCCTGACCAAAAGGCTTGGTGAGGTAATTCCCTGGGAGCCACAAAATCACCATTCCACTACTTCCCAGGAGGGCCCCTGCTGCTCTGGAAATGTACTGTTAGAGGTAGTAGTCCAGAGCCCACTTTCTTCTAATTGACCCCACTTCACTTCATTTTCATAAAGCCACAATGAGTAGAGGTGCAGCCATCCATCCAATGCCACCAAAGACGGAGGCAGTAGTGATGGCAGCAGAGGCTCCATTATAAATAACGGAATGAGATGGCAGGTCATCTTTGGAAGTAGAGGTGGTAACCATATGCCCTCCACCATCAGCGAGTTGTAGATTTCACTTGTTACTTGTATTTTTCGTTTTGATGAACTTTTAGAACAGTGGTTCCCAGCATGTGGTCCATGGACCACCAGTGGACCGCAAGAACTAAAATACGGTCCATGGCCTCACCATTACTGCACCATTGCAACAAGAGCACCTGGTCTCTCAAAACCCTCTTACACTGCCAAAGCTTATTAAAGATGGTTTTATGTGGGCGAGCAGTTGGCGACTACTGGCTGGCATATGTTCTGTATCAGAAACTAGAGCTGATGTGGTCTATCCAATGCAGTTTTTTGAATCAGCACCCCAAATACCCAAACCAAATCTAAAGTTGACCAAAAACTGATTTGTAACCCTTTTGGTACTAATGTTGGAGAGTGATCCTTGGTCAAATTGGTCCCTGGTCAAAAAAGTGTTGGGAGCCACTTTTTTAGAGCAAGGCCGTGACAAAATAGCTGAATAGGTGACTGTGTGTAGAATTGGCCAAGAAGAGAAACAGACATCCTGCTCATTACCTGATAGTATGCTCCACACCTTACAAAATGATTCACTCTCACCACTCCCTGCTGGAGCCCCCGGTGGCGCAGTGGATTAAACCCCTGTGCCGGCAGGACTGAAGACCGACAGGTCGCAGGTTCGAATCCAGGGAGAGGTGGATGAGCTCCCTCTATCAGCTCCAGCTCCTCATGTGGGGACATGAGAGAAGCCTCCCACAAGGATGATAAAAACATCAAATCATCCAGGCGTCCCCTGGGCAACGTCCTTGCAGACGGCCAATTCTCTCACACCAAGAGTCACTCCTGACACAACAAAAAAAAAAACCCCAAAAAACCCCCAAAAAACCACTCCCTGCTTGTCCCATGTATGTGGGGTGCCTCCATCAATGCTGGCCTTACTGCCTCCTTCTATAGCATGTGGTGCCTTTTTCAGACCTCTTGCAGATTGTATCTCCGCTACCACATATGGGTGGCACATGTTGCTTCCCACTTCAGGGAGCATGGATAATAAAATTGATACCATGAAACAGGCTTGTAGCCAGGATTTCGATTCGGGGGGGGGGGGGCGCTGGGTTTTTTTTAGGGGGGGCGGGGGGCTGAGTTTTGGGGGGGGGGGCTGAGTCTGAGTGAAAGAGGGTCTACCCTAGCAAACCTTTTGTATCATTACCCCAATACCCCCATGCATATGGGATATATTGAGTATGGTGATCAGATCATGATATGAATAAACATAACAGTTTAAATAATGCACCAGTAAGGCCTTTTCGCGAACCACCATGAGAATTTCGGGGGGGGGGGGGGCTGAAGCCCCCCCAACCCCCCCCCCCCACTACATACCTGCCATAAAAGAGTTATGACAGAACATTTTGACTTAATTTGTGATACACTTTAAATTTGTTGTTGTTTGTTATATGCTGTCAAGCTCTTTCCAACTTAGGGCAACCCTGATATGGCTCTCTCGGTAAGATTTGTTGGGGAGAGGGATGCCTTTGCCTGCCTCAGAGGTTGAGAGAGTGTGATACCCATTGGGTATCCATAGTTGAGTGACGATTCAAACACTGGTCTCCATAATTATAGTCTAACATTCAAACTACTATGCTATGCTAGCTCTCATTTACACTTTGAATAGGCATGCAATAAAAATACATAAACATAAAATGTATGATCCCTTCCTAGAAAGTGAGAGAGTTCTTCTAATCACCAAATTCATTGTCATCTGTCATAAGTTCTCCTCCAAGTACTATTCTGTATCTGTGATTCTCTCACTGTCTTTCTGTATGTAGTCAAAGTACAACCAACTATCTGAGAAATTACGAGAACGAGAGGAGACTATTGCCTGTTTGGAAAAGGAGCTTTCTAGGATAGGCACAGAGGAGCACCATCGTCTTACTAGGCAGAAAAAAATGTTGCGCCAGTTTTGCAAACAAGCTCCAAGAACACACTTGGATCAACAGTGAGTAAATCTATACAGTTTTAACAATTTTCATAACACTGAGAATATATCACATTTATAAAAAGCTCAATTTTCGCATTTTAAACATTTCTGATGATCATGTTAAGAATGAATTAATTTGGAAACGAATTAGCATTTAGCAGATGCTGGGACATGTTGTGTGTTGGGACCATTTTACCTGTAGCAATGTAGTTGCTGTCTCTTTCGCCATTGCATGTTGTTTCTTTGCAGATAAATAGTCTTTCCATTGTATTTTTAAAAAATATTCTCATAAATGCCGTGGTGGCTTTGCAGTTGTTTGATTTAGGAAATATAGGGTTTGATGGGCTAACGGTGCCAGATGCTGTTTGGAGATGCTGGAATTCTTCTCCCACTTTCCCACTGTCCTCTTTTCCAACTGGCCCACAAAAGCCCAGGAAAACTTAAGACTAGACTAGAAATATTGAAGAAGAGTTCCTTAGAAAACCTTCTCCCTTTTTTCATCTCTGCAGAATTTGTTGCCTAATAGATTCCTATGAATCGCAGATCAACCAAATCAGAAAAGAGCTAAGGTAGGAAAAGGCATTGATATAATTCAAGTTATATTGAATTGGTGATGTATTGAATAGACACTAGGTATTTGTAAGTTATTTTCCTTTTTAATGTGTTCTTGTTGGAGGGTTTTTGTTGTTACTGTTTGCGTTTGGTGAATAGGATATTACAGAGTTAGACTTTAACAGCCTGAATAATGGCTATGGATTTTGGAAAATGACTATGGATCAGTATGAGATCAAGACTCGGCACGTTATATGGTTTTAATCTATTTTTTTTGTTCACGTGTTTTAATTGCTCATATGTTTTAACTATTTTATAATTTGATGGGGTGAGTTTTATTGTTATGTCCATGCAGCATTGAATTTTGCCAGAGTTTGTAAGCTGCCTTGAGTCCCGGCAGCGTGAGAAAGGCAGGGTAGAAATGAAGTAAATAAATAATAAATATTAGACGCCAAGTTGACAACTCATAGCAAACCTATCAATGAGAGGCCTGTACAGGTCTTGCAAACTCAGGGTTGTGATTGAATTAATGCCCCTGTAGTGCAGTCTTTTTCACTTTGCTTGTCGCCACTTTAATAATGATGATGATGATCATAATCATTATTTTTATTTATTTATTTATTTATCATTCTCTCATGTTTCATAGATCTTTGCTTTTTCATTGAAACAGATTTCATTTTAACTTGGTTTCTTTCATAGTAAATATAAGAGAAGCCCCAATCATACAGAAGGCAGAAAAGAGGAAGAGGAGGAGGAATTCCTGAAGAACATAGATGCCACAGCTAATTACAAAGCCTTGCTCATGGTGAGGCAAATTCTCATGTGGAAACTGCTCAATCTGTAGAGATAAAAACAAACATTTGCAGTTGGCCAGTTATTTATGTAGAGAGCATTCTGAAGGCAAAGGTATTTGCCAATGGTTATTGAATGCCCACCATTCCTGGTGCCTATTCTCATACTGCTTTATACCTGTTTATAACTACTTTGATAAGTACTTTGGAGAGAAGACAAATACGTTCCCCCACTGCAAAATGAGAAGCACAGCTAACACAGTTAATTTCACCCATCAAGATTCTCTTCACTTGCTCTTCATCCTCATTCGACCTGCCTCTCTCAATTTGCTTTACTAAATCTCACTTCCTCTTCTTTTTACCTGAACATCATGGCTTTTGAAAGCCTAAGACATGGCTGTTCTCTCTAAAGCAGCTACTCTCAACATTCTGGAGGCCCAGGCCCTTTGCCATGATATGGCCAGTTCAGATAGGTTTAAGTGACACACAACTGAATTTTCTGAAGTCTCTTTGAAAAGCAGCTGTGGGCAAAATGAAGTTTGAGGAAAGGCTCCATGTTTGAGGGGAGAAGAAAGGCTGCAAGTGCAGAATTTTAAAGTCTTTCGAATACGCCATTTTCTTTATCAAAATCTCCCATCCCATGCTACCTGCCTCCATCAGTGCACACCTGTTGTGATAAAAGTATGTCACTTCTGTTTTGGTTGTTGGCCATGTTTGCAGCATAAGCTGAGTTGGGGATATTGTTTGTGTTGGGCGAGTGGGCTTATTAACAAAAGACCCTTCTCATAAATGCACAGCAGAGTAACTTAGCAGCAGCGTGACCCAGCACCAGTAACCCAAAGTGATAAAAAGAACAAAAATACAGAGACCAATGTTATCTCTTCCATGAGAGCCTTTTCTTTATAATAAAGTAATATGGTTGCACAGTTTACAAAAACAAAGTTTCCATAACACAAATAAAGTCCAGCCTTGACACTGGAGCTTCACACACGAGGCCTTCTCGTAATGAGGCCTACCTCACACTCTGAGGCCTTTCTCTCACAGCGAGGCCTTCTCCCACTGAGGCCTTCTCTCACACTGAGAGCTCTCTCAGACTGAGGCATTACTAAGCAACAGGCACATCTTATATTGAACTACAGTTTTTTTCTGAGTCATTGCATCCATTATCCCTTTCAGTGCTTGACTCACATTTTTGTAATTAAAAATACCTAGTTAATTTTTAATATTTCCGACAGTTTGCACTGTGAAGCCTTCTCCCGTCTTTGAATTTGTGTGTTCAATCTACTTGCCTAGTCAATTTGTTGTGAGGACCAATGAGATGCTGACATTAATCTTGTGTTTCTATGTATGACAGCATTTTATAATAAACATTTTAAAGTCTTTTCAGACTCAGATAATAGAGACAAAAGCCCGAAATGAGCAGCTCTTACATGAAAATATACATCTGAAGAAAGAGATAGAGATCCGGTGAGTGAGTGGGCTATTTTCTTAGATCTGATTCATAAATGAGGCAAAACAGCAAGTAGTATTTCATAACTAATCTGTAAATATCTGAAATCTATAACTATAATAGCTGATGCCATTAACAGCTAGTAATATGATCATTATTTTGTATTAAATATTTTCTTTCCTGTAGACCAACTGTGCAAGAGTTAAGGTTTTACAAACACCAAGTAAAGAAGTTGGAGAAAACACTGAAGAACATCAAGTAATTAATTTTCATCCAATGTGAATGTTAGAGATGTTTTTATGGCAAACTTGCGTACCTGGCATTTCTCGGGTTATTAGAAGAATTCATTTTTTAATTTTACAAAATGCATAAGGTTGTGGGTATACTACAACTCACACCATGCCAGGTTAACCCCATTAAATTCTATCAGCATGTAAAGTTTGTCATGTTGGGCAAGTTTTCTCTAGATGCATCATCATGGGGTTCAGCGTGCTCTTTGGCTGCAGGATAAATTACAATTCCCACCATGGTGGCTGTCTGTCAGATCCTTCCAGTATTTTCAGTAGATCATGGTGGTTCTGTGTGCCAAGTTAGGTCCAGGGCCATCATTGGTGGGGTCCAGAGTACTCTTTGATTGCAGGTGAACTATAAATCCCAGTACCTACAATGGTTATAAATCAAGGTGAATCTCCCCCGCCCCCCCGCCCCCCCCAAAAAACCCTCTCCAGTATTTTTCTTTGATCATGGTGGTTCTGTGTGCCAAATGTGGTCCAGGTCCATTGTCAGTCAGAGTCACAGTGCTCTGACTTGATGCAGGGTGAACTACAACTTCCATTATGTGGAGTCAATCCTCCAAATCTCTCCAGTATGTTTAGTTGCTGATTAGTTCTGCGCTGTTTGTTGTGCAGACAGTTGAAATGAGAAGGAAAGGGTTAAGGGAGAGCAGTGGGAGGGGTCATGCAAATTCCACACCAGTGGAGTCAGAAACGCTGGGATGTCTGTAGTGGAGGAAACAGGTAAAATCTAGGATAAATTGTCCCCGAATGAAAGCATTCCTTGGGTGGTGGGCAGTATGGTGTTTGGGGAGTTCATTGGCAGAGGCTGGACTACATGTTCATGGTGCTCGCTATAACCTGAAATGTCATTGGAGAGAGAACTTTTGGTGGCTCTTCAGCACTGTGGGTTAAAGCTGGAAGTGGGCACCCCAGCCACACACACACATACATACATAATTTAGATAGATGGGTAGTTGAGTTTGGGGCAACTCAGCAATATTTTTTTTAACTGGGAGGACGCAGAATTTTAAAAACAGAGAACAGAAAGTGGTCTTGTGATAATGAGGCTCTGAAAAACTTTATAGAAATATAAGGCCATGGGTCCCATAGGATCTCATAGTATTATCTCTAGATATTGTGGGTATCTTCTCATAGCCCATGCCTCCTCAGAGACACATGCAAAATTACAAAAGAGGATCTGAGATTCCTTAGCAGCCTGTCAAGCCATTTTAGTTTGAATCATTTTAATTTCTTATTTTTGTTCCAAAGGCCACATGAGAACACCGAAGAAGAAAACACCAAAGAAAACAGAGAACTTACACGTAATACAGGAGGAGACCAACTACAGGAAGTTTCCAGAAAATATTTGCAGGTAGGTAGGATGCTATTTCAGAAAGTCTTCAGAAAATATATAGCACTTTAATTTAGATTAAGAGGGAAACTTGGAGTCCATATATGTTCACTCCGGCACTTTAGCTTGTTAATTAAACACAGCCAGTTTTATTAGCAGGGACTAATGTGTTTTATAAATTTTAAAATTTTATTATGTGATGTTATGTGCACTTGATATGTTTGCATTTGTAATTTTATGGCTGTTATTGTTTTTATACTTCTGTTCTGTTCGTTTTATGTGCGGCACTCTGTGCGTGCTTTTGTGAGCCACCCCGAGTCCCTTTGGGGAGATGGTGGCGGGGTATAAATAAAGTTTATTATTTATTATTATTCTATATATGTTGGGGCACGTGGTTGCGCAGCAGGTTAACCCACTGAGCTGCTGAACTTGCTGACCAAAAGGTTGGCGATTCAAATCCTGGGATTGGAGTGAACTCCCATTGTTAGGCCCAGTTTCTGCCAACCTAGTAGTTCAAAAAGATGCAAATGTGAGTTGATCAATAGGTACCGCTTCTGTGGGAATGCTCCATGCAGTCATGCTGGCCACATGACCTTGGATGTGTCTACGGACAACACCGGCTCTTTGGTCTAGAAATGAAGATGAGCACCGCTCCCAGAGTTGGACACAACTACACTTAATGCCAGGGGAAACCTTTACCTTTATCATATATCTGAAGGGGGTGTGGCTGCTCTACAGTCAGAAGCAAAATCCACTGGTTTCCCATCTCTGTTTCCAATTTAAACCATTGTGTGTTTTCTTGGGTAAACAGCTACAGAGATTGCAAACCAGGCTGTAATTCAGTGTTAACTTTTAACTGGGAGGAGTAAGCAGGTGATGATGAAAAGAATGTGAGGAAAGAGGAAGATGGCCCTCTTTGTTGGAATCACTTCGTAGTGACAAACAATGATCTAATCCTATTTCTGAATTTGCTCATTATAATAATTTCCCCAACCACTAGTTGATTGGCAGTTCCATGATTTTAAAAACTTTTCAGATTTGCAGCACAATCCTCTGCATATACTGTATATTTTAAATAAAGCAAGTGTTCAGGATTGCAGTCTTAGTCTGTTTCCTTAGTAATAGTTGAAACAGTGTGGGAAATGAAAGGAAATGCATTTCCGTTCAAGGTGTTTCCATTTAATCTTGCATCAGCATCAAGCATATTTATAGAAGTTTTAATTTTTCTGATGATATACCTCTGACAGGAAGGGGTACAGTTATAACTGTATCTCAACATACAAAAAGACAGCTAAAAGCAAACTGAAGGAAAGAAAAGTCTTGAGACCTGATGAAATATTGTGTGTTGCATCTACCTTGATTGTCCACACTGCTACAAACTCAGGGCCGCAGCAGAAAGTGCCGGCTTGCAATATATATCTTAAAAATAAGCAGATCGCTCATCTAAAGTGAGAAACAAAAACTGTAATTTTTAGTCTCTGGAAAATAGCTGCATGCTGTCAAATGAATACAGACTATTGCATTTTTGCAGACCAAGAATGCAACTATGAGACTCAGTTTCAGTGGGTTACAATGTCCATGCAAACCAGTGTTTCTCAGCCTGTGGGTCCCCAGATATTTTGGCCTTCAACTCCCAGAAATCCTAACAGCTGGTAAACTGGCTGGGATTTTTGGAAGTTGTAGGCCAAAACTCCCAGGGACCTGCAGGTTGAGAACCATTGGAAACATACATGGGATTGGACCTTTTGTTCCTTTGATATATGAGTAATGAGGTCTGCAAAAAAATGGCTTCTTTCTGATACTATTTTGAAGCTATTGATGTATGTTTTTTGACCAACATTTACATAAAGGTGTTATCCAGCATTGACTCAATTATTAGAAGTCCAAGAAGAGCTCCTTTGGTGATGCATATGCAAAGGAAAGGGTTACCACCAAGTTGTATCACGGAGAATGAACAGAAGTGTGGATTTGAGCATCTTCCTCTTACAGTTGAAATGTGGGCAGACCAACTGATGGCTCTGAAGGTACTGCTATCTGTGCTTTAAATCTTGCATTCTTTTAAAATTGGGACATCTGCTGGGAGGAGAAGAGAGATCTCATCTCCCAGTCCAATTGAAGACAAAGATTTAGTCAGTTACCCTGTGTTGAATTAGGCCCTTGGGTTAAGACTCAAAGATAAGATGGGAGCTCTGTTGTCCTCTGACCACGATGTTTATTTTTTCAAGAACTTACACAGATCCCTGAAAAAACTGCTTTTGCGATTAGTACCTTGGCACACAGTAGCTCTGCAGGATAACAATGAACATGTTAGAGTTGAAGATCTTCAGTGTTTAGTAGATGAAATCTCTGAAGAAGTAGACAATGCGGAAAAGGTACATTTTTACAAAGTTCTGCCTCTTCTTCACACATTTATGCTTGAGCTTCTTTCATTTCATATGTTAGTATGAAGCCCTATATTTTATTTCAGCACAAAAACTTGGTTATTTATTTATGTAATAAATCAGGGGAGCTTCCATCTGTCAGCTCCAGCTTCCCGTGCGAGGACATGAGAGAAGTCTCCCACAGGATGGTAAAACATCCAGGCGTCCCCTGGGCAACATCCTTGCAGATGGCCAATTCCAGAAGGAACTTGCAGTTTCCCAAGTTGCTCCTGACATAAGAAAAAAATTACATAATGAGACATATGTAAAAAAAAACAAAACATGCTTGACGCTGTAGATGGTTTTGTTAATTACTTTGATCCTTATTTCGAAAAATGGCTTCAGTTAACTTTTTGGTTTTTTAGAAGACCGATTCTGCTTTGTCTGTGTGTAAACCCACCCCATGTATTATTCTATCTCTAAGAGACTTCTAGATCATCATGTGTATTTGAAGTTAAAAATTCACCTTATTATTTCTTTTTTCTTCCCCGGCATCTTGTAGAAGAGTAGTGTGCCTTCCCAACACGCCTTGTATGCAATTGTCTCTCATTTTCAAAAGCTGTTTGATGTGAAGTCTTTGAATGGGATTTACCCTCGGATGAATGAAGTTTATTCAAAACTTGGTGAGATGACCAATGCTATGAGAAACCTACGTGATCTCTTGGAACTAGGTATGATTTTTTGTTGCTTTTTCCTCTGTGCGAGTATGTTTGGACCACTGAAATGAAATCTTGTAATATTTTGCATATTGATGTCTGCAACCACTTAATATGTTTGTTTAGCTATTGCACTAATAAAGTCAGCCACAGGGTTGGACTAGATGTCTCTGCCCTTGGAAATGATGGGGTGTCATTCTTCCTAGATGCTTCAACCCCTCCCAGTGTGCTAGTGAACATTGTTGGAAAGCTCTGCAGCCTGTTTAACAAGGATGTGACCAAGCAGATAGAGCAGCTGCTGGGGACACAGGACATCGAGAGGTACCCCAAACTACCTACTTGTTCAGTAGTAGCCTTTGAACTATATCCATTCAGATTCCTATTCTTCATTGTTATTTCTACCAGCAGGTTCCTTCTTCCAAGACCTTTCTGTGAAGGCTTTGGTGTAACCCAGTGTGATTTGCTAGTCTTTATTTCTACCTACCTAACTCTTACAAGGGGCCCGCGGAGGTGCAGTGGGTTAAACCACTGAGCTGCTGAACGTCCTGACTGAAAGGTTGGCGGTTCAAATCCGGAGAGCGGGGTGAGCTCCCACTGTTAGCCCCAGCTTCTGCCAACCTAGCAGTTTGAAAACATGCAAATGTGAGTAGATCAATAGGTACCTGGAAGGTAACAGCACTCCAAGCAGTCATGCCAGCCACATGATCTTGGAGGCATCTATGGACAATGCTGGCTCTTCTGCTTAGATATGGAGATGAGCACCAACCCCCCCCCCTCCGAGTCAAACAAAACTAGACTTAATCTCAAGGGGAAACCTTTACCTTAACCCTTATATCGGTTTCTAGATGACAAGCACATTAGGATATTGATTTCTCGCTGTATTCTCTCAAAAGAACCATCTGTTTGAATGGACCTTAATAATAATTTGAAATACCATTTATTAACCACCAAAATGTATGTTGTGCAACCTATTCCAGGACAGTAACAATTAGGAAAAAAAACTGGAGGAGGGAAGGATCAAATTAATGCTGGATCTACACTACTAGGATCCGATCCGAGATTATCTGCTTTGATCTGGATTATATGAGTCTCCATTACCATATAATCTGGGACAGAGAGATAATCTGGGATCGGATGCTAGGATATAGGACAGGGTAGAAGGGGACTTAGACAAGTTGTTTTTTTCACATATGCTTTGTTTTCTGTGGCAAATGGGGTAGAATGTATATATAGTGAAGTCAAAGCCTAGTGTAGGAACAATGCATAAGAAAAGTAATGGTAAAGGTTTCCCCTGACATTAAGTCTAGTCATGTCTGACTCTGGAGGATGATGCTCATCTCCATTTCTAAGCCAAAGCACTGGCATTGTCCATAGACACCTCCAAGATCATGTGGCCAGCATGACTGCATGCCTTTACCTTCCCACCAAAGCAGTACCTACTCACATTTGCATGTTTTCAAACTGCTAGGTTGACAGAAGCTGGGGCTAACAGCGGGAGCTCCCCCCGCTCCCCAGATTTGAACTGTCAACCATTTGGTCAGCAAGTTCAGCAGCTCAGTGGTTTAACCTGCTGTACCACCGGGGGGGATAAAAAGCAATTGCAAGAATAATGAGTTTACTTAGATTTCGGAAACTGGTGATTCTCACAAAATTCTTGATGTTGCACATTGTTGCTAGAAGTATGTAATCTGTAAATAAGGATTTTTGATAAAGAATAGCATGAAGAGGTGGAAGGAACAAAACCTACTCGTGTGGAGATCACTGAGGTTGTTCTAGAGAAGGAAACTGCTAGTAAATAAATGTTTGCTATGACTGATGTTTTTCAGCATTATCTACAAGTTAGAAGAACACGACCACTTTTTTCCAGCCTTTCAAGCTCTTACTGAGGAGCTGCTTCGCCTTTTAGGTAAGTTACCGTATTTCTGTAAAACATACACCATTGCTAAACATTTCAGACCCAGAAAGCAGGGACATGGATAGCTGAGAAGGCATGCAGGCAAAGAGGATCACTTAGCTAGGAATGGAATTAGTTTTTCTGAGTTGCTGTGAGTTTTCCGGACTGTATGAACATGTTCCAGAAGCATTCTCTCCTGATGTTTTGCCCACAACTATGCAGCGCCGAAACACCAATCAAGGAACATGAAAGGCACTGCAGACTAATTCAAGCTGAGAAGTCAGCCATAGCAGAGCACCTGATGAACCAGCCTGGACACAGCATATTATTTGAGAACACAGAAATGCTGGAGCACTCTCACAACTACCATGTCAGACTACACAGCGAAGCCATTGAAATCCACAAGTGTGTGGACAATTTCAACAGAAAGGAGAAAACCATAAAAAAAAACAAAATCTGGCTACCAGTAGTAAAAAATTCCTCTAAAATCAGGACAGTAAATAAAGAGGAACATTCAAAAAGCAGGGGAATTCCAGACAAGAATCTGTCAGGGCCACCTCTCAACAAAGGATTCCCCCAGGCAGGAAGCAGCCAAGCCTTGAAGCTGCAGGGTCATTAAATCCTAATCAAGGTGCCTCAAGCAGACAATAATTCTTTCTCCTACTCTGGACATCCCACATATATAAAAACCTCACTTGCCTAGTTTCCAACAGACCCCTCAACCTCTGAGGATGCCTGCCATAGATGCAGGTGAAACGTCAGGAGAGAATGCTTCTGGAACATGGCCATAGAGCCCAGAAAACTCATAGCAACCCAGTGATTTTGGTCATGAAAGCCTTCAACCACACATTAGTTTTTCTATTTGTGTGTAAAGTACTATCTAGCTAGTTACCTTCTCCTCTGGTTGTATCAGTAGAGAAGAATGCACAGCATTTTCTTAGAAGTCCAGTCTGCCTTAACCATATTTTGCTTAGTGATTCTGTTACACTTGCTCAGTACCTTTCAGTTTTTTTTCTATAAAACTGTCCTTTTCATACAGGTAACCTATGCAGGGTTAGTTACTTTACTCACATTGAGTCTCAGATTTTAAAAAATTAAATTGGAATTGACTTCATGACAATGTTTATGTACAGGCACTGTGTATTTATATGAATGGATATTTTCTGAGTTGAAAAGGTACTAATTATAAATTTTCAATGTAGCTGTAGGACTTTTTGGTAGCAATGAGTTCCCCTCATTCTAGCTATGAAGTCATCTAAATTAAGTGTTTCTAAGATGCAATGTAAGATTCAGAGCCCTCTGGTGGTGCAGTGGATTAAACCGCTGAGTTGCTGAACTTGCTGACCAAAAGGTTGGCAAGTCAAATCCAGAGAGCAGGGTGAGCGCCTGCTGTTAGGCCCAACTTCTGCCAACCTAACAGTTTGAAAACATGCAAATGTGAGTAGATCAATAGGTACTGTTTCTGCGGGAAGGTAATGGTGCTCCATAGAGTCATACTGGCCACATGACCTTGGAGGTGTCTACGGAGAACACTGGCAATTCAATAAATGCATAGAGGCATCTCTTCCCAATTTCTCCCTGGTTTGTCTGGAAGTAGCTGATAATTTACTCTGAAGGGGTGTAATTTATACAAAACCATTGTTTTTGTTTCAGAAGTCACAAATCCGACAGATATAGTCCCTGCTGTGCAGAGATTGAAAGGAAAAGTCCAATAACGTAAGCCATCCATAAAGTTATAAAATGTATCTACCTCTTATGTATAGTGTTTTAACTATTTTAATTAAAATCTTTTAACTCACTCTTGGAAGTTTTTTTGACACCACCATCGAATGAAATCTCTGCTCTGAAAATGTTTAACCCATACAATATTTGTAGTCATGAACTATCACTTAAGCCAAAGTCCTGAACGTGCAGAAGTTTCATGATTCACTTTATTCATTCTAAAAATATTAATTACATCTAGACTTAAAAGTTTGAGAACTGCATATTCTTTTTCTCTGGTTTAAGTAGCATAAGACTTGTACTTCACTGTGTTTTCACTCTGAATCGCAAAGCACCTGTGATCAAGAAGGCTCCATACGAAGAGTAGGAGTAATGCAATCTCTGCAATCATTCAAACCACCACACATTGCAATGGGTTTGCCCCTTCTATCTCCCTTATGACCCCAGACACATAAAAAATACCCCAATTAATTTGAAAACAGAAGAGCAGTTGGTGGGATGGCTGATGCTGTGTATCCACCAACCATTCTTCTCCTATAACTCATGGTATTTGTCAAAAAAAAAAAAAAAGGATTCTTTAAAACAGTGAAGTATAGTCCAGGACTGCTGTGGAAGTTCACCTGTAGCAGTTGTCTCCACTCACAGCCAGGAAGAAAGGAAGCTGGATCTTGGCTAGACAGAGAAAACTTGATGCAACTTAAATACGAGTTTTAATATATCTAACCTTAGGCACTACAGTGTTTCGGCACTGTTTCCTAGTGTACCAGCAGCACTAGCCCTTGCCCAGAATTCCTGCATAGGAGACCTTCACAGATGTCATAAATACACAAACAGTGGTAAACATGGGAGCTTATTCCCAGGTGTATAATTTCTGTTGTGTTCCCAAACACAGATCAAGAGTTGGGACTGTTACTAAGGACCTCATCACACTAGAGAATGAATCCATTTTAAATCTGGTTTCTGCCTCCTACAGAATTCCAGGGTTTGTAGTTTAGGGAGCCTTTACCACCCTCACTAAACTACAAACCCCAGAATTCTCCAGGAGGCAGAAACCGGAATTAAAGTGGATTCATTCTCTAGTGTGATGAAATAGTAAGAAAGGCACTTGGAAGTTACAACAGAATATTCTACATGGGAGTATCAAATCCCATGTTAATTAAATAAGTTAACAGTGCGATTTCGATATAAAAAATCTAAAAAGTCTTTTGGTGGCCGTCTTAAAAGTACAAAATATACATATGTACAATTGATTCCTTTGTTCTTCAGATGTTCTATATCAGCTGCAAGGTTGTCCATTCATTGTCAGCTGATACCTGAAAAAAGAAAACACCGAGTATGAGTTAGTTTCTGATAGCATGATATCCCATAGTCTGAGTGATTGACAGTGGATTTCTTCTGTTGCCTTCAAGGGCATCTGTTTGCACCTTTCCTGTAGCCATCCATAGGCTGGATCTTCACAAAATCATATTGGCCTTGAAGCATCTCAATCTCAATGGACAGGGCAGTAAACTTCTGTGTACTCCTTGCAGGAGTAGCAAATAACCTTAAGGACCATTACTCCTTCTAGCTCAGCCTTACATACCACTCACAGAAAACAGCTTTGTCCTTTCCCCCCAGGAAGAATGAAACATGAGACCTTCTAGATCAGTGGTTCTCGACCTGTGGTTCCCCAGATGTTTTGGCCTTCAACTCCCAGAAATCTTAACAACTGGTAAACTGACTGGGATTTCTGGGAGTTGTAGGTCAAAACACCTGGAGACCCACAGGTTGAGAACCACTGATTTAGGCAAAACATGAGCTAGGGTTGCTGGAAATAAAATTATCAAGATGAGATAATGTCAAATATTGTCCAACACATGCATTTTCTTCTGTTTCAGTCTCCCCAACCAAAGCATTTGGGATAACATTAAAACATCCCTGTTTCAGTTCTGTAATTTTGCTCCCCTTTAAAGTTACATCATAACCTTTGATGAAATCCTGATGATGGATGGCCCTAGTGGCACGTCGGAAGTAACCGGACTCAAAGAGGATGAGCAGGAGATGCTCAAACCATAGTTCCTGAGGACTGGGTACTTTCATACTTTACCTGATCTCTGCAATTCCAGTGCTTTGTTATTGAGGGATAAACTATACTTGGCAATGATCATTTCGGGTAAACAGAGTGTTTTGTTACATCCCTATAAAGCAGTGGTTCCCAACCTTTTTTGACTGCTTGGCTCAGTCATCATCTCATCTTGTAGTAACTTTGTGTGAGAAAATTTCCTATACTATAGCCTTAAACATTATCTGTCGCTATTGATGCTTTTGTAGATGTTCCTAATGTAAACATACCATTGTGAGACGCCCTTAAGTAAGTCTTCCTTTGACAAGTCAATCAGCACCTTTTGGGGGGAAAAGCCAAAATGAAAAAGAGCATTTAAGAAGCAATGAATACAGCAAATGTGACCTAATAATAATTTGTGTTTAAAATATATAGGCCAGATTATCAATCAAGATTATTATCGGGCTCAAAACTGCTAATATTGATTTTATAGCTATCATTAGAATGCAGGTGTGGACCTCTTTTCTCCTGCCACACATTCTTCCCTATCTTTTAAATAATTTCCCTGTTGTAACATGAAATATATATTTGTTCAACAGCAAATAGAGTTTTGAATGAATGCCATACCGAATGAGGCACCGAAATAGTCAGGTAGATGTTTCATGCAGAGACCCTTATGTCTAAGAACACAGGAATTTCTATTGCAAATTGCAGATTAAGTATTCACATATTATTAATTTCTGGGTTGCTGTGAGTTTTCCGGGCTGTATGACCATGTTCCAGAAGCATTCTCTCCTGATGTTTTGCCCACATCAAAGATGTGGGCAAAACGTCAGAAGAGAATACTTCTGGAACATGGATGTGGGCGAAACATCAGGAAAGAATGCTTCTGGAACAAGGCCATACAGCCTGGAAAACTCACAGCAATCCAGTGAGTCTGGCCATGAAAGCCTTCAACAACACATAATTAATTTCACTTACCTCATTTCCCTCATAATTTTCAAAACGGTGTCTTACCTTCCCAAGTTCTTTTATTTCATGTGAAATGAATGGCTTTCTGTTTTTCACTGCAATGTCTAAAGCTCGTTTCTTAATTTCCTCCAAAGTGTCAAAATATTCAAATCTAAGTAGAAAAATAGAAAACGTGTGTGTAAAAAATAGATTCCAAATAAAGAAATTACAGTTTTACCACCACCCCAAAAATCATGGTGAAAAACTATTTCTGCTGCACAAGATGTTTTAGACTTCTAAATGCTGCACCAGAAAAGTGAGAATTGTGTAAATAAAGTAATGGGGAGGGGCAGGGTCATGGTTCTTGGTTTCTCCGTTGCACATTTCTGAATAAGGACACCCAGTGGTTCAATGGGTTCAACTCTTGTGCTGGCAAGACTGCGGACAGAAAGGTTGGCGGTTTGAATCCGGGAGCTGGGTGAGCTCCCGTCTGTGAGTTCCAGCTCCTCATGTGGGTATGTGAGAGAAGACTCCCACAGGATGGTAACACATTCAGGTGTCTCCTGGGCAGCATCCTTGCAGACGGCCAATTTTCTCACACCAGAAGTGACTTGCAGTTTCTCAAGCCACTCCAGACACGAAAAAAATCTGAATAATATCTGTGTAGTTGGAAGATGAAACATGGAGGTTTCTTAACAGGACTGACTTTTCATCATAATGAGGATTCAGTGTTCTTTTCTTGACTGTAGTTCTCCTTCTGCTTGCCCATCTTTTATCTGGCAGTAAGTAGATGCGGACATATGGATGTGCACCTTGCCGCGAACAGGGTGTCAAATTTCTGTGGGACAGTAAGAAATACCATATTCATTATAAAAATACTTTTAAAATATTCCATATAGAGTCAGGGTTGCTAGACACCAGAATATTATGATGTATCCTCACAAAGCCCCCCCCCCCCCAGTGGCACAGCAGGTTAAACCACTGAGCTGCTGAACTTGCTGACCAAAAGGTTGGTGATTTGAATCCGAGGAGCAAAGTGAGCTGTTAGCCCCAATTTCTGCCAGCCTAGCTGATCGAAAACAGGCAAATGTGAGTAGATCAATAGGTACCACTCCAGAGGGAAGGTAACAGTGCTCCATGCAGTCATGTTGGCCACATGACCTTGAAGGTGTCTACGGATAACGCCAGTTCTTCAGCTTAGAAATGGAGATGAGCACCAACCCCCAGAGTTGGACACAACTAGACTTAATGTCAATGGGAAACCTTTGCCTTTGTTTATCATCACAAAGGCCAGAGATGCTGGTGAAGGCTTAAAGCGGATGGTGCAAATTTACTTCTGGAATGTTTGCAAAATGGCAACTAACAAACAGTTACTGGGGACCACTGGTTCTGCCATTACAATAATTACAAGAACCATTGCCCAAATGGAGTGGATGTTACAACAACAAAGGGGTGAGTGGAGAAGATCCATGGCCAATGTTGCATGTCGCATATGGGCCACTCCATATTGCAAAACAGAAGTTTGAAAATGCTGAAGTTTAGTGTTAGCATATCCACACAGGGCATCTTGGAAACCATTACCCAGATAGTCCCCAACAAAATTTAAATCCTACACAACATACAATTTTTGCAGAAGATTGGATTGTTAAGTGTTACCTGCATGCATTGATGAACACAACAAGAGACTGTCTGAGGGAGGCGTAGCGTATAGTGAGGTGAATCTCTCCCAAGCGCTGCCCCGCAGGAAGCCTTCCACTGCAAGACAAAGGATTTGTTTACAAGTTCTACAGAAGGACAGGCGCTGCACAACTAAGAAACAAGCTCCAGTGCTAAGCTACATGAAGAAAGAACAAACTAACTTCAAACCATGTCCAAAAGGAGGAATTGTCTACACCAAAGATGTCTTGGATTAATCATCTGCAATCTGGTAACCTCCAGATGTTCTGGACTTCAAATCCCATCAGTCCCAGCAATGGGAATTCATAGCTGATAGCTAGTTCATGGAATCATTCAAATCTAGGGGAAGCACAAGAATGTGCCATCTGCCATTTCTCAACAGTATCAGCAATAGCAATAATAATAAATTGCCGCCCTTTTTTCTTTCAGAGTTAAAATCAAGTGGCTCACACTTAAGAAGCAAGACAATTAATATATATTAAAGCTAGATATTAAAATGCCATTAATTTTTTTAAAAAACCAATTATAATACAGTTAAGATAAATAGATAAAACATTTATCTATTTGGACCGAATAGACTACTGCAATGCGTTGCACGTGGAGTTGCCTTTGAAGACTGTTCAGAAGCTTCAAGTGGTCCAACAGACTACAGCCAGATTTCTTACTGGAGCGGCATGCAGGGAGCACACAAACCCACTGTTGTGCCTGATCCACTGGCTGCCAGTCTGCTACCCAGCACAATTCAAAGTGCTGGCTTTCGCCTATAAAGCCTTAAATGGTTCTGGCCCATTTAAGCTTACCTGTTTGAATCCATCTCCCCATATGAACCATCGTGGAGATTAAGAACCTCTGGGGAGGCCCTGCTCTCGGTCCCGCCTCCTTTGCAGGCTTGAGTGGTGGAGACGAGAGACAGGGCCTTCTCAGTGGTGGCCCCTCAGCTGTGGAATTCCTTCCCCAGTGAAATTAGATCAGTGCCCTCCTTCCTGGCCTTCAAAAAAACTACAACATAACATAATCTCCGTGGTGGTTCAGCGGGTTAAACCACTGAGCTGCTGAACTTGCTGACCGAAAGGTTGGTGGTTTGAATCGGGGGAGAAGGTTGGCCCAGCTTCTGCCAACCTAGCAGTTCGAAAACATGCAAATGAGTAGATGAATAGGTATTGCTTCTACAAAAAGGTAACAGTGCTCCATGCAGTCATGCCGGCCACATGACCTTGGAGGTTTCTACGGACAATGTAGGCTCTTCGGCTTAGAAATGGAGATGAGCACCAACCCCCAGTGTTGGACACAACTCGACATAATGTCAAGGGGAAACCTTTACCTTTGCCTTTCACATAATCTCTGTTCCATAAATTGATCTTTTGAAATGCAAACCCTATCCTGCTATACACATTTTGATATGATACACGATTACAGAATCCTGCACAGGAAATATATAGATTTTTGAAATGATGCTCATCATAAAACTACATCCTATCAGCAGTCAAAGCAATGCTTATCTTAAGAGAGTAGACCTATCAGTGGGAATAGCAACCTTTGCCTTGTGCTGCCACTTACCATGGAGAAATGATGTATGCTGAAATTGTTCAGTTTAGACAAAAAAGGCAGCTTGAGAAACTTACTTGTTAAGGTCCAGATTGCTGCAAGTGACATCAAATGATGAAGAGCCTACGGAGTCCAGAGACGCAACACTAGGGGCCATTTGAAGTCTCTGCACTGCTGGCAAGGTAGGGGGCTTCTTTGGCAGTGTCAAGGATTTGGAGTCCAAGCCTCGAGGATCTGCTTGGTGGTTAATTCCAGAAGCTGATTCTATTACAATAGGCCCAGACAGTTTCTCATTCACATTCAGGTTAGCACTGTTCACCTGTCTGTCACCTGTGGATCCAGGCAGACCCCTGACTTTGTTCTCTTCAGGTTCTTTGGGCACTTCAACTTTTGGCACTGGGGGCTGGACAGGGGGCAGCGGATGGGGTGGAGGCAACGGTGCATTGTCTTGGTTTCCATCTTGTTCTGTAGCAGGGATAGGCACGTTCTGTAAGCCATCTGTGCCTTCTGGATCTGGTTTCTCCACATCCAAAGCCTAAGATGGAAAGGAGGGGGCAGGGAGAGAGAGAAATATAGTCATATCTAGAGGACAGAAGGAATCCAGTAACACCTAGCTTGGGGGGTGGATCAGCTTTCGTGTACTACAATCCACTTCATCAGGGGATGGAGTGAAGGCTCACTGAGTCATAGAATCACAGAGTTGGAAGAGACTTGTGGGCCATCCAGTCCAACCCCCTGTCAAGAAGCAGGAAATCGCATTCAAAGCACCCCCGACAGATGACTATCCAGCCTCTGATTAAAAGCCTCCAAAGAAGGAGCCTCCACCACACTCTGGGGCAGAGACTACTGAACAGCTCTCACAGCCAGGAAGTTCTTCCCCCATGTTCAGGTGGATTCTCCTTTCCTGTAGTTTGAGGCTTTACTCTGTTTATTTTATGAACAGAAATTAATCTACAACACCTTACTTTGGACATGTATTTTTTTCTGATCTCAGAAGTGCTACCAGATTCCTTTTTGTTTTTTATGCTAAAACAGATTAGCATATCTCTATCATTGAACATTGGCTATGACATTCTAGTCTATCTTCTACCCCTAAAGTACACCTTTGAGACAAAACCACCAGACTTTCAGCAAAGGGATTTTTTTTGTCTCCCAATAAGCGTGCTATAGTTTTTGCTTATTAACTGTATAAGGTAAGAATGAGGATGTTATATGCTCCAACATATTACAGATGAAAACCAAAGATATATGGCCAAGCAAAAGGAACATTTACAATGCTGATGGCAGTGGTTGTGCCTCACTTCCAGATCGACTGGCTGGTCACCAAGGCAGAGTACCGTATATACTCGAGTATAAGCCTACGCACAACTTGGCTTATACTTGAGTACCATATATACTCAAGTATAAGCTGAGTTGTGATAAGATCAATAGATACCATTCCGGCGGGGAAGGTAACAGTGCTCCATGCAGTCATGCCGACCACATGACCTTAGAGAGGTGTTTATGGAAAATGCCGGCTCTTCAGCCTAGAAATTGAGATGAGCACCACCACCCAGAGTTGGACACGACTAGACTTAATGTCAAGGGAAAGCCTTACCTTTACTTATCAATATAAATAAATGAGCCACTATGGATGACAAGGTTTTGTAGAATTCTGAAAACATACTTATGTATGGGTGCTTTTGTGGAGAGAAAGGCAGGATATTATTACAAACAGAAATAGGTAATCAGGCAGAGTTTTTCTCAATTTGTAATCTGGTAAATAGTAATATTTTTAAATGAAGCTTTGTCTGTGTGTGCATTAAAATATAGACACACGCATTTAAAAAAGACCTAGAAAACTTGCACTGTCTTGCATTCATTTGTAAGGATGGATGTCAGGTCACCCAAAAAAGAGAAAACATTCTCAAATGGGAAATGTCCCAAGGATGAGTTAGTGTCATGGTGTTTCATCCTAGGTATGGAAACAACTAGCTCACTTGCATAACGTAATAAAGATCAAGAGACAACAGGTCATGCTTCAGATGCATTGAAACTCCATTTGGCACCAAGAACAGAAAGCTATGCAAGTTTGGTTTCAATTCAGCTGTCCAAAACAGACTCATGCCCAGAAGAAAAGCTAACACAGAGACATCAACTGTGCAACAACTCTTGCAATTAACAGCTTTATTCCTGGGATGTAAAAAAATGAGAACTGAACAGATTAATGGGTTTCAGGAACACACTGCAAGTGTTTATGTAAGAGCAAAAAGAGTTACAACAGAGCAGGATGAAGGCAGGTGGACGAACCGTAGACTTACTCTCAGTACCACTTTCAGTTCAATAGAGCTGTCCACACCAGAATGATCCAGCTGAAAGTTTTCTGCCATTGTCATCTCTGGTTTCTTCAGTAAGTGGCTAAGAGAAAGCACCAGGGTGCCCAGGGCATTCTCACGGTCCTTATCCTTGATCTAAAGAGGAGGAAAACAATACATAAGTAAGGAGTAAATCAGTTTTAGGTTTTTTAAATCTTCAGATTATGCCTAATTATCATAGATTAGAGACAGTTTTCTTATGTAACAATGAGCACTTCAACAAGCATCTCAACCATATGAGCCGATTCTGCCAAAACAACAACAACAACAAAACCCAGCTATTCAAGTAACAAGTTCATTCACTGGGAAAAATAATCTGTGAGAACTATATACTAAATAGGAGATAATGCCTCTAGATCATGGCCATACAACCCGAAAAAACCTACAACAACCCAGTGATTCCGGCCATGAAAGCCTTCAACAATACATATATACTAAATAGTGTAAGATGGACAACATCCTAAGTTTGCAAATAACTAAATTTGCAACATCCTAAGTTTGCAAATACCAGCAAATAACATTAATACCCTTACCCCCAAAACCCATAGTTTTGCTGTCTCTCTACTCCTCCCTCCTTGTCCTACCTCCCTCTTCTCCTCCTAAAGAAAGACACGTCTGTAGTCACTTTGTAAAGACACTTCTGTAGTTACTTTACGTAAGACCTGGTGTGCACAAACATACAAAACCCAAACCTGTGCTACACTCCCAATTAGAGAAACTGAAGGGACAAACTAACCTCCAGATGGAGAGACTGTGATGCAGCACTGTGGACAAAGAACGTGAACGCCTGACCCCAGACGGGATCTTTGGTGAAGTTGCAAGTCTGTTTGAGAGAAGAGTGGGGTAGAGATGAGAAAAAGAAAGAAACAGTTCACACCTTAGTTGGAGAATGCATTTACAGCACTTATTAGAGAATAATCCCCACTGAGACTAAGCTTTTTTTTCCTGACAGTCGCGACTTGGGAAACTGCAAGTCACTTCTGGTGTGAGACAATTGGCCGTCTGCAAGAATGTTGCCTAGGGGACGCCCGGATGTTTTACCATCTTGTGGGAGGCTTATCTCACGTCCCCGCATAGGAAGCTGGAGCTGACAGATGGGAGTTCATTCTGCTCCCCGGATTCAAATTGCCAACCTTTCATTCAGCAGTCCTGTCAGCACAAGGGTTTAACCCATTACACCACCGGGGGCTCCTACTGAGACCAATGCATTGTGTTGAGTTGGTCACGCAAAAAAATTGCTTTATTGCAGACTATAGCATAATAGATTTTGGAGCAGGAATTATCAATGTTTGGCTTTCCAAAATTTGGACATCAGTTCCAGGCTAGCCAGGATGGACTAGCCTTTGCAGATCAATATCTGGAAGGCCACATTATTTCCACCTGATCTAATGGTATGGCCAACTATTTTCTAGTGGAAACCACCCTATTATTTCACCCACCCACCCAATATATAGGCTATGCAAGGTATAGGCACCATGATGTATTTTGCAGATAGCTAGCATCTGCAAAACACCAATAATTGGTTTTCATTTATCTAGCCATACCCAAAGCGATATAGACAAGACATTCTTCAAGACTTTGCTACTGCAAAATGGCAGAGATCTAAACAATGAAAAGTGGATGCTCCTTACCTTACTTCGGTGAGTCTTGTTGCCCACTGTAAGAAGAACAAACGAAGAGGGCTCCCTCTCCACCTTCTTTAAAATTTATAATGTTGACATAAAAGACAGGAATAATATTAATACTAAGACTTTCTAGAAGAAAAGATAATGCCTTAAATAGAAATGTTAGCAATAACCCAACTTTTATTTGGGATTTTAAGAGGCAGAAAGTAAGAGTTTTGTTACTTTTAATATTTTATTTCCTCCACTGACAACACTCAGCATCTGTTCCTGGGAACAATAGTCTTCATGTTTGGGACCAAATTTGAATGTGATATTTTAAATTTTTTGCTAGATAAGAATACAAAGTCAGCAGCTGTTACAGTAGCTAAACTTTGGGTATTTTTCTATAACTAAATATTTCTATTGACACAGAGGCATAGTTAATTGGATATACAATTATCCTTTTCAAAATAGAATACTAGAATAAGCTCTTTAAATACTAAAAATAACCAGCAGCTATGTCAGAAACAATTAAGGAATCATCTAAGAAAATAAGCTTTGTCGATGAAAGTTTATGCTCTGAACGTTGTTCTCTCAATATTCAAGGTGCTACAAGACCCTTTAGTATTCTGCCTTTAAAGTAATGAGTTTTAAAAATAATTATTGTTGGGATTTCTAAATATAAATTTAATTTACATGCATTAACAGTTTACAGTGTAAACAGAACACAAAACAATGAACATTTTACAAACACATAACCCTACCAGCAAGGCCTGAACAAATACTATTTCCTTTGCCATAAATTTATGAATAAACCAGTTTTTTTGTGTCAGGAAAGACTTGAGAAACTGCAAGTCGCTTCTGGTGTGGGAAAATTGGCTGTCTGCAAGGATGGTACACCTGGATGCTTTGAAGTTTTACCATCCTTGTGGGAGGCTCTTCTCATGTCCCCACATGGGGAACTGGAGTTGACATAGGGAGCTCATCCGCGCTCTCCCCGGATTCGAATCTCTGACCTGTTGGTCTTCAGTCCTGCCGGAACAAGGGTTTAACCCATTGCGCCACTGGGAGTTCCAGTAAACCAGTAAACAAATGTCATATCCAAAATTCCTGACCAACAAGATTGTATTGTTTTGCCTTATCACTCTCTAAAATATATTTAATGAAAACTGACCAACATGAATTAAATTCTGATCTGTTCATTTCCCTCTGTTAATTTTATTGACAGATTCGTAGCCATTCTCCACGTGTTGTGATTTTGACATTTGACTGTTTATAGCAAAATCAGGGGCAAAAACACAGCTTTTAATTATGTGGAAGCAGAGATAATGAATTTATTGAAAAGTCATAGAGAAGTATCACAAAAACTTACATGTATTTCCTACTTCGGCCTTGAAATTGCTCTGATTGTAGCCTCATATATACAATTTCTTGTACTCTGCTAGGCTTTCTATTCTTCTATGTAGGACATAGTTAATTATGATTATATTCAATGACACAAATATGAAAAGCCTCCTGCTATTTTTTATCAGTTACGAGAGCTATTAAATAATTTCTTCAGCTTCTGTATTCATGTGAGATGGCTTCCAAAAATAAGCATTTACCTTGAGGTATCTGTCTTTTCTGTACTTCTTTACTCCATATTCACCATTGGAATATTCATACTGATTTTTCTGTATTGAAAAAATATTAAAAGTATAGAGGAATGCAAATAAAAATGAAATTAGATGTCACAAAGTCTATGGAATACTGTCCCTAAGGAGAGTTATCTAAAATAGTGAGGGTCACCTAAAACCTAAAACAGACTTAACCTAAAATCTGCTTCCACTTAGATACCCCCAGCAATCAGTATTTAGAGACATAATTGTCCTTGATGCCAAGCCATTGATGGATCCTTGCCTCCACTAGGCAGGCTACTGCTGGAGATTAGATTATAGAAAAGCTACAATCACCATAACATATAGCATAAGAGAACCACTTTAATTCTTATCCAAGCATGGCTATTTTTTACTCTGGGGACAAGATGTGACAGAAGCTAATTTTACAAAAGATAGGTGGTCAAGAATAGTAATCTCAAAGTACAGTGGGCCTTCAGTATTTCATAGAATCATAGAGTTGGAAGAGACCTTGTGGGCCATCCAGTCCAACCCCCTGCCGCATAGCTGGAAAATCCGTTCAAAGCACTCCCAACAGATGGCCATCCAGCCTCCACTTAAAAGCCTCCAAAGGAGCTTCCACCACACTCCAAGGCAGAGAGTTCCACTGCTGAACAGCTCTCACAGTCAGAAAGTTCATCCTAATGTTCAGGTGGAATCTCCTTTCTTGTAGTTTGAAGCTATTGCTCTGCGTCCTAGACTCCAGGGCAGCAGAAAACAAGCTTGCTCTCCCCTCCCTGTGACTCACCCTCACATATTTATACATGGCTATCATGTCTCTTCTCACTCTTCTGTAGGCTAAACATGCCCAGCTCTTTAAGCCACTCCTCATAGGGCTTGTTCTCCAGACCCTTGATCATTTTAGTCGCCCTCCTCTGGATACAATCTAGCTTGTCAATATCTCCCTTCAATTGTGGGGCCAGAATTGGACACAGTATTCCAGGTGTGGTCTAACCAAGGCAGACTAGAGGGTTGCATGACTTCCCTGGATCTAGACACTTTACTCTTATTTATGCAGGTCAAAATCCCATTCACTTTTTTAGCTGCAGCATCACATTGTTGGCTCATGTTTAACTTGTTGTACATGAGGATCTTTTTCACAAGTACTGCTCCCGAGCCAGGCGGGGATTTGGTCCCAAGACTCTCACAGATACCAAAATAAGTGGGTTCTCAAGTCCAATCATATGCAGTGGTGTAATAAAATGGTCTGCTTATATAAAATGAAGAGAAAAAAAACCCTGCAAAGTTTGCTTATTGGATTTTTTTTAGTTTTGCAGATGAGGGGATAAATATTTTCAAACAATGGATGGTTGAATCTATGCATACAAAATCCTTGGATACAAAGAGTGGTTGTAAAGAGTAAAATGCAATCAAGCCAGCTAATTTGCAGGCACTTGGGAGATTTCATTTTTACTCCCCCCCCCCCCCCCCCCCCCCATCCTTTCTACTCCACACCAGCAAGTGAATCCTGGAATGCTCTACCTGAGCCTTGTATTTGGAAATCCTGAATTCCAACAGCATTTCAGAAAGTATCATGGAAATACTATCATTAATATACTTTTACCCTGCTCTTTATCATAAGGTTCTGCAGGCAGTAATTTAACAACACTACCAGATTCAACAAAATAAAGATGTATTACACACAGCAACAGTTAAAACCACTATACTATCAACTTGAAAGTACAACAGTTTAATACTGTATACATACATACACCGAAATAAATTTGCTCCTAAAGACTTGAATAAAGGAAACATGCTTTGGGATAGTCCCAGAAAAAAACCAAAGCTAATATCAGTCAGACCACCAAGGAGGGAACATATTTGTTGAGCATTCTGTAAACAATATAATTTGCAGAATTTGGTGACTGCGAGTAAAGTTGCAGTTTCCAAATAAGGCATATTATGTCTGCCAAATGATTTTTGTTTGGCAGGAAAACTACTGTATTATTTACTATTACCAGATGATGGAATCTGCGCATGCAGTAACCACACAAAGTGCTAGTGGGCTGAGAGGCAATATAGAAATATTTCAAATAAATATATAGATACTCACAGGAAGATTGCAAGCATTGTGTAAATACACTATGAGAATTGCTGTGGCCAGGCCATTCCTGTCCTAAACAAAGTTAAATACAAAATTAACATACTGTTTTCTGACATATGCCCACCATATTCATATTGTAAATTCATTATTTCAAATTACAGGGTCCCTTTAGCACTTCTGCTGTTCTGTTAGCTAAAATGTCTTAGCAGAGGACTGCTATGGCTACAAAGTATGACATGAGTTTGACTACATTATATTGTGTCACATCTTACATACACATTGGAGCACCTTCCTAACTCCTACGGAACTGGTTTTTATTTAAATGCCTGAGCCAGCATGGTATAGTGATTTGAGCATTGGATGACACTTCTGGAGACCAGGATTGCGTTCCCTGCTCAGTCCCTGAAACACATTGGATCACCTTTGGCACATCACACTTTCTCAGTCCAGAAAAACTTATGAGAGATTTGCCTTAGGGTCCCATAATATGGAAACAACTTGAAGGCACACAACAAGAACAAACCCTGCTGTCAATGTACTTTCGATGCAACCACCACAATCAACTGGTGCTAGGGAAGGTGACAAGCTGATAAAACAGAATGTTGGCATTACTTTATTGTATATTTCTATTTCCTGTGAAGTAAAGAGAACTTATGCACTCAGTATGGGTTATCTCTCCATTACCCAGATTGTGACTAAGTCCTAAATGGCAGTGGGGGGATGTGTAAGTCCACTGTTGTCAAAAATGTGGCTCTCCAGGTGTTTTGGACCCAGAATTCCTAACCATTGGACAAGCTAGCTAGGGATTCAGACAGTTGGAGGCCCAAATGTCTGTAGGGCCACAAGTTTGATCTCTCTGGTATAGTCTGCACTAAGTGGGAATGATCCCATGCGTCAAGCACATACCCTCCCAACTATTCTGATTTTATAGGCACAGTCCTCACGAATCTTTTGTCAATGCACTTTTTCAGCTGCTTTCAAAATGTCAAGTTTTTCTCTCCACCTCCCACTTTATCCCTTTGTCCTCAACTTATATCTATGGGTGCCAACTGAGTTCAAAGAGGAAAAGTAATGTGCACTCAATGAACTCAGCAGAAAGAAGAGTGGACAAAGTCTTGCCCTTCCCAGTAGGCTCAAGCAAAAGCTAATGGTTACAGCCCTTGCTACCTGACGTGCTCCTCCCCATTAAAAACTTTGGCCATCTTGACCACCCTTTGATATTACTTGGCCGCAGGTGTCTCCGTTATCATCTGTGAAAATGCTGGAGCATGTTATCAAAAGATGCTGCTTTATTCCCCCCCCCCCCCCCCCCCCCCCACACCTTCTTTATTGCCTGACACTGACAGCAGAGTCATTATCAAGCACTGGTGTGGATGGAAACCCATCCCAGCCTGGCAGGACCTTCAGGACCTTCTTCTCCTCCTCTCCCCATTTCAGCCTTTTTGGTGCATGTGTCTTTTGCTCCAGCTTGAGCAGTGTTACATAGGAAGAATAATATAAATTGCCTGGTGCTTATTTTCTGCTCAATGTCTCTATGGTTGGTAAGCATCAAGCTGATGCCAATGAGGAGATGCTGGAGAAGACATGCCATCAAGGGGCCAACGGAGTTGGTCAGAAGGTGGACTCATTGGGGTGAAGCAGGTTTCAAAGGCTGTCTTGCCCTGAATTTGGAGTTGCCACTGATTGAAAACATCTCAGGCAAACTGCAATCAAGTTTCTTCCAAAACATACCTCACGAAGTTTCTCTTGACTGGTGACCAAAGAAAACCATTCAAGCTTCAGATGCACATGTCCACTTGCTATCTTGCTTAAGGGGAACCACTTTGGAAGGAGAGGAAAAGCACATAAATGCAAAAAAAAATATTAAGCTGTAAGTTGGGTGCCCAAAGAAACTGAAACAGTGACTTACTTAGTATTTAATGGGGTTGAATCTATTTGGGGCACACCTTTAAATTTTAGTGCTTAGTTTTTCTAGATAGAATAGGAATGGTAAGGATCTTGTTGCAATGAAGACGTTGAGATTTAAAATACATACGGCTGATAATATCCAATAATCGATAGTGTCTGTTATTGGTGGTCCTGTTGAACTGCAGCTCTTAAAATTCCTCACTATTGGAATATTCTGCCTAGGGCTGCTGCAGTCCAGCAACATCTGGAGGACCACACAATGTCATGTAGACTGCAAATCTTTAAATAATTTACTCTAGAGTTAGAACTATTTTACCAATAATTTATACACACATTTATTTTTTATCCCTTGTAGAGAACAACAGTTTCCACATTTAGTTAGATTGTGCATGTACACTTGAATATGCATATGTTCACAAGCACATTCAATGCCCATGCATGTTGTGAATCAGGCTCTGGCCTAAGAAAGAATTATGATAATCCTCACAACCTCTGAGGATGTCTGCCATAGATGTGGGCAAAAGCTTCTGCAATGTGGCCATACAGCCCGGAAAACTCAACAGCAACCATATGACAAATTTATTTTACAGTTGCCACAAACATTTTGCAACTTTTGAAATCTTCCCATGATTTCATGCCCATGTAAACTTTATGTATAGTAGTTGGAGTCAGAAGTGAGAACTCAGGAGGTTGAAAGGGGGAAAATGATCTTTGTGGGCAATTTTTTAAATAAAATGTTTAACTGTGAATTGGCAAAATGATAGCCCCTTAAAAACAATTCACAAAAACCACTTTGCCTTCAAAGAGAAACTTTAGAAAACATACCAAAAAAGGTAGATTGAAGAAGCCAAAAACAAACGTTACCTCATCAACAACTTTGTCTTTCATGACATTTGTCAGGTTTATGAGCAAGCTGTAAAAAAATACAAAACAATGCACATAAATAAACCATTGTACTTGATTTTATGATATACAAGAAGCCCATAAGGATCCTGTGTTGAATTCTTCTCATTCTACATCTCTTTTCAATTAGATGTGTTATTTTTTCCAACCTCACCTCCCAGAAAAACCCCCTGTATAATGAATCAAAGGGACAACCTCGTAAACAGAAATGAACGCAAGAAGAATCACACTTCTGTTTGGATATTAGTGAATTCCCGTGCTCCTTTGAGATGGGCCTCTTTTGTGAAACCAGGAGACTGATCACATTGGGCAAGTGTTCATGGGGCACCTGCTTAAGGAGTGTAGCCTAAGGGGAAGCGGCACAACTTGGTTACTTAAAAAAAATAAAAAATAGATAAAATAGACTACTTTGTGGGGGTTTTTTCCATCTCAGGAGCAACTTGAGAAACTGCAAGTTGCTTCTGATGTGAGAAAATTGGCCGTCTGCAAGGACGCTATCCATGGGACTCCCAGATGTTTTGATGTTTTACCATCCTTGTGGGAGGCTTCTCTCATGTCCCCGCATGGGGAGGAGCTGACAGAGGAAGCTCATCCAGGCTCTCCCCGGATTCGAACCTCTGACCTGTTGGTTTTCATTCCTGCCGGTACAAGGGTTTAACCCATTGTGCCACTGGGGGCACCACTTTGTGGTACATAACAATAACCAAATAAACCAATTCCCATTCAATTCAAAGTACACCCATTCCCAAGTACACCCATCCCCAAATACACCCATTCCCAATCAATTCAAAGTTTATAGATTTTTGTGTTTCCCTCCTGAATATATAGATAGATCCATTACAAATTGCAGCTAGAGCAGAAAGAGACAATAAGAGAGAAAGAAAAAAGGTCTACATAGGACAGAAGAAATTTATATCCATCACCTGCCCAGAAAATCATCTTTATCAGGGTCTTCATCATAGAGATCTATTTCTAGGTCCTGACCAGGCAGTTCATGAACAACAAACTGTGAAGAGAGAAAAAGTATTAGAACAAAATGGAATATTGTAGACTTGTCCTTGTACTGCCACTACAAAGGGGAAATGGAATGACATGAAATGAAAGGCTTCCTATTTTTCTGGTATTTACAAGACTGAGCTCCTGCATTGCAAAGACAGAGCAAAGAAATTCTACATGTGAAACTATGCTGCATCTCTGCTCTCTCTCATGTCCACCTTTGAGTTGGAAGCCTTGGTGCAGTATGTTATCGGTCTGCATCTGGCCGTAGTTCCCAGTCTTTGGCACTCCAGTTGTTTTGGACTTCAACTACTAGAAATCTCAGCCATCTTACTAGCTGTTAGGAAGTGTGGGAGCCAAAGTCCAAAACACCTGGAGGACCAAAGGTTGGGGACTACTGGGCTAAAGGGATATAACCAAATGCTTCTATGATGACCCCTGTTCTCCACACTTAACTAAATGGTGTCAGAGAGGAGCTCATGTAACTAAAATATAGATTGTGAAAGAAATTTTAGTCACTGCATGTTGGCAGAGAACTTCAATTGTTGCACCAAGAAGTAACCTATGATGGTGTCACTTGGATAGCCCACCAGTTGAGCAAAGATACTTTCTTATTTGGGTTGCTGTGAGTTTTCTGGGCTGTATGGTCTTGTTCCAGAAGCCTTCTCTCCTGACATTTTGCCAACATCTATGGCAGGCATCCTCACAACCTCTGAGGATAGATGTGGGTGAAATGTCAGGAGAGAATGCTTCTGGAACACGGCCATACAGCCTGGAAAACTCACAGCAACCCAGAGATTCCGGCCACGAAAGCCTTCAACAGCACTTCCCTATTTGCTAAGCACAATTCTGTAGAAATTTGATGACAGGAAAAACTTTTGTGCTCTTCCATTCTCCAAAACTACTTTCGTGGTAATCATATTAATTAAATAAATCTCAAATGCTTTCATTTCTAAACCACATAATCATGTTAATTAATATAGACAGGAACAAACATGAGCACTTTTGATTTCCCACACAGTAGACTAACATATAATTAATTTTCTCTCTACTACTGAGCTCAGCCAAGCTAAAGCAGGAATAGGCAACCTTATATTATTTTAGTCTACAAGTCCCGTAGACTAAACCAAGAAACCAGCCTTGCATAGTCTACAGTCAGGGATTTGGGGAGCTGCAGTCCAAAGCATCGGCAGAGTTTGAAGTTGTCTATCCCTCTATTCCAATTGTATTTATTCATAAAAGGAAAATAGAAGAAGCATTCACCAAGAGGTAAGATCTACTCAGAATAAAGCTGACTGCAGTCAATGGCAATCCTATCCCCATATACTTTGAAGAGAAACCCAATTAACTCCTTAAGAATGGCTTCTGGGTAGATATGTATAAGATTGGACTGTTCATGATAAAGTAAGAACATGAAATAGTACTATCACACCTTATCAATGTCATTGGGCTTAGTATGGATATACAGTTCTCACCTCAAACATTTCATTCCAAATGGGATTCAGGTTTCTTTGTATTGTCCTGCTTCGTAGCTGCACCACTCCAACCCGGAGGAGAGCATAAGGGTCTGACTTCCCTCGGATTGCTCCAAGGAAGTTGTCTTTCTGGACAAGATTTTCTGCTTCCAGTAGGTACACTCTTACTACTCCCTTGAAGGCAAAGGAACATAGAACAAGTGTCAGAAAAGCATTACATACGCCATTCATTAGACGTCTACACCTTCTGGAATAGATGCTAAGATTCAGACAGCACTAGAAACACCGGCAATTGTGGCCATAGTTGTGTAGTCTGCTATCTATCCCTGTCTTTAACACTATAGTACAAACACTGAATCCTCAAGGGGTATCTTTCTGGACTTTGTATAGATATGGGAAACCATGGATAATAGTGAACCCTATTGAAATGAAGCATGTATCGCCTAAGAACATGGAGCAGCGGTTGCACAAGGGTTTAACCCTTGTGCCGGCTGAACTGCTGACCTGAGGACCTGAAGGTCAGCGGTTTGAATCCGTGAGACAGGGTGAGCTCCTGTCTGTCAGCCCTAGCTTCCTGTGTGGGGACATCAGAGAAGCCTCCCACAGGATGGTAACACATCCGGGCATCCTCTGGGCAACGTCTTTGTAGACGGTGATTCTCTCACACCAGAAGCAACTTGCAGTACATTCTCAATTTGCTTTTGATATGATAAACAAAACAACCCAAGAACATCATAGAGTTATGTTGAATGACCTAATTTTTTTTAGAGAAGGTGCATTTTGTTGGACAAATGCACCTTCTCTAGGCATGTTCAGAAATTAAGCTTCAAATACCAGTCTGGCAGGTAATTAGGCACATACTATATATGCCACCACCTCTACCACATGTCAGGTAAGGAGAACAATAAAGGTAAAGAAGGACTTTCAGGTCTCTAGCGAAGGCCTTTAGATCTGGAAACCTTAGTCCAGGAGATCCGCGAACATGTTTTGTAAGCATTGTTCTCAGATGTAACTCACACGTGGAATAGGGAACCGCAACTGATCAACGTTAATGTTTTTCTTCAGTGGGATGGTGATTCTATTTGGCAACACCAACCGGGAAGCTATGAAATCTTGTATTAAAGAGTCTGACAATATGCTAAAAATAAGAAACAGAAAAAGAGACAAATTTGATTAAGAAATGACTCATACAACAGATGTACTTGAAGCAGATCTATCAAGGGACCATCAATAGGAATTAGAACGCGCATCATCCATCATTTGATCTTTGTGTATCGCAGAATAGTTTGGTTTTTATCTAAAGTTCTCTAGCTATTAAAACAGGAATTTTACAAAAGGGACCCCCATGCACAAATCTCCAGTTCTTTTGAGTTGCATCTATATCACCAAAAGCAAATAGTTATAAAGAGTTACTTCTCATATGTCTCTAACTCAAAATAAAACAAAAACTCGAATCACAGAGCCAAACAACTGAGTGCTCACACCACTAAATTACAGTTAAATTAATAAGCAAGCAAATAATTCCTTTCAACGGTGATTGGGAAAAAAGCATTCTGTAAAGAGGCTTATCACTTCCAAATGCTGTGGGGAGTGCTCAATCCACCATCACCAGAGTCCCTGGTGGCACAATGGATTAAACCCTTGTGCCGTTAGGACTGCTGACCAAAAGGTCAGTGGTCCGAATCCAGGGAGTGGGGTGAGCTCCTGTCTGTCAGCTCCAGCTTCCCATGTGGGGACATGAGAGAAGCTTTCCACAGGATGTTAAAATATCTGAGCACCCCCTGGGCAACATATAAAGGCAATATTGCTGCTCTTTATGTGATGAACACTGAGAAGGTGTTAGGAAAATCCCAGTATGATCAGTGGGGATTCAGAGACTTTAGTCCAAAAGTAAGTTTTCCAAGCTCTGGGAATAAGTATGCTATATCTACTTGGTTTGCAACAGATGGCATCCCAAGACTATTTTAACTATCCTCCATACAACCAGTGCAAGAGATGCTACTGCCTGAGGTGGAAAAACAAACACTTCCATAGTACGTAGTACTCAAGATCAACCAATTTATTTTGGCAACTGGGTTTAGGTAATCCCACAGATGTCTCTCTCCCCCTCCCTGTCAATATAAATTTGACACTGACATTAACTATTGCTTTAATCTATCGACAAGCTCCTCAGTGTGGAAAATGAAACAACAGCACCTCCCCATGACTGAGTCAAGCACAGCCGGATGATGCAGATGAAAAGAGGGAAGCCTTGCCTCTGTTTATGTACTGTCTGTCTCTGTCAATTTTATAATGGCATTGAAAGTTTGCCATATATGTACCTGTACTCTGCTTTGAGTCCCCTTGAGGAGATAGAGTGGAAAATTATATATATATTCTGCTCTATCCCAGCAAGGGGACTCAGAGCAGACTACAGGTACATATATGGCAAACATTCAATGCTGTTATACAATTGACAGAGACAGACAGTACATAAACAGAGGCGAGGCTTATATATGAGAAGACCGACAGGTCGGAAGTTTGAGTCCAGGGAAGAGTGCAGATGAGCTCCCTCTGTCAGCTCCAGCTCCCCATGCGGGGACATGAGACAAACCTCCCACAAGGATGGTAAAATATCAAAACATCCGGTCGTCCCCTGGGCAACATCCTTGCAGACGGCCAGTTCTCTCACACCAGAAGCAACTTGCAGTTCCTCAAGTCGCTCCTGACACCAAAAAAAGAGAAATAGGAAACAGCCTTTTGCTTTTTCATGGTCCACAAGGTCATCAGCCTCAGATAATTGCTTTATTCCACTTAAAGTTAGGCCTGGCCTGGGGCCTCCATGTAGAATCTGACACAGGGACCTATTTGAACACCACCTTGACTTTTAACATATCCCCTCTGCTTTGATATCATGTTATTTTCCTTTGAAATAACTGGAATTTAATGGGTTCTCACCTAATGCCTGGAGCATCTAATAGGTTGGTGAGTCCTGCCCAGTTGATTTCCAAGTGCTGTGTCAAGAATTGGAAGGAAGATAAAAGAAACATGTATCAAGCACTGTAAGTGAAGCAACTGTTTTACATTTGGAATGGATAAAAGTAGGATTCCTACATTTCATAATACTGGGTCTGTGCTGCTCTGACTAGCAGAAGTTTTCAAGAGCTTTTGATTGGAGGGCTCATTTGGTAGGGAAAAGGGAAAGAGCTTTCTCAGTGACTGCTCCTAAGCTTTGGAAGTCCCATGAAAATGAACAAAATCTGGATACCAGTATTAAAAAAACCACCAGAATCAATACAGTAACTAAAGAGCAACAAAGGATTCCCCCAGGCAGGAAGCAGCCAAGACTTGGAGCTACAAGGCTATGGCCATGTTCCAGAAGCATTCTCTCCTGACATTTCACAACCTACCAGGCTTTGAAGCTGCAAGGCCATCAAATGCTAATCAAGGCAGTCAATTGCAACATTCACACTTGCCTCAAACAGACAAGAGTTCTTTCTCCCACCCTGGTCTTTCCACAGATATATAAACCTCACTTGCCTAGTTTCCAACAGACCTCACAACCTCTGAGGATGCCTGCCATAGATGTGGGTGAAACATCAGGAGAGAAGCTGTTGGAACATGTCCATACAGTCTGGAAAACTCACAACAACCCAGTGATTCCAGACATGAAAGCCTTCGACAACACATACCCCCAATAATTGTTTTCCCATTTGTCTCTACTGTGTGTGGCACTTTGTGTGAGGTTGCCACAGTCATTCCAGGTGAGCTCCAATTACTCACAATATTGATGCCTTGGGAAATCTTATGGTCATTCCTAACTCGTGGACATTAAAGGCATAGTGTGTGCTTTTATCACTTCCACGAGCATAGAATTAACGCACAGCACAGAAGCCTAAAGGCAGCAATTTGCCTGGACAAGTACATCAGAAGGAGATGAATTAGCAAGGCCTGACCACACTTCCTTTGCTAGAGGCTTACCATAATGTCTGGGATTCTTCCTACACATGTGCTATGGAAAGGCAAGGCATACATATGGAGCAGTGGTTCTCAAACTGTGGGTCCCCAGGTGTTTTGGCCTACAACTCCCAGGACTCTCAGCCAGTTTACCAGCTGTTAGGATTTCTGGGAGTTGATGGCCAAAACATCTGGGGACCCACAGGTTGAGAACCACTGGTATAGAGCATGTCTCGGTTTTTTTAAAGCTATCAGTATCAAATATGTACATTTAAGCACAAATTGGGGTGGATGGTGTCAGGGACTCCAGCCACATGCCCCTCGTGGGTTGGCAACGCCTTTTTACCATTGGTTTTCGAGATAGAGTGCCAACTAGTGCACCACTTTTTGGTTAGTGGTGCACTAGTTGGTACTCTATCCAGAGAGCTAAATCTCGTTCTGGTAAAACAATTTACAGCATTCATAATTCCATTAAGAAAGAAACTAGTTAAATATAGTGCTCAATATGTAAATTAAAAAATGAACAAGATATCAAGGACACAATAAAAACTCAGAACTGACTTACAGGTTTATGTATGAAAAATAAAGTTACAGCTCCTACAAAAGGTATATCTGTCAACAAGGGCTCGAGGATCACTCGCAGAGTTCCATACAGCTGCCAGAAACCAAAGAAAGAAAAAGTAGATATTATTTGGTCCCTCGTTAGGTATTGGAAAAAGAAGTGTACTGTATGCCAGCAATTGTTCCATATGGATAATTTGTACTGTACCCACCTGGACGCCCTTCACTCCTACTTTAAACTTAGACAGTTCCATGTGAACTTCACAGTCTCCAATATAACTGAAAAAGAAATCAAATTAGCATAACAATAACATTCAAGAAGCAAACACATACATCAGGGACAAAATACCTGGCTTTCGCTTATCTTGGAAGACGGTTACAGCAGTATCAAATATAAAACTCAATTGCATTCAGCACACCAAAATGCCTGGGAGTTACCCTGGATCATGCTCTGACTTTCAAGAAGCACTGCCTGAATATCAAGCAAAAACTGGGTGCTAGAAATAATATCATATGAAAGCTGACAATTTGGGGATCACAACCAGACATAGTGAAGACATCTGCCCTTGCACTTTGCTACTCTGCTGTTGAGTACACATGCCCAGTGTGGAACACATCTCACCAAATTAAAACACTGTATGTGGCTCTTAATGAGATATGCTGCATTATCACTGGATGTCTACGCCCCAGGTCACTGGAGAAATTATTCTGTTTAGCTGGTATTGAACCACCTGATATCTGTTGGAAAGAAACAGCCAGCAATGAAAGGACCAAGTCTGTGACATCTCCGGCCCATCCTCTGTTCAGATATCAGCCAGCCTTAAATCAAGAAACAGCTTGCTAAGATTTACAGGGCTACTCGCAGGAACACCTCAGCAAGTAAGAGTCCAAAAGTGGCAGGCTAAAACTCAAAACCTCAATTCATGGCTGATACCAAATGAGAGACTCCCTCCTGGGCACACAGAAGACTGGGCAACTTGGAAGGTGATGAATAAACTGTGCTCTGGCACCACAAGAAACAAAGCCAATAGTCAGAAATGGGGCGACAAAGTGGTGTCCATGACATGCAAGTGTGGAGAAGAGCAAACCACAGACCAGTCATTACAATGCAGTCTGAGCCCTGCCACATGCACAATGGAGAACATTCTTATAGCAACACCAGTGGCACTCCAAGTGGCCAGCTTCTGGTCAAAGGACATTTAGTATAATGCCAAGTTTTTAACTTTGTTTGTGGTTTTAAATACATTATAACTGTATCCTCAATTTGCTTCTGACATGATAAATAAATAAACTGCATTCAAAAGTGTTGTGGGCAAGGATCAGAATGTGAATACATTTATCACCAAGTGAGACTTATTGGACTCAAAGAGGTTTATGAGGGAGAAGAGCATTTGTGACAAATACCTCCATTGCACTTTTCGTGTTTCCTGCCCAGTAACAGAAAAGACGTGAAATAGATCTGACAGTTTAGTTCTCTGTCTATTCAGAAGGAAGTCCCATTGAGTTCATACATGCACGGCATACTAACAAGTCACTACTTGAAAGAAACCTGGATAGGACGTTCATATCACACAACCTCCAGATTATGTTCTAAACTTGTATTTCCTGTATGATCTCTATCTTTCCCCATGACTTCAAAAGATCCAGCATGGATGTCATATCCTGCTCCATATGGCAAACTGGTTCTTTGAGGAAAGATGATGACAACATACATATTCAGCTTCTACAATGCTTTTCCTGTGAAGTGCAAGAAACCCAATACAAGAGTGTGCTGTGAAGTCATGAAAGGTAAAAAGAGTTGCAGATTTCTGCCAAATACACTGGCCAATTTGACATATTTAGCAGAATATTTCAACATGCAGTGTGTCTCCTGGTCAAAGACTAACTCTTTACAATTTGGAGATGTTGTGTTGTGTGACATCATATGACATAAATTAGAGTTTTAAATAAATCTATCCAAATGGAAGCCAATTACACAGAAAGAGAACTAAGAAACTTGGTACACAATGATCTCAGATATGACTTGATATATATTTGTTTTATCGCATTTTAAAATGAAGCTTTAGCAGAGGAAAGTAGGAAATGACATTTGAGGAGTGATCTGTTTGGGAACAAACTACCATGTTTTCCTCCCACTATACTTTAAGCAGAGCCATGATATTGTCCTCACATGTGTAGCACTTTTCCGCTACTAATACAACATGCCCTTTCTATCACAGCTATTGTGGGAATTAAAAATGTTTTGTAGCTTAGATTGACTTATTTCAGTTACGGACATGGCTGCATTACAAACTGGTAATGGTAACACGAGCAGAAACAAAATCTGAACCAGAAAGACCAACATGAAAGTGGGGAGGAATAAAAAGTTTGATTTAAGTATTGGGTTGCTGTGATTTTTCTGGGCTCTATGGCCATGTTCCAGAAGCATTCTCCCCTGATGTTTTGGCCACATCTATGGCAGGCATCCTCAGAGGTCATGAGGTCTGTTGGACACTAGGAAAATGGTGTTTATATAGCTGTGCAATGTCCAGGGTGGAAGAAAGAACTTGTCTGCTTGAGGCAAGTATGAATGTTGCAATTGGCCAGCTTGATTAGCATTGAATAGCCTTGCAGCTTCACAGTCTGATGCTTCCTGCATGGGGGAATCTTTTGTTGGGAGGTGTTAGCTGGCTCAGATTGATTTCTGTCAGAAATTCCCCTATTTTTGAGTGTTGCTCTTTATTTACTGTCCAGATTTTAGAGTTTTTAAAATACTGGTTGCCAGATTTTGTTCACTTTCATAGTTTCCTCCTTTCTGTTGAAATTGTCCCCATGCTTGTGGATTTCAATGGCTTCTCTGTGTAGTCTGACATAGTGGTTGTTAAGAGTGGTCCAGCATTTCTATATTTAAATATTGTTTGATAGCAATCTTCCCTAAGGAAAAAAAGAGTTCATGTGTTCTTGCTGGTCATGACAACATCACCATGACCTTATGCCTGATCATAGACTTAATTTGACCCCTATTTCTTCTATATTTCCTGTGCCATGACACAAGGCACGTGCTGAGATTAAATTCATCATGGTTCACTCATATAGTCTGACAAGTCCATGTATGAGTCATTTCAGAAGCATTTAAATGGCTCACAAGTATTTTGATTCCCAACTGAATTGAAAGAATGGCAAGGCATACCATTTAGAATTGCCAACTTTCCGATCAGCAAGTTCTGCAACTGAGCAGTTTGCTTATACTATAATGTTATCGTTTTAACTATATTTTATGTTGTTGGGAGCATTGAATTATGACGATTGTAAACCGCCTGGAGTCGCCTTCGGGCTGAGAAAGGCAGTATATAAATATGGTAAATAAATAAATACTTAACGTCACCGCGACCCCATAATTATATCAGCCAAAATGTCAGCTTTCAAGCTGAAAAAGTGACAACAACTTAAACAATTCAACAGAACACAAAAACCCAAAAGGTTTTTTCTACAAATACCCATAATTTAGCTATCTTTCCCCAGATGTAAATCAGTTTGACTTTGTCATCTGGATTCAGCCACAGTGAAAGTATCTACACTGCAGGCTCCCAAGGACTCCCACTTTTTCTTTGAGCTCAGGCTTCAGCACTGATTCCCAATGCACAAGGCAAGGCACATTCCCCCGAGGTGCCTAACTGGAGGAGCTGGTTTTTCTCTCCACCTGCGTCCTCTCTCATCTCCCGGGACTGTTCCTCATTATTTCAGCAGGTGACCTCTCTCACAACAGCACCCTCTGAGTCAGAAGGAGGACTGTGGATACCAGCCAAGCAAGACTAAGCCAAGTCGTAATGGAAACCTACCTGCATACTAATAAATTAGTGAGAGGACACCAACAACTCTTTTCCCCAAACAGCTTAACAAGCTGAATAGCTAACCTATACTAATCTATTATTTTCCTCTAGTCTGATCTATCAGCCTGCTGAAGCACTTCAGCAATGAATCTCCTGAAGACATTTTCTACAATACTTTATCAGGAATGCTTTCACTGGAATTGCTAATTTTATTTATGTTGATAATGCCATAAATATCAGTACCACAGGAAATTTACAGTATGAAAACTACAGTAGATGATACAAAGACAAGTGTGTGCATTGGAATGGGGAGGTCACTGTAATTATTACATTAGTCTACTTTGCTCTGGGATATTTCCGGGTGAGTGGATTCTCAGTATCCCTCAGTGATGCTCTTTCAGTGTAATACTCAAAAGAACCATGATCGGGTGGATACATCACTATGGTTGGTCCACACCACTAAATGTTGCAAGCCACTTTGGGTCCCAATGGAGGAGGAAGAGGGTGGAGTATAAGTACAATGAAATAAAAGCAGAAATGTGCAAACACACTTAAATTGGAGATTATAGAGCAGTTCTCAACCTAAAATCCATCAGATGTGTTGTACTACAACTCCCATTATGCCACAGTGATCCTGAGAGCTGTAGTGCAATATATGTGGAAAGCACCAAGGCATTAGGGAGAATAACTTTCTTTTTGTTGCTGTTGTGTACCTTCCAGTTATTTCTGAGTAATGGCAACCCTAAGGAAACCCATCACCATTTTTTGACAATGTTCATTCAGAGGGGGCAGACCATTGTCTTCCTATGAGTTTGGGAGTGTGTGACTTGCCCAAGATCACCAGGCAAACTATTCTCACAAAGTTGCTGTGAGTTTTCAGAAGCATTCTCACGTGACATTTTGCCCACATCTAAAACAGGCATCCTCAAAGGTTGTGAGATATATTGGAAACTAGACAAGGGAGGTTTATAATGTTGAAAGTCCATGGTGGGAGAAAGAACTCTTGTCTGTTGGAGCTAAGTGTGAATGCAAGTGTGAAGTGTGAATATTCTCACAAGTCTTTGTAACAAACAAACATTCCCTCCTTTTCAGAAAGCATTTCCTCAGAAAGCATTTCAGCCTGAATCAGCTCACAGACATTACACCATGTAACATGATTTTTGTTCCTGGGTTATAAATGTCATTTCCTAATAGGTTTGATCATAAAAAGTGGGAAAAAAAGGTTTATTAAACTGCAAAAACTTTGTTACAGTCTGCACCCTGACAGGTTAAAAATGGCATATTTTCATTAAGGAAAATTACAACTGACGTGCCTAGACAGAAGGAAATAATAGTACTAGATAGTGTTTTAGAAGAATTTCCAGGTCTACTGCATAGTGGACATAGCTAACCAGACAGTTGCCAACAATAAGCGAATAGGTAAGAAGGCATTCCTGTATTACCATATCTGCAAATCCAGCATCACTTGTCTTCTATCCACTTCTTTGGTATAAGCCTTCACTCCTTTGATTTTAGGGCACTGAAAGTAGAAAAGACACATAGCAATGTTATTGGCTTTTGTGATGACCAGTAAACAGAATTTTCCATATGCCTGAGGAGAAAACAAGAATGTTCCAATGACTATTTAAAAAATAAGGTGAGTGAGGAAAATGTGTGATTTGTATGAGATATATGTTTTCTTATATTTTTGTCTTCTTTTGCTACGGAAAGTCATTTTAAATACAACTACTTGAGAGAAATAAAATGTTTACAATAAGCAGACAGAGAGAGAGATACCCACAAAAGTTACTCCTTACAGGAGACATGTTTCAAATGCAGAGCATTATATCCTTCAATATTTCACAGATGAAAACTGGCACATATATAGCTAAGCAACATATAGCTAAGCAACTTCTGTTGTCAAGAACATAAAAGTTATCAATGAGAAGAAGAAAAAACACACAAGCTAGGAGAGACTGCAGAAGTTTGTTTTCGCTTGGATTTCCTTAGGTGAACTTGGTGAGTCAATTCAGTGTAAACTACTTTTAACACTTTGAATTCACTTTGTAGCCAATGAAGTAAGCTGAGAAAAACAAGTGAGAAAGTGGGATGTGAATACTAAATCTGGGAAATTTTAAAAGTAGCAGAAAAAAGTGGGAGGATAGAGGATTAACCTGAAGTGTCTCCCCCAAAATCAGGACAGATTGAGAGCATAAAAATCCTTATTTATCTTTAGCACCTCTTCCACCCAGAAGTCATACATCAAATCATGAGCCTGCTTTAATGTCCAGTTCTCTAACATCAATATCAACATCCTACCTTGTTTCCAAAGTGGATCTTGGTGAACGTACATGTTCTCAGGTGCATATGCTTTGCTCTGATTTTTGGTTCGAGGACTTCCTTGAATGTTTTTTCCATAATTGCCCCAAAGTATGGCCAAGACTGTTCAACAATCTAAACAGAGCACATAATGAACATAGAAAACTGCCAGAAGCTTAACACCACACACAAGCACAGTTTATTTATTTATTTTGCAGTTTTGTATACTGCCCTTCTCAGCCCCGAAGGGGACTCAGGGCAGTTCACAGGGTTTGCAACAATTCAATGCTATCGATAAAAAAACGGTATAATACATCAAAATTGACCCTCCCCTGATAAAACATTAAACATTATTAAACACGCCACATAAAATAACATCACATATCACACAAATACATAGCTGTTGTCCATAGACAGTCCTGGGTCATTGCACTTAAAACTTTTGCTTTAACTTTAAATATTCATATGATGGGCCGAACACTTGGATCCACAGCCAGGTCTTTAGCTATCTCCTAAAGGTCAGGAAGGAGGGGGCCAACCTGATCTTACTCGGGAGGGAGGTCCACAGCTGTGGGGCCACCACTGAGTTGCAGTTCAGAATACTATATTTTAATTTCTATAATTATTATTAACTTGAGGTAGTAGCCAATGCATGCATTCCTATAGACAACTCTGTAAACATACCAAGGACAGGAAATTATCTACACATTATCTGAAATGAAAATGTATCATCACTTAATTCAAAGAGTTAGTCATCTCCAGATGCAGCCCAATCTCTTAGATCTCAGTATTACTACTCATGGAGTATTTAAAACAATAACTCATCTCCTCTGGTTGCATATTTTAAATCCCAGGCACAGCATGTTTTGCTTTCTATGTTCTGTGTTTTTAAAAATAATATTTGAACCTAAGATCATCCACTGAAGGTGACTGATTCAAGAAATATAGGGTATCATATAAAGCTGTGACATTTGCTATCGCAGGATGTCACGATGGCCACCACTTTGGATGGTTTTCAAAGGATAAACTGCTTATTCTACGAATTCCTGTTGTTGTCACTAAAGACAGCAGTGCCTTTAGGTAATCTTTTACTCTCTGTAGTCAACACTCCTAAGGTATTGGTTCTCAACCTTCCTAATTCTGCGAACCCTTAATACAGTTCCTCATGTTGTGGTGACCCTCAACCATAAAATTGTTTTTGTTGCTACCTTCACAACTGTAATTTTGCTACTGTTATGAAACATAATGTAAATATCTGATATGCAGGATGGGTTTTGATTCACTGGACCAAGTTTGGCACAAATACCCGATACGCCCAAATATGAATATTGGTGGGCTTGGGGGGGGGGGGTTGATTTTGTCATTTGGGAGTTGTAGTTGCAGGGAGTTATAGTTCACCTACACTCAAAGAGCATTCCGAACTCCATCGATGAAGGAACTGAATCAATCTTGGCACACAGAACTCCCACGACCAACAGAAAATACTGGAAGGGTTTGGTGTGCATTGACCTTGAGTTTTGGAGTTGTAGCTCACCAACATCCAGAGAGCACTGTGGACTCAAACAATGATGGATCTGGACCAAACTTGGCAGAAATAATCAATATGCCGAAATGTGAACACCAGTGGAGTTTGGGGAAAATAGACTTTGACATATGGAGTTGTAGTAGCTGGAAGTTATAGTTCACCCACAATAAAAGAGCATTCTGAATCCCACCAATGGTAGAATTGGGCCAAACTTCCCACACAGGACCTCCATGAACAACAGAAAATACTGTGTTTTCTGATTGTCTTTGGTGACTCCTCTCACACACCCCTGGTGACCACCCCAGGAGTCCTGACCCCCAGGTTGAGAAATGCTGTTCTAAGGAGAGGAGGTGTTTCTTTAGATGCCTCACTATGAAAAGTACAGTGCCATCTTTGTAGGGCCCCTTGTTCATTATACTGAGTGGGCCGGCAGACATTTGTCCCAAAGTCCTGTCCTATTGGTCCTACTGCAAGCTGAGCCACTTTAGCTCTGTTCAGCTGACCACACCTCTACATGATGATATATAAAAGATCACCTAGAAGCACTCTAAGAAAGCATTATAATAAACCAACCTGAAGGCGCGTAACACAGACACACAATCATGATGAACACTATCCTAGTATTTATACAATGTAATAAAGATAATGATTCATGAAGGAGGAAGAGCACAATGTTTCAGTGATATGCAGTTTTCTGGCATAATACTTACAGGGAGAGATGCTAACTATAACAGCTTTTCTTACCTAGAAAAGGACTTTGGTTAACAAGCTCCAAACCAAGCCCTGAAATTTACACCAGTCACACCCAACACAAGCACATAACTCATCCTTTTGTGGAGCAAATATGTTTATATACAGTAGAAATTCATGAGTCAAGTTTAAAAGCTCGTGTTGACTGGAGTTTTATGTATGTATTTTCTACAGGTTCAAAATTCATTTCAGCACCCTGTGACTTACCTTGTTCAGCCATTCCACCCTCTCAACATCAGGAAAGTGAACCTGCCAAGCAAGAACAAACAAAAGTGAGCAGAGAGTTCATTTCACCTAATAAATTGACCAGCAAGATGCAATTAAGAAGACAAAAACTGAAAAGACGCCCATGAGACACAGCAATGGACTCTACAATTAAATGGCTCTTTTCAATGGGATGAGAGATTCTGCTGATATTTATACATTTGTATACTTATCAGCTGACCAGAAGGTTGGCAGTTCAAATCCACGGCATGGGGTGAGCTCCCATTGCTAGCCCCAGCTTCTGCCAACCTAACAGGTCGAAAACATGCATATGTAAGTAGATCAAAAGGGACCACTTCGGCGGGAAGGTAATAGCATTCCGTGCATTCACGTGACATAGGAGGTGTCTACGGACAACGCCAGCTCTTTGGCTCTGAAATGGAGATGAGCACCAAACCCCAAATTCGGACACAACTAGACTTAATGTCAAGAGGAAACTGTTACCTTTTATACTTATCAGCAAGTTCCAGGGAAGCTTGTAAGAAAGTATTTAGAATATACTGATGACAGAGTATAGGTTTAGCTCATTTTTCTCAAGTAGTGCACATTACTGCCAGTTGCTCAATATGTCAAATTGGGAGTAAGGCTCATTGAGTTTAATGAGCCTTACTCCTAGGAAAGCACATAAAGGATCTCATTCCCAAGTGTCCTTTGAAAGATATAGCTCTGAATATTTATTGCATTTTGGCAGCACACAGAATAGCATGTGGGTGGGTGCAGGAGGAAACACAAAGTAGAGCCAACTCCTACTCTACTACTTCCTTGTTTATTCTTCCTCTTCTTTCTTTCCTCTCTTTGTAACTGTTTCTAAGGCCCAGACTAATGAAGAAATTTGAGCACAGCCCTGGAAGTAAATATCACCATTGCCACCATCATAATGGTTACTGAGGCCACAGATCAATGGCAGAACACAATACTAAATACATAGAGAGAGCCTGATATATCCAATCAAAAGTACGAATATCAGATTTGAGCCCTATTCAACTGCTTTGAGCCAAAATCTCATGAAACCATGAGCAAAACACAAATCTCTGCCAGCAGGGATCTAGTGGCCATATGAAAGGACATATGAAAAATTCCATATGAAGAGTGACTGGAATGGGTCCTGGACGCAACCCCACCTCCTACCACTATACGTGGTAGGATGACATTCATATACACTTGGGTGATAGGGAAAACAGAACAATCTTCATTTCTGTAGTCAGTGAGTAGCTGGAGGCAGAGCTCTGCCTATCAGCCATGCAGTCAGCTACTCCTGCAACACCTTTTGCAAGCAGGAGCCCCCGGTGGTGCAATGGGTTAAACCCTTGTGCTGGCAGGACTGAAGAGGTTCGAATTTGGGGAGAGCTAGATGAGCTCCCTCTGTCAGCTCCCGCTCCCCGTACGGGGACATGAGAGAAGCCTCCCACAAGGATGGTAAAACATCAAAATATCTGGGCATTCCCTGGGCAATGTCCTTGCAGACAGCCAGTTCTCTCACATCAGAAGCGACTTGCAGTTTCTCAAGTCGCTCCTGACACACACACACACACACAACCTTTTGCAAGCAGGTATATTAGCTACCTCTTTGCACAATGGAGTGCTTGTGCTGGTACAGCCTGGAGTTATGCCAGTCTAAATCACAAGCAGGACTAAGGCCCTGGATAGTTAAGACCTGCCGGTATAAGACAGTACGGAGCTAGAGTATAGCCAGGCACTACTCTTGGAAGACCATCATCCTCGGGCTACAAGGGATCACCTAAGTAATTAAGTAAGGCATGTTTAATACACATCTAAACTGCATTTTATGGTCATGGTAATGATGCCTGCTAACATTTTGGGCAATAAATATCTTATGCATTTTCCTTGGATCAAAATTGGAACTGCGGTGGATATAGTTCTAATAAGAATTTCTGTACTTATTGAAAATAAGGGAGTCCCACTCCAGGAAAACGCAAACATTTAATTTTTTATTATTGACGACTGATTTTATTTTAGATTTTCTTTTGGGTTTCTGACAAATGCTGTCTGCATTTTAAAAAATAAATCCAAATCAATGATGTCCATACATAACTTTCAAATGTTAGAACAAAATTTAAAAAGTTATATTTTGGACTACAACTCCCAAAATCTTCGAGGCAGCCTATCCAATCACTCATATTGTAGCTGAGGAATATTTAAGAGCAGTAGTAAGTTTATGTCATACTTAATATTCAAACCATAGTCACACCTCACTGCATGACACAGAGTCATCTACACTACATTGTAGTGTGACTAGGTCATATTTTAGGCAGATTTTCATTTTCTTTCAGTTGCTAATATATCCTTTCATCAGCATCCACTTCCTGCTCTTTGATGGAATCTGAAAAATGGATGACCAAATAACCTTTTAAAGGAAAAAGTCTGAAAGACTGAATTTCACCACCCAGAAACAAAAGAATGCTACAGGTCATGTGGGCAATCCCAGAAATGCAGTTTGGCAAGGAAAAAAAATAATAGCTGAGTGTCCTCAGTGGAATTATGACACTCAGAATAGAAGTGTTTTGTGGGCAGATATTGTTTTGAAAACCTCAGACAAACAAATGAAAGCTCTGGTAAGCTATGAAAGTTTTACAGAGCTAAATAAAAATTTGTTGTATGCTCCAGTGTCATTCTATAAAGTTCATATCTGACAAATATAAAAATGCCCAAGATTTTCTGAGGGAAGTCATGATAATTTAGAGGCAGTGTGTTGTAGTTGTTTGAGCATGACACTGGAGACCAGGCTTTGAATCCCTGTTTATCCATGGAAACTGGGAATAAGGCAAACACAAGCTCTCTGAATGTATCTTGCTGAGAAAACCCCATGATAGGTTCACCTTCGAGTCACCATAAGTTGGAAACAACTTGAAGGCACAAAGTTGCATTTCTTAGACTTATATTACTCTTTTTTTTTAACTACAGTCCCCAGAGGAGATCAAAGTACTTATTAACTTCCAACAGGCAAATGAAGAACCAGATGTTTAAAAGAAAAACAATCCATGCAAAACAATCTCTACTAAAGCCACAGCTAGCATCTGATCTTGGAATTAAACCTCTTCCTGTGTCAAGGACTGCCCACCTTAAACCACAGTGGTTCTCAACCTTCCTAATGCCATGACCCCTTAACACAGTTCCTCATGTTGTGGTGATCCCCCAACCATAACATTATTTTTGTTGCTATTTCATAACTGTAATTTTGCTACTGTTATGAATTGTAATGTAAATATCTGATATGTAGGATGTATTTTCATTCACTGGACCAAATTTGGCACAAATACCAGATACACCCAAATTTGAATACTGGTGGGGTTGGATGGAGGATTGATTTTGTCATTTGGGAGTTATAGTTGCTGGGATTTATAGTTCACCTACAATCAAAGAGCATTATGAACGCCACTAACAATGAAATTGAACCAAACTTGGCACACAAAACTCCCATGACCAACAAAAATACTGGAAGAGTTTGATGGGCATTTATTTTGCATTTTAGAGTTGTAGTTCACTTACATCCAGAGAGCACTGTGGACTCAAACAAGGATGGATCCGGTCCAAACTTGGCACAGATAATCAATATACCCAAATGTGAACACTGGTGGAGTTTGGGGAAACTAGATCTTGTCATTTGGGAGTTGTAGTTGCAGGGATTTATAGTTCACCTACAATCAAAGAGCATTCTGAGCTCCACCAATGATGGAATTGAACCAAACTTGACACACAAAACTCCCATGACCAATAGAAAATACTGGAAGGGTTTGATAGGCATTTATCTTGAGTTTTGGAGTTGCAGTTCACCTACATCCCGAGAGCACTGTTGCCTCAAACAATGATGGATCTGGACCAAAGTTGGCACAAATACTCAATATGCCCAAATGTGAATACTGGTGGATTTTGGGGGAAATAGACCTTGACACTTGGGAGTTGCAGTTGCTGGGATTTATAGTTCACCTACAATCAAAGAGCATTCTGAACCCCACCGATAGAATTGGGCCAAACTTCCCACACAGAACCCGCATGATAAACAGGAAATACTGTGTTTTCTAATGGTCTTTGGCGACCCTCTGACACCCCCTCGTGACACTCCAGGTGTCCCGAACCCCAGGTTGAGAATGGCTGCCATAGATATATCTCCATTGTCATGATATGGAAATTCATATCTTGACTCAAAGAAACTATTGTGGCCTTTACTAAGCTATGTATAGATGGTTGTCACATTTCTATGTTAGATAATTAATGACATTTACAAATCCTCTACAAGTTGAATCAATTTAGGTTGTTGTCTGTCCGTAACACAATTGTCAGTCTCTCATCAGATTTATAGTTGTGATTTTTAAGCTACTGTTCTCCCATAAAATAAATCATCTTCATCTCAATAACTTCCTCTTTCCTCCCAGTCAGTGAGACATCATGCAAATATTTGGGCAGGAGCACTTGCAGGGAGCCAGATAAATGTCATTATCCCAGGCTAATAATAACAACCAATAATCAGCAACCTCCAAAGAATGAACGACTGCACGCTGCCAATTGGCTGGTAAGCCACATTACATTTTTACAGTGCACAGGATCTAAAGGAGAATCTCTCTCTATATATATATAACTTCTGAATAAACATACACAAGTATGTTTATTCAGAGAACCTTTTACACTACTTCATTATACACATGGAAATTGGGTCATGTGTGTCCAAACTAGATTACATTATAGGTTAAGATGAAGAATGCATAAACTAGGAGAGGTTGCAGCCGTTTGTTTTTGCCTGAGCCTACTGGGAAGGACATTTCACCTTCTCTTTTACTTCCTACCCCTCTCCCTAAGTTAACTGAGTGCAAAATATTTTTGCATTTTCAACTGAGTTTGTGTCAGGATGTGCCTTCATGGTTCCAAGAGATTCCAAGCGAAGTCTTCTCCTGACAGTAGAGGGAGTAGTCTTGATAGATTAGTTTATGGTTAGGGCCATCTGGCCAAGGTTCCCTTTGAAGATGTGGGAA